TCTAATGTAGCTTTATACTGTTAATATTAGGAGACATTTATTTTTTAAGGGATTTACTTCAGGTAACTCTCATTAGAGCAGCATAAAGATGATTTGAAGCAGAAGTGATTTAATATATTTTTCAGTAACAGAAATACAGTGAATTAAAGCAGCAGACAATGCTCACAGTTCATTTCTGTTTAATTTGTCTTCAGCTCAAAGTCGTCCTTCTGCCTGAGGAGGCCCTGGAAGAATTTCTCAGGGTACAGGAAAAAGTATCTGTTCCGCTCCAGGTCCTGAGCGTTAATGATACGAGTCACCAAAGCTTGTTGTATGGCCGGAGACTCACAGGGGTGATGCAGCACCTTGTGACTCACATTCCTCCCTGGCTCAATAACTAACAGACCCTGAACGTCCTCATGTCCAGTCGTATTATCGAGAGTCTTTCTGTTCACCACAACTTTGGTGGTTTCATTTCTTCTGTTGGACACATCGAGTCCAAAGTCTTCAGTGGATCCGTCTGTTTTACAGCCTCTCCTAATGTCAGCAGTTGAATTGTGTGTGGTCGTCTCATTAAACGTATCAGTCGAGGTACTAACCAGGCTGTCATTAAGAGTGTGATTACTTGAGAGGGTCATATTGGCTCTGCCTAATGTGTTAGTTTGCCCTGGTCCACCTGCTGTCCCGGTTCTGGGTGTTCCGGTTGCTGGAGTCTCCTGGATATTCCTGTGCAGATAGGCTGTGTAGCCCTGAACCAGGCGACTCAACGCCGTCTTATAAGACAAACGCAGCGACTCGGCAGATCCTGGAGGCACAGAGTGCAGACGAACCTGTGGGAACAAGATCGGATCAAGTGAGGGGTCCAACAATGCAGCGTAGAAGTAGCTTGTGCTTTATGTACAGAGGTGGAAAGTGAAGGCGTGTATAGCATGTCTGACTTTCATACAGGAGACCAGAGTTTGCTTCCTACAGGCCTGCAGCTCACATGAGCCTTTCTGCAAACCTTAAACCTGCGAGATCAGTTTCTGAATTCCTCATCCAGCAGCTACAGAGCAACATGATGATTCATGAGGAGTCTTTGCGTCCATCTGATGAATGCAAGTCCAATATTCATATTTTATATTATCTTTAATATTCATTTTCACACTATTGTGATAAAAAATAAATGTTGATTATAGCCACTTTAACTGTTTTAGTTGCCTTAACAGTTTATTTTACATAAGAGAAATATTACTTTTTTTAACATTGTGCAATTTCAACACCAAATGCAATATTACTTAAAAAACATCATGTTTACAATTTCTGGCACAAGAATTTCCTTCTGGATGAATCAAGTTCTATGTTATCTTATTTTAATCTTTAACTGATCTTCTGAGATTTTCAGGAAAGATTCCCATGTTAATGACTTTGTTCACGTCATCAGGATGTTTGTATGATTACAGAATTGGTCATGTGAAAGTTAAAATATTGTGTGTTGACAACACAGCACCACATCCGTTAAAAGCGGGTTTAATTGCATTAGACGACAGTCGTTAGCTGATGCGTTTGCCCTTCAAAGTGTTTACAGATCTAAGGGAGGCCTACTGCATGTGAAAAATGTGTCCGGGGTCAAATTGCATTGTGGGTGATGTAGGCGCCAGGTTTTGTCAAGGAGGAAGAATTCTCTGGTTCTGCCGCATTGATATTGATGACTTATAATTATGTCTGTCCTGACCTGGTGAATCCTCATGTGTAGATGAAACGCAGCTCCTGCCAACCACTGCTGCATGGACACCGAACTCATCCTCTTCCTCGTGGTCATCCTCTCATAGTGGTCAATCAGCTCAAGCATCAGCCAGTTGTCGTGGCGCTCCGTGGTCTCGGCCATCTGCTCCTGGTTGTTGGCGATGCCGGGGATCAGGCGCAGGTAGCTGTGGATGATCCAGCCGATTCTTGAAGAACTGCTGATGCCAAAAATCCTCTTAGGCTGGGACCTCTGAGCTGATGGGTTCCCCTCTGGGGATCCTTGTGCTCGGACCTGGTGGGATAACATACATCTGGAATTCTGAGTTTCAGTTCTGTTTTAGCATCATGGTTTGTGATACAATACAAAAAAAAAATACATATTAATAGTCTTTGTGGTGTCAAATCATACTTAAGTAAAAGTACAAAAGTATTAGCATCAAAATATGCAACATATTTCATGGCATCCTTGCAGTAATTGTGTTGAGATATTTCTTCATAACACAAATGTTAACTTGCTAGTGGTGCTGCAGGACAAGTCTGTAGGCATCATCCTCTGGGGAACATGAACATCTGGACCATATTTCATGAAGATTCATCCAATAATTGCCAAGATATTTCACTAAAAACAAAACGTCAACCTCACGTGGAGGACAGGAATGAATAATACAGAAAATATATTAAAAAACAAACCTACCTGTTGGGCAACCTGGTCAAAAAGCACGGACAGAGCCAGAGCAACGACCCCGACTCCGCCACTGGTGACCCTGCTGTTGCCTCCCAGCTCTCCGGTCAAGTTGAGGCCAAATGCGGTCTGCAGCTCCCCGCTCATGCTCCGCTGTAAGAAGGTGTGTTGATGCTGCAGAGCGGCCGAGGAGTCCAGCGAGAGGAAGGTGGTGAGGACGGGATCCAAGGAGATATCAGGGATGATGCTGGCGTCTCGAGCCACTGAGAACAGCTCCTGGACGGTGGCCGGAGAAGGAAGACACAACGCGTGAGCCGTCAGGATCATGGCTGTCCTCTGTCTGTCTGTCCGTCTTGTTATCTGTGTCTCTGACCCTCTGTGTCTCTGACCCTCTGTGTGTGTGTATTTGCCCCAGTCAGAAGGATTGTATCATTCAGCCAGAGCAGTCCAACAGCGCACTCATAACACATTGTTCTAATTAAGGTTTACAAAAAGACACAGTGGTGGAAGAAGTATTCTTTACTGGTATCAAAGTGTGAAAACACTCTACACAAGTAAAAGTCCTGCATGCAAAACTATACCTTACTTAAGTAAAAGTATTATCAGCTAAAAAACTTAAAGTACTCCAAGTAAAAGTATTCATTGTGCATTATACGTATATGATGTTTATGGATTATTATTACTGCTGCATTAATATGTACGTTGCATTTTGCTGCTGTAGATGTTTTAAGGTTTTGCTAATTTTATATGTACTCTTGGGTAATTTTATCTTCAGCAATGCATCATATTCGAAAAGATCATATGTTTGTAGCATAGCTGTGACAACCACGTATCTCTAAAAAGTCTACTTTTCATGAGCTCAGAAAAACCCGTCAGCTTTGTGACGATGCATTTTTACAGCTGACCCAAGAGGCTTTTTAAGTATTTTATTTTAAAAATTCAAAATGAACATATCTGGAGATACGTCGTTTTCACTGGACAGGAAGGGAATGTAAAACTTTAATGTGTAAAGTAACTAAAGCTGAGATACATGTAGTGCAGGAAAAAGTACAATATTTAAGCATACAGTTACATAAAATTTAAATAATTAAGTAAAGCACAAGTGCCGTAAAATTTGTACTTAAGTACAGTAGCCTGCTTGAAAACTTCCTCCACCATTGACTGTCTGCCACATGTTTTCTTTGTTATCTCTCCTGCCAAAGGTTAAACATGTTATTTATAGTGTGGCTCAGCAACATAGAACACTGTCCCATGAAAAGTCAATATGTAGCAAGAATATCAAGTTTGTCAGAAGTGAAGACAGCTAGAAAAACAGCAAACAACTGAAGTCAATAAAGAAATATTGCAGCAACAGCAATCTTTCAGATTAACTGATAAATATAACTGATACCAAAGCATTTTTTTCTAATGAGGTTGACATTTAGACTCAGACGCAACCATTGAACATTAACCGTAACGTCAATAAGCAGTCGGCACACTTTGAGGGATAGATATGCAGAGCCCTTCAGCCTCAAAGAGATATTGAGTTTGTTCAGTGGTGTTTAGAAATAACTTGAAACCCTCCGGATGTCTTCAGGCCGACTGTTGTGAGAACATGTACATTTAACTGTTTTGTTTGCTTAAGTAAGAAATGGTTACACGATAAGATTTCCTGATTTTCATTTCAATAATTGAAATAAGTTTTGATTACATTTATTTGAATATTTATTAAAATATTCTAATATTAGTAAGTAATTGTACTTCTAATACATTTTACTGATTATACTTACATACTTTTACAACATTTTCAATGCAGGACTTTTACTTGTAACTTGTATTTTTTACAGTGTGGTACTGTTACTCAAATCCACCGCTGCATGATTTAATTAACCCATAATCATTAAAATTATAGTTTTCGCTCTTCACTGTGTGCAGTGGAGAAGTACTCAGATCTTTTACTAAATATAAGTAGTAATACCAGTGTATAAATGCTCTGTTACAAGGACAAGTCCTGCATTCAAAATCTTAGGCTGCTGAGTACAAAAGTATTAGCATCAAAACATAAAGTAAAAAGTAAAAGTATTTATTATGCAAAATGAAGTGAAATATCTCAAAATTGTACTTAACAGTACTGAGTAAATGCACTCAATAACATTTCATCACAGTTTTGCATTGATAACTGTTCACGATTAAATGAACCCGTAATCATAAAGAAATGTCTCGAGTTTACGATCTTCACTGTGCGCATGCCCGGGTGAAACATGACGTCATGTACCAATCCTTGAAAACTAGTCCCCTAATGCGGAAGTAAATAGTCGAATCAATATTCAGAGGTAAAACAAGCATGTACGTTTAAAACAGTTCTTCCCAACGTTAACTCTTCTCCCACTTTAGATTCAATAATTAAATAAAAGTTTATAATCGTTTTGTAAACCCGTGATCATCGGAGTGAAGCCTACGTGATTGTCCTCACCCTCCAACGGGTCGCCGTGTCTCTCTCAACAGAAACAAGGAGGAAGTGTTCGAGCTCCCTGATCGTTGAAAACGTAATTACAGGTGAGTAAAACCAGAACTGTAGGCACATGACATGCTGAATGGTTGAATCAAACATTAGTGATACGAGATATTAGATGTTTTCCTAGCTAACGATGCTCTCTTGTGATAGCTAGGGTAAAATACCGCAGCATGTTTCAGCTGTAACATCATCTGACCGTCAAATTAATGGAAAAACACAGGCATTCATTATTGTTGTTATTGTTTATTATTATTATTACAAGACAGTGGTGTAAGAAGTAACGTTACACAGGTACTTTACTTAAGTAAAGGTAGAAATACCATGGTATCAAAAGTATAAGTACTCACTTTGCAGAATGGCTCCTTTCACAATGTTATGCTATATTATTATAATATATTTTATAGTTTGTATCAATAACGTATATACATAATAGTATTTTATTTGTTGTACTTCATCAATGTGGAGCATTTTTAGATACTTCATGTACTACTGGGTAGATTAGTAAGTAGTATACTACAGAGTCATATGTTATATGAGGAAATTAGGAAAATACTTTCTCCACCACTGGTTGGGTCCAAGCTTCATTTCACTACCTTGAACCTGAAACACCTGATTCTTCTGGCCACAACATTAACATATCATCACATTTTAGGTTTACATGTTTCTCATCCAGCTGTTACAGAACAAGAGGATCGTTCATTTGCAGAGTAACTCTTTACTAAACAGCTAATAGTCACTTTAAAGTGTCTGCAAGTTTAATGTTTAGCAGTCATATTCTTGTTGTGTGTCTGGTACCTGATTGATGTGATATGAAAGGCCCTTTCTCTGAAGTGTGAGACTTAGTGCACTTAAATACACTCTGTAGAGATGAGTACAGCGGCGCATACAAATACACTGATAAATCAGAGGATGATTTTTCCTCTCCAGGTTGTCCAGCGTCATGAGTCAGCGGACGGAGCGACGGGGGGGGATCCACGTGGACCAGTCGGACCTGCTGTGCAAAAAGGGATGCGGTTATTACGGCAACGCGGGGTGGCTGGGCCTGTGCTCCAAGTGCTGGAGGGAGGAGTACCAGCGTGTGCGGCAGAAACAGATCCAGGACGACTGGGCCTTGGCAGAAAAGTGAGACCTTCTGCTGCATTATTAACAACAACAACAACACCTTCACTTCCTGGGTTGAAACATTGCCCCTTACAGTGTATTGCAGTACAGTTCACCCAACTGATTGCTGGTGTTTACTCCGTTTAAAAATGTCCTTGGCTCAAGGTTGCAGCGGGAGGAGGAGGCAGCATACGCCAGCAGTCACGGAGCGCAGACACAGTCCCAGTCCACAGCACCACAACCACACCCGGGCCACGCCTCCCTGGGACCCTTCTCCAAGTTTGAGGAGAAGAAGACCAACGAGAAGACACGTAAAGTGACCACCGTTAAGAAGTTCTTCAGCCCCTCATCACGCACCGCTCCCAAAAAAGGTACATTTAACATTGAGAGCAACTAACGAATACACTAACTGTACCAACACTTCTGAAGCTCTTTGTTTAACAGGTTATATCTTCTTTGTTTAATCTGTGTACAAAAAAGAAGAAGTGAATTTGTGGTTTTGGTAGAGTTTCGCACTGGAGCTATTTCCTCACTTGTCACTGCTGTTCTTCCTCGTCAGAAACCCCAGAGGGAAAGACACCCAGTCCGTCAATCAGCCGCCGTGCCAGCTTCGATACGGACCAGGTGACCAAAGACTTTGCAGACTTCTTGAAAAACCTCCAGAAGCCCGGCCGGGAGATCCAAAAGCAGTGCCGGGCCTTCATTGTGAGCATGTCGGGCAAGAAGGTATAACGTGACATCTAGTGGCGTAAATATTGTCTTTATGATCACAGTTTTGCTGATGAGCTATTAACTTCCTGTCTGTCAGGACCTGGGTGCTGACGAGCTGTCGGAGTGCGTTCAGGATTTCTACCAGAACTTGGCCGACCGTCTGATGGGTCACTTTAAAGGTTGGTTCAGATGAATCGGAGTATGTAGTAACCACCAGATGGCAGCACGAGCAGGACCTGATTACTCTTTGTTCACCAGGCTCTTCAGAGTCTGTGGAGCAGGTGATGGACCAGGTGGAAAAGTACATAATGACTCGTCTGTACAAGAGCGTATTCTGTCCAGAAACCACTGATGATGAGAAGAAGGACTTGGCCACACAGACCAGGATAAGGTGGGCCGTGATGTTTTCATAATACTAATAATGTACATAACTGGGTCCAGTCAGATGTCTGAGAGGACTTCTCTTCATTTCTGAATGCTCCTTTTTAGGTTTGAGAAAAGTCCTATTTACAAGTAGATGCTATTTTGTATGAAGGGTTGGTTTTGTACATTGAGAAGCTGCACAAATGCTCAAGTTGGACAATTTAAAAAGGGCAGAAAGAGACAAAGATCTGAGCAACAGTTGAATAATAATAACAGAAGAACTCACCAGTCATTGGTAAAAGAAACTGGAGGCGTAGCAGTAAAATGTGTGCAGATTTAAATAGGAACATGGTTATTGTTTCAGTGTCAAGTGCACAATAACACTGCCTCTAACAGGCTGTAATTAACAGGCAAACTATCCTTCAAATGTCACAATAGATTAGTATTACTGGAATATCAGCTGAACACACTATGGACAGACAAATTATAGTTTTAATCTCTTCAATCTAACCATGGAGTAGACTGCAGAGGACCTAAAGAAAAACAGATTTACTCAATATTTAGAGCTCACGTTGTGGTTCAACAACGGTCGAGAGTCACTGAGGCTTTTCTGGACTGGAAAACAAATTCAAAATCCAAGTTCTGAACAGTGTTCTCCAGTCATTTAACACTGAGGGGAGGTCGAAGTTTGAATCATTTTAATTATATTTCAATTATAAATAATACATTTGGTGTCTGAGCTACACTATTTTTTTTCAATCTCTGTTAAAAGAGTTATTATTGAAGGAAAGAAGAATATAACAGCTGATTACAAACTTTAACAGTAATGTATATTCAGAGTTATTACTAGAAATACACACATTCAGATTAAATTTAGTTTTGAGGAGCATTTGCTGGTTTTAGTGTTACATTTTAGTGTATGTGTGGGTTTCTAACTACCACTGCACAATCCTCGTCTTTAATCCTCAGCGGTCTGTGAAAACCGAGTGTTAAATTATGCAGCAGACATTATTAGCAGCACTGTCCTAGTTATTCGCATGTGAATGCACAGCGGCAGCTGTTGACTCGTTTGTCACACAGGGAGGAAGTTACCGGAAAGAAATGTGCATCGTGTGCAGTAGAATACAGCTTTCGGGCCAACTGTATGGATTCTGTGTGTTGCAGGGCGTTACACTGGGTAACCATCGAGATGCTCTGTGTGTCTATGGATGAAGAAATCCCTGAAGTCTCTGAGAATGTGGTCAAAGCGATAACAGGTCAGAGTGTGTGCTTGAACCTCTGAAACTGAACTCTCGTGGGTTTCTCCGTCTACATAAATGGAAAACAGCAAATCAATCTTCATTATAAACCATATTTGTAGTAACATCAGCTTTCTTCAGCAGCCTGCTACACAACGCAAGAGCCACAGACTTTGAACAACAACCCATGTTGGCTTTCCTGCTAAAGTCTCCTTCTTATCTAACTAAAAAATATGAACACACGTCTCGTCCTGCAGCCTAACTTTGCCGATAGGCTCAATAGCTAGTTAACTGCTCAGCTGCAGCACGTTGAACAGCGTGTAAATGTCACTTGGGTTAAATGTTGGTATTGACCTTTACTCTTCAATACCACTAAACACACGTGACATGTAGGCCACAGGTTGGTTTACTTTTCCGGCCTGATAAGGGTGTATTTTCATAAAGGTGTGCCAGCTGCAGTCAGACAGACAGGGACACATCCGCCCAACAGGCTGAGAGGAAAAGGAGCATTTCTGATCCTCAAATATCTTTTTTCTTCTGTTAAATATCTATAATATAAAATATTGAGACATTTTAAAAAACACTTAACCTTTTTCATGTGTAGAAGCTAGCCGACACTTTAAACACTGTGTGGCTTCCAGACAGATGCTGTACTGTGAACATAAAGTTTTAACTTAAATATATTACAAATAACTTAAACTAAGAAGTAATCATAATAAATACATTTTTACTTTCAATACATCTCAGGATTTTAGAAAGATGAACAATTCTTTTTTTTAAAGCAGAACTTCTAGATTTCAATATTTTGCCAGCTGAATGAAATTGTTTTCAGGATATTCAACTTTTTAACCTTCGTTCCATTAAAATACATTTGATGTTCCACATATTTGACTCCTTTCTTTACAGGGATTGTATAACAGGTGATAATGTATGTTTTAACACTCTGACTTCTTGCCTCATCACTGAATATTTGGTTTGTGCGCCCCCTGGTGTTTGGAAGAATACTTCAACGCGCGACACGTTGAGCATACATGTCTTTGTGCGAGCTTGTTGCTCGCATGCCATCTGTGGAGTCTCCTACAAGAATCAAGTTAACATTTTGATCTATAAAAGTTTTCTTACAGAGCCCAAATTAATGTCTTCAAAATATCCTGTTTTGTCCGACCAACGGACGAAGAAAACTAGTTAATATTTAGAGCAGCTGGAACCAGTGAAATATTGGCCCTTTTGGTTAAAAAAGCCGTAAACAATGAATCAATTATAAAAATAGTTCTGTCAATGAACTAAATAAAAGTTTTTATTTAGAAGTGACTGATGATACGCGTGTCTGTCCAACCCCTGACTTTTTTCTCGGTCTTTTCCAGACGTCATTGAGATGGACTCAAAGAGGGTTCCTCGGGACAAACTTGGGTGCATCACGAGCTGCAGCAAACAAATCTTCAGCGCCATCAGGATCACCAAGAACGAGCCGGCTTCAGCAGACGACTTTCTCCCCGCGCTCATTTACATCGTGCTCAAAGCAAACCCTCCGCGACTTCAGTCCAACATCCTGTACATCACCCGCTTCTGCAACCCCAGCAGGCTGATGACCGGAGAGGATGGATACTACTTCACCAACCTGGTCTGTTTTTTTCTTTCTCCTACTTCAATCCTCGTCAGAGCCAGTTTGAGCTGTAGGCCTCGTTCATTCAGAGTCAACTTAAACTAAGATAATTGACACTGGTTTAAGCCTTATTGTAAAGAATAGATATGTTATGAGATCTTCTCATCCAACTCTAAATATTGAAGTCATCTAGCTCTAAATGACTCAGGTTGATCTGAACTTGCCGTTAACTTGCCAGTCTCATCATTTTCAGCTGCCATGTCTCCTGTGTTTTTTGTCTTTTAGTGCTGTGCAGCGGCTTTCATTGAGAAGTTGGACGCTCAGTCCCTCAACCTTTCCCCGGAGGAGTTTGAGCGCTACATGTCGGGCCAAGCCTCGCCGCGATGCAACAGCTCAGAGGGCGACTGGACCCGCGCCGAACCGCCACCGGCCCCCGTCAACCCCGTCCTGGCTCAGTTAAACCACAACCTGGAGGTGCTGTCGGGCCTGAGCAGCCGGCAGGAGACGCTGATGGAGGCTGCTCAGAGCCTGCAGGCCGACCTCCTCTCCTGGCCCGGGAGCGTGCAGCGGGAGGTGGACGATGTCCTGGCGAAATACCCTCTGGAGGTTCTGCCTCGCACCGTGCCTGCCATCGATGACAACGACGTGGACAATGACAACCTGCCACCGCCACTCACGCCCCAGGTGTTCGCTGGGTAGTGGAGTCTTCAAAAAGGGAGTAAAAACATTTCACGCACAGCAACGGTACTCCTGCTTTAATATAAAGTCAACTCATTGCCTGTGTTTTGAGCTTCATGGAAACATCCCACACACACTAACCTCCTGAATATCATGCCGAGCTTCTTGTGCACTTTAAAGCCTGGTCACACCAGTATTTATTGTTTTTAACAGATAATCACAGCGATCAACTGATTCTTTGGGGGTAATTTGAGATGCAAATTTGCACCATTGACTGATAACAAGTCATCTAGACGGTGCCGACCTACAGAAGAATGGAGAGAGCCGGATAGACTAAGTACTGTACTTCAGTACAGTTTTGAGGTACTTGTAGATTACTTGGGTATCGCTACTTTATACTTCTACTCCACTACATTTATTTGATAAGTTTAGTTACCTTGCAGTTTGAGATTAATTACACAGAATGTAATCAACTAATACATTATAACGCACCATTATAGGTTAAGATACCCAGCATTAAATAAAGTAATTTAAATTTATTTCACCTTTAACAGCTGCTGCATTAAAGTGATTAACACATTAATGCATCACAAACGGAAATGTCTCTTGAATGAACCGTGTGAACATCTTGTCAGTTAGCCAACTTGTTAGCACAGAGAGCATATTTAACTCTCTATGAAATAAAAGGGAGTAAACGGTATACTGAATGCAGCTCTGAGTGGATAAATTGCAGCTTGCTAGCGCCTTAGCGGTTTGTCACTCTGGTGTGATCGGGCCTTTATGGTTATTCTGCTCTTTCATCACAGTCGGCAACTGTGACGTTTTTTAGTAACCACAGTATCTGGTTTGTCTGAACAAACAGCAAGTATAAACTCCTGTATATTGGTGATGTGTTGGTGTTTGACGTGTTATTTCGGGTTTTTATCTTCTTTTTTCCCTCCAATAGAGAGGCGAGGTCCCGCCACAAAGGGACCTTAAAATATGAACGATAGTCGATGGCGAGAGACCAATCATTTTTTATCTTGTTTGAATTGTGCCTGAATTACACACGTTTGTCAATTTAAAAAGAAAATTTGCACATCTCGCTGGTTTAAACACATCTTATAACGTTGCACGAGCGACGTAACGTTAGTTCACCGAGCGGTTTCACACAAAATTAAATGTTAACGACAAACTGCAACTTTCTTGACTTGTAAAACTATCTTTATAAATTGACAAACACATTTGTCTCTCGCCGTTGACTCCCGTACATATTGTTTCCAAAATAAGGTCCCATGGAGGAAACAGGAAACAGGGGGACTTTGCCTCTAAATATACCGTTTTGTTAGACTTGTTAATATCACATTCCTGTGTTTTATACGTTTAATATGCGTGTGTAATATTTTGATCTGAAATCCAGCTGTAACACATTTAGAGGAAACAGAACCACTTCTCATCATCGTCAAGTATCAAATTAATTTTAAGAGGCTCTTCAGTTTTTTTATTTTTTATCAACACTGTTTTAACATTGTACTGTGTTTTTAGAGTTAGCTGTATTATGGCAGGCTTCCTGCACATCCACCTTCAAATGCAAAAAAGCATGTTTTATGACAGAAAACTATGAATAATGTGTTTAAAATATTGATTCATATGGTTTTTCTGTGACGTACTGTATAATATTGGCATTAAAACAGGCTGGTGTCTGATGCTCAACTACTGGTTTTGTTTGAGAATCTTTTTAGTGTTTAATTCAGTAACTAGCATCGAATTAAAAGCCTGTAAAATGATGTATTTCTGTAAATTACTATATTTACTAATCAGGGCCCGTTTGGCAAATGTGGTTCCACTAATCCAGACGAACGTGATGTCGGAAAGATTAAATTATCCTGTTAATTCTAATAGATAACTTGGTTCTTTAAAGTCAGTCGTTCAATTTACTTTTTTTTAAATCTAGGATTAAGTTATTTGAATGACCAGTGTGCTCTTATTTTGAAATAAAGGCACCAGTAGAAGTAGAGTCAAAACCATGACTAGCTTTCATAATTATATTATAATATTTGGGTTGAGTGACACAGGCAGTGTACGGAAGTCAGGAAGTATTCATACAATTTGACAGATATAGTGAAATGTGAAATAAATTGAGACTAAAATCTCCCATGAAGCAGATTTATGAAACTAACTTAAACTTGTGTGTACACAATCAAGTTAATGATGAGAATCACATTTCATCCATTTAAGTGTTTAATGACAAAAAAACAGAGCTAAACTATAGTGTAAATCTTCAAATGAACAACACGATACTAACGGTTAAAAGGTGGACGATGGACGATGCTTATGTTGGAAAACTGTTTTTTCATTTGAGTGAAATAAAGAAGACAGTGAAATGAAACATAAATGTATCATTGGTGGAGGAAGTATTCAGATCTTTTACCGACGTAAAAGTACGACTACCACACAGAAAACACACAAAAAATACTTGTTACAAGCCCTGTATTGAAAATGTTCCAGCATGCAAGTATAATCAGGCAAAAGTACTAAAACTATAAAAATGTACGTTGACTGCGATACTGTGATTATGTCCTCCATGTAACGATTGTTTTGTTAAAATAGTGAGAAATAGCGTCACAGTTACCCAGAGCTGAAAGTGACGCCTTATTAATTGTGTCCAACAAACAGTCTAAACATCAACGTTATTACTAAAACAGTACAAAGATATTAACATTAAAAGGAAAAGCAGCAAATCTTAATCTGTAAAACAATGGAAGCTGTCAGATAAATGTTGTGACGTAAAAAGTCAATATTTTCCTCTGAGGTAGAAGTATAAAACAAGTACTTCAACTCTGTAACTAAGTACAGTACATGAGTCACTGTACTTGGATACATTCCAGCACTGGTTACTGCTGGTGAATACAGGCAACAACAGCTCAAATATGGAAAAATACACACCAGTTATAAGCAGGTAAGGAAATAACTCAGGGTGATGGTCATCAACAGGTAAACAAATCCAGGAGGCGAACGACAGGTGAGCAACGGATTACTAAAAACAACAATCCAGGAACAGGTTGAGGTTTAGATGGAGAGTGAAAGAAGAAGTTAGGCTGGTATAAATACGGTGACGGGTAATTGGGTAATGAGGAACAGGTGAGCAGGTGGGTGTCTGGTGGGAAAGTCTGAGGGTGGATGTATGGATAATAGCAGGAGCCTGAGTGAGTGAGAGGAGGCTGAAGACGGGATTTATTGGATTTAAAAACCTGCAAAATATTGCTGAAAAGATGGACAATGAAGGATTTCATTTTCCCACAAATAGAAAAATTCAGTGGCAGAATGTAACTAAGTATATTTACTGTAGTACTGTACAGTTTTATAGTACTTTATATGTTTTACTCCAATACATTTCAGACAGCAATAGTTATTTTTCAGATAAAGATTTTCTATTATAAAATGTATATCTTTAAAAACATACAACACATTGTTAAACCAGTGTCTCTCAGCCTTTTTGATTTATAATAACAAAACAATGTGTAGTTTGGGCTCCTTGTCATGTTCCAGATGTCTATATGAAGCTAAATTTCTCCTTTAAACATCTCAGTGTCATTTAGATTACTGTTTGAGGTAAAATTATCCAATACTTCACAAAATAAAACTAAAAAAATCAAAGATTGGAGAAAAATCCAGATACTGAGCACAGATTTGTGTTTCAGTTTTTTCTTCTTTCCTCTCCCATTAATCATTTTACGACACCTCAGACTTTTATGGAGACCCTTTGGAGGGGCCCGACCCCTACGTTGGGAACCACTGGAGTTAATAGTTAAAACTAGCTCCATCTCGAGTGTCTACAACAGTAATATTGATGCTTCAGTATAATCTGACAGGTATCAGTCATAGGACACATTTTTACTCCAGAATGAGAACTTTAGGTACATTTAGCTGAAAATATTTTGTTGTAAGAATTTATAAAGGATCTCAGTGCTTTCTTCCACCACTGAAAAAACACTTAAAGATGCAATAATCACATAAAACATGTCTCATTAAGTGCATAATATGCAATTTATTATTTATTTTTATACTGTTAGGTGACACGTGAGGGATTTCTGGAGACTGAAAGAGCAACTAAACTTCTCCATTGGAGGCCTCTAATGTGCAAAAGTGACGAAATGCAGTTTTTAAAGGGCCATTGTCTGAAGTCACCCAGCTGCAAACAGCAAGTCATGGCTTCTAAAGGAAATATAATAATAGTAACTAACCTCAAACAAACATTTATCATGTGAAGTATTTGTCATTGTCAGTCTTTGCATCCATCGAGACGTAAGTGTTCCTCGTAACATTACAGTATATATACAATATAAGATAAATTAGATCATGTTGATACATGCTGATATATTTCTGAGAAACCAAATAATGAAAGCTTTATACATACAGTAAGGCAGAGAAAATACAGAACTAACCTAAAAGAATTGGTATCAAACATCTGTCAATTATTCACACTGAAATAAAACAAAGAATTCAAAACATTTTATAGTATATACAAAAATACTTATGCAAATGCCCCTAGGAATATCTTAATAGAAAAAAATAACAGGAATCTCATCAGGAGGACATCACATTATATTTGAAACATGCACTTCCCGCAGAGGGTTTTCAGTTCAGCGGTGGGCCACAAGTCTGGGTGTTTTGTTTATTTTTGGGGGATAACTGAGAGATCACTGAGAAAAAGCGGTTCTTGGTGCAGATATTTGGTCCACTGTGCTCATTGGTCCTCGTTTTTGTACGTCAAACTCCCGCCTGTGCTCCTTAACCTCGTGTGGTCATCCCAAACGGGAGATGTACAGCACACAATAATCTCATATGGACCTCAAACTTGCCGTCTTTCTTTAAACTATCACACTTTGGACTCGCTCTCTATGTTGGTAACGTCCCCGTTCTTCTCGGTCGGCTGGCTCTTCACCTTGTTGTCCAGGCTGGTCTTGGTCTCCTTGCCCTCCCGCTCAGACTCTGGCAGCCCCTGCTGGCTCAGCCTACTGGCCAGTGACCAGGTGAGGGGCAGGCAGGCGCGGTTGGTCATATCAGCAAGCTCTTTGGCACTGCAGGCGGGTGTGTTGGTTTCGTATATATCGTGGAAGCTGTTGTAGTCCACCTCGTAGAAACCGTCCTCCAGCGTCAGGACCGGTGTGAAGCGGTAGCCCCACTTGATCTCACTGCTGACGTATGAACTCCTCGCCTGGCACGTCATGCCTGGAGACACAACAATAAAGCATTAACAGTTGTGGTATAAAGAATTATTGAAACAGATTGAGCCACATTAGAGGGTCGATTCATACAAATGTACCCATGCATGTGCAGACAAACAATTGAGCTGCAGGATATTGTTATGAACCAAACTCCTGGTAAAAAAATCATTTGTTCTCTTTTCTTTTTTTGCTTCTTTGTGTGTGATATTCGGAGGGGGTGGCACCTGGTCATGAACAGGCTTTCAGGATCTGAGATGATTACCAAACATGAAAGCAGCACGACAACAAGATAAAATTGGGCTTGCTCGAGGAATGATTACAGCAAGCAAACCTGTTTCAATGAATAAATGGGCCCTTAACTATTGTTTGAAGAAAGACTTGATCAATTGTGAACCTATAATGTTCGGCTACATGACAGCTGCTAAGAGGTGTATGCTACTACTGAAAGTCTGACTTACTGGCCACACTTCAGTAATGATGGAATGAACTGTCACCATACTGTACCTCAAGAAGTGGACAATTTAAAACTTTGACCTGATGATGGTGCTCAAGGAAAAGTCAGAGGAGTTTTTACAATTCATCCTGAAGGAGGAACTAAAGTGCGTACTTGAGTTTGTGCAAATCTATCCAATAGTTATCGAGACATTTCACTCAAAACCACAAATGTCAACGTCATGGTGGCGCTGCAGGAAAGGTCAGGAGATTACCAAAGTAAGTATGACTCATTCTGGAGACAATACGTGTCTGTCTTAAAGGAAGAGTTTGAATATTTCGGTCAGGACCAAAGTGGTGGATCAACTGACAGATATATATTACCATTCCTCCAGCCTGAGCGTGAATTCAAAAGAAATGATCAGGGTTGTGTATAGGGGTTCATGTGGGATGAAAGGTACTGTGTAACACTGTTAAAGGTTCTCTTTGTGACATTCGGAACATTAAAAAAGCAGCAAACAACTGTTTTCTACGTGGAGATATAGTGGAGTAATGTCTACACAAGCAGCGAATGAAGTCACTCTCCCTCTGTGTGCGTGTGATCATCTGAGCTCAAGCCCTCCGCTCCGCACTGCGCTTATATGGTGGTTTAGCGTCGTTTAAATCCACTGAACACATTATTGTAACATATGCATAATAACATTTGATGACACTCACCTGTGGCCTCCACCATCCCCTCTAGAATCACAACAATCTCCAGATCGTCCCTGGTCAGGTGGGCTTGCGAGATCTCCCAGAAGGGGCTGTTCTGGTTTATCTCATGGCAGATGATGAGTGGCGACACCAGGAAGAGCCTGTCATCTCCCGTGTTGTAACCCACATTTATGTCCGTCTGGTTCAAAGGGATGAACTCCCCTTCCTTGGTCTGCTTGGACTTTATAAGCTTGGCTCTGATTGAAGCCTCCACGATGTGCGAGTTCCGGAGGTCTCCGACTCTGAACATCAGGCACAGCCGTCCATCTCTCATTGAGATGACCGCTTTGGTGGAAAACACTAGTGTCTCAGCCCGCTTCTTGGGCTGTGAAATCTTAACAAACATGCAACCCACCATGAAGGCATTCACGATAGATCCCAGCACTGACTGAATCAGAAGCAGAAGGATCCCCTCGGGGCATTTGTCCGTGATGACTCTGTACCCATAACCGATGGTGGTCTCTGTCTCAATGGAGAACAGAAAAGCTGATACAAACGAATTAAGGTTATTGACACATGGAGTCCACTGGTTGTCTGATAAGTGCTCCAGGTCGCCCCGAAGGTACGCAATAAGCCACCACATGAAGCCGAAGAAGAGCCACGTCACGGTGTACACCAGGACAAAAATGAACAGGTTTAACCCCCATTTGAGATCTACCAGCGTGGTGAAAATGTCTGTCAGATAGCGGTACGTCTCTCGAACATTACCGTGACGGACGTTGCACTTCCCGTCTTTCCGGACGTACCGCTGGAACCTCTTTGCCCGTTCCTTCTCTGACAGCTGTTTAGGCAGGTCCTCACGGGCCTGCTTTGGCAATTTAGGCTTTTTGATGATGGCCGGGCTCTCCACATCCTGCTCCATGTGCTTTCTAGGTGGATTCAAGCCTTTTCAGAGAAGAAACATGGTGGTAATTAGTAGTGACAGAAAAGTGCAAGAGCAAGAGAGTATATGTACACAAGGACATACGTACTTCAGGACAATTTGGAGTATTTCCATTTTAAGCTACTTTACACTTTTACTTCACTACGCTTTGGAGAAAAATATTGTTATGAACACTTTTACTTTTGGTACTTTAAGTATGTTTTGATTCTAATACTTTTGTACTTTTAGTAAGATTTTGAATGCAGAACTTTTACTTGTAACAGAGTAATTTTACATCGTGGTATTGGTAGTTTTACTCAAGTAAAAGATGTCAGTACCACTGATGTCAGTACATGTTCCAGTGGAAAAATAAACAACAAAACAATAAAATAAACCTAAAGCCTCTTAAATACAGCAGAATAGTCATTTGACACCTCTGATGTCTTTACTGTGCACATTGCCAGAGCTGCCATCGGTGGGTTATTACCACTGGAACACACGGCTGTGTTGAAGCCGTTCTGCTCTCCGTTCACTGGAGAATATTAGGAGCTTAAGCAGGGCTGGTTTCCATGGCAACATTCTACCGAAGTACTCACGATACAGCAGGAATGTACCGGATGAGGCTGCGCACAAGCGTTGGATAACAGTTGTCTGTTTCGTGCTGTTTCAGAGGGCCGGAGAGGAGGAACAATGTGCTGGTGTATCTGCTTTGTGCATGAAGCTGCTATTTGTGAAACGATCTGGTTGTTATTTTGTAATAGTTAATAGATAAATGAATATCTGTGAATGGAAACATGAGTATACAGGCGTACAGAGCATGTTTATTATGATTAGTATGGCACTGACTGTAAAGAAACTATAAAAGCCAATATAATTAATAGTACTAATGTTGTAGTCGACTCTCACAAGATGTAGCGAAGAAATTAATTAAAGCTAGTTGATATCTTTATATTAAAGTTACTAAAAAGAGTTTAAACTGGTTGTTAAATAGAACACTGGTGCCTCTACTATATGGCCTATAAGCAAACAAGACCATCAGTGAGGAGACTTCTCTACAGTAATCAGGAATTTGTTGTTTTTCTTTTTCTTTCGGAAGGCATGACCCGCCCTACGCTACCTGGCTAGCCCTCATTGCCTTCGTTGGTTGGATTGTGTAGGCTGAGACACGTGGAGTGAGATTGGTTAGGGTTAGGATAAGAATATCATCGTAAGCCAATGCCTTCGCCAAAACCCAGGAAAAACAAAATGTGCCCCTGGGGCAGATTCCCCGCAAAATCTGACGAAACGACTTACGGCACGAAGACCAGAAGAGCAGAAGTTTGAGTTCTCAAAGGCAAAGTTTGGCAGTAAGAAGTATGTTAGCCAGTTAAAAGGAAGCAGGAGGAGATTTTTCCCTTTGACATTATATTTTGTGGTTATGGCTGATACTGTGGCAGGATCAGCAAAGAGAAAAAAGAAAAGAATTGAAGAAAGAAAGCAGTAAAGAACGGATCTTTCATGTGGTGGCCGCCAAAATCAACACAACATGAAGGTTCCTTGTTGCTTTAACAATGGATTAAAGAACTATGTGCATGTGAAAGGCGTTATCATCATCTGACTCTGTATTTCCCCTCGGCTACAATACATTTTTAACGTGTTTCATTTTATTGTTTGGGTTTTATGGCCTCTCTCACAGCTCCCATAGTGCCTTTTTCGACCGCAGCAGAAGCTTTCCAGCGGAAAAGCTCGAAAATAAACCTCCACTACCTGCACAGACTAGATAAAAGATTAACAGGTGAAAACAATGGAGCATTTAGCAGTTAAAGAGCCAGATATTTCCCTTAGGAGATGGTGGAGACCAAAAACAGAGCGAGAAGAGCACTTCAATTTGATGGATGGTAAGAAACACGACTCGAAAAAATTTGAAAAGGCCTGTTTCACCAATGTGCATCTATGCTGAACAATGTACTTGTCCTGCAGCCAGATGTGGTGCACACAGGCATCGTGTTGGATGAACTCTTGAGAAAGTCTATCGATGAGTAGACACTTGTTCATGATATGGATTCTGATTCATCTCTGCTGTGTAGAGGAGGCCGTTAACCAGGTAGCTATATCCGGATGTGGATCCAAAATCGAGCCACAAGAGGACACATGCTATTTTTAGGCACACGCCAACAGCTGAGCACAGGCAGCAGGGACCTCTCAAAGAAATGGTGTTGAAATCTTAGCATCTTATCTTATTTATTTTAGCTCGTTAGATCTCAGGGGAGAATGGTCGTCAGATGGATCAAGACCAACCGCATTTAACAACTGATTATAAAAAAAGACAGCATAATTAGCCACTGTTGTTGATATAAAACAATGTAGTGCTGTTCATCATTATGGTACATTGAGCCAAATTATCCAAAAGCAAGCTGTATGACCATCCACTTTGATTAAAGGATCACTTCCCCCACTATACATGTACACATACAATAAAGGGGAAACTGAAACAGACTAGGGGTAAGTGAGAACATGTATTTTTGACCCTTTAACAGGAAATGTGTGGGTTTGTTTCACATTAAAAGTCTATCAGGGAAGGAATGATCCCTGTGGCATTCAACCCTGGAGGCGTTTAATGTGAAGCATCGGTTCAGGAAGTGCAAATTACAACAAGAGCAGATCAGAAAAAAGGGTAGGCGTATTATTAAAACATGATTACATATACGCATAACTGTATATTGTTTCATTTTATTTCATTCCATTCTATTCTGATTTAATTATTTGCATATATATTCGATGTGTGTGTAGCATGAAGGACCTACAACTTACATTTCAATGTGCAATCCTGTGTTGTAAAATGAAAAATAAATAAACCTTGTAGAATACTAAAGTATTATACGTAGAACACTACAATAACACTTCAGTGACTGTCAAGAACTACTGCTTTGTGCTGACAGATTTAGGTGATATACAGAGGTGGAAAAAGTATTCACAATACACACCTTACAACAGAGGTGGAAAAAGTGGAAAAACCCCCAGAGTAAAATTACTCCACTGCAAGTAAAAGTCCTGCATTCAAAGCCTTACAAGTAGAAGTAGAGATGTATTATGTAATTTAAATATCACAGTAAAAGCAGGCAGCAGAATTATTGGATTACGTACTGTGTGAGCGGCATTTCATGTTGTAGCATGTCAAAATGTAGCTAATTTTAACTACGTTTTATACTGTTGAGCAATCTTACAATTAATCTATAATTAATCCATAATGCATCATATTTACTCAAATATTTTGTCCATAAAAAAGTACAATATTTGTCAAGATGTAGTGAAGTGAAGCATGAAGTTGCATAAAAGGGAACACAGGTACCTTAAAATTATACTTAGGTTTTGTGTTATCAAAGATGAAATGATTGTCATGGGAAACAACAAAACTATTGTATTACACTGTGTCAGATCTTTTTAGAGAAAAACTGCATTTATTAAAAGACATTAGCAAAATTGTAGAATAATTGGGTTTTAGAAGTATAATAATGTTTAAGATTACTGATTTTATTAGAGATGATTCACTTAAGGTTGCAGCCTACATATTAACTTATTATTAGAGTTATAGTCCTTCTGTAAACATTGGTGTAAAATAAGTTTATAACTGACTAATTAGATAACTACTTATGTATTTATTTATTTATGCAAAAATGCTAAATATCTCCTTTATTTAGCTTCTCAAAATGTGATGATTTGCTGTATTTGTTCTTAATAATTTAAATGTATTTTTAATCCATTTAAAAAATTAAAAAACTTTTACTACTTTAAGTATATTTTCCTGACGATACTTAAATTTGATACAACATAGGCTTTTCTTTTTTTGATAACTGTCCCGATTTAGCTGGTTAGAGGATATCAAAGCTAACAAAGTGGCCCACCTTGTCAGCCTGTTAATGGAGACCACCTGTGTTTTGGGGGATTTACCTGCACATTCAATGAGCATAAGAGCAGCGTTTTGTTATAGAGCAAGGCTAGGCTAAATGATGGGGAGTGCTGCTATCAGGTGCAAGGAAGCGGAGAGCAAACTAACAGGCTGGAGATTAACTAATCTAATAACAATCTTCATTTTACGTTATGTTTCTCTACTTTCTTTTCTTTTAACGCGCCAGTAAGCACCCGTTTCTGGTGTTCTCCTGTGGTGCTGTGAGGGCCGGCGGGGCCTGCGGGCTCTTACAGCCCGGAACATTTTTTTTCTTGTCTCTCTCTCTCTCTTCAACACCTTCCTCCAGTCTTCTTACTCAATCTATAACCGGCTGCTTATTTCCCCTCCATCATGTCAACAGGAAGAAGGGGGAAAGAAACAGCCTGCTCTAGCCTCCAATTAATATTTCATGCGTGTAATAATTCTTAATTAATTCCTGATTCGCCTCGCACTGTTATGTAACTATCCACCCCCCACCGTGTAACAGATAACAGATGATTTCATTACAAGCTATCATCAGTATCGCTACCAGGAAAAGGAAGGAAAGGTGCATTAATACCTTGCGCAGCAGATTCACTCCCCGAGTCATTTTTAAAGCCGGTTTGGTCCCATGAAGAAAATGTCCCAGCTCGGGTTTATAGGATGTGATTATCAAGTCGCTCTCTACAAAAACCGACTGAAGAATAGTCACTAATTCCCTCTTTCCTCCATCCTCAACACAGAAAAAGGCATCGAGCAGTCAGCCTCCACCCCTCAGATGGGAGAGAGACAAAGGAGAACACTGAGAGAGAGAGAGAGAAAGAGAGAGAGAGAGGGAGGGAGAGAGAGAGAGAGAGAGAGAGAGAGGGAGGCGGAGACATGTGTGGTGGTAAGACAGAATACAGTGTATACTTACTGTTATTATTCCTGTTTATTACAAGCAGGCAGTGCTGGAAAGTAACTAAGTACTTTTACTCAAGTGCAATTTTGTGGTACTTATACTTTAATTTAAAGGCAGGGTTGGTAATCTTATTCAAAAACATTTTTTATATCTCATTATATTCTGACAACACTCAATAAATGAAATGCTCCAAAAAATAAAAATAAAAAATCCAGTATCTGTGGAAGGACTTTAATGAGTCCATTTGGCCCGAATTAAAGGGTTGGACCACCTGTCAGCGTGTATTCTCATTGCTTAACAGCTGTGAGTATTTACAATAGCCATGTTCTTTGTTTACATTCATAATTATATGTTTACGTTCATTGTGATAATTGTGTGGGCGTGGCTTTGGAGGAAGGCCTTAAAGGACGGGCTGGCGGTGCTGCCGACTTGGCGACTTTCTTACTAGATTTAGCAACTTTTGGAGCTGGTGCTGCTGACTACTGTAATTATAAAAGAGTCGGCAGCACTTGTTGGATGATTTTTATTTTTAATCCAGCGTACTCTTGCTAGTTTCTCAAGATTACCAACCCTGCCTTTAAGGGTGCAGACTGTGTTGGAGCTCTCCATGGTGCTGATCTCCAGTTCACACCAGTGGGAACCTTCAGCCATTAACTTAACATGCCTATCAATTGACTTCACCTGTTAGTTAGTACATTTTATTAAGCTTTATTAGTTTAAGAAGTCTCGTTGAGATCAAGACCTATGGTAAAAGAGACAAGTTAGTATAGTTACCACAAATGTACTTACAAGTTTGTGGCGATTCGTTCAGTAGTTTTTAGTTGAGAGCCGTGTTATAGCTAAAAATATCAGTAAGTGGAACCAGCATGGTCTTTTAGATGAAAACTATTTGAATTTTTAGTTTTTGAGCACAATTTTCAATGTTAGTTTTGTAGGAAAATCTGCTTTCTGATCAAATAAAATGCTTGGTAATGATGGACAGTATCTATCCCATTTTCATTGAGAGCATGGATCTGAGTAGGAACGCCAAACTTTCAAACTTAAAGTTTGATGCTAATATTTTTGAGCTTTTTTTCTAAGTAAGATTTTGAAAGCAGAACTTTTACTTGTATCAGAGTATTTCTACATGGTGGTGTTACTGCTTTTACTTAAGTAAAATATTGTACTTCCATCACTGCTTCTTGTACTTCCTTCAAACTTCTGATCTTTAGTGCCGACCGACGTTTTAAGGTAATTCCATTGATTGATTTTCAGCTCCCTCTGGTTATTTCACAGTAAAAACCTGTAAAAAGAGTTCCAGATGCTTTTATAAATAAAAGGACACACTGTAAAAGCATTTCAGTTATTTTTTACTTTTACCATAAATAATAAAAATGACATTTCTTTTTCACTGCAAACAAACTAAACCCAAATAATACAGTGGAACGATAGCTTCCTAGAAGCTAACAGAAACAGATAAATAACAATATAAAACAATTGCAAACATAACAGTGCAAACAATGATTAGCTGTGTTGCATCTCTCCTGCATTTATCTGTTACAAGTACAACAAAATAAGCATGTTATAAATGTACTTGTTGCTTTCTATCGTTGTTTATCAGATACTTTCACTTGAGGTAAAATAAAATCATATATCGGTTACAATCACAAAGTGCTCGACTTCATTATCAAGTACAGTAGGAAATAACATTTAACTTAAAGGTGGAATGAAGCTGACAAAGAATAAAAACTATTGATTCTCTCTGTGACAGTGACTATAATAAATATTATACAGAAACAACAAACTAATATGTAAACAGCTGTATTTTACATTAGTGTGCAAAAACTTCAGCTACCTTCAATCTCCGGCAACTTTGAGCAAAACGTGTAAAATGTGAAGACCGACAAAATGGATACCACCTGAACATTTCTCACATCTTTAAAAACAAGCTCCTCAGGAGGCTGCATAATTAAAATATACTCTGTTTATCCAAAAGGGAACAGGTTAAACAGTTAATCTGCATCCTGAAACTAAACTTATTCCTAAAAAATACAGATTTGACTTCAGACTTTACTTACAACATTCAATATTTACTACAATGTCATTTCTTTGCTCTGGAAATGTGGTGAGACCAATCACGTACAAATCCAGGTTAGGGCAAAGCTGGGGAAACGTTAAGGTATTAAATTTAAAAAATAATAATAAAGGACAATGGGCAGGATTGACTTTTAAATTAGATTAACGGTCATGGGACCCACTTCTGATCTCATCTCAGGCTTTAGAGTTCTTGCAGCTTCACTCCTTCGTCAATGTGTCCATAACTGGATATGTTCAGCCAAAGAACTCCAACAAACAGTCTTTGTAGTTTTTACACATGCAAGTTGGAAATAGAAAAAATAAATTTGAAGTCTAAAAAGACACTTTTTGGGTCGAGGTTCTGTGCCTTAAAGGACTACGTAATATTTGTAAGAGGAAATGTATTTTCTCCTACAAATGAAAAGTGCTTTAGCTAAATATGCACTACTGTGCTGGACTCTGTGTGCGACCAAAACCCGTCTGAAACGTACCCTTAATATCATAATTTAATGTTAGACCTTTGAATAGTAACTTAAAGGAATAGTGCACCCAAAAGCAGCCTGAAGTGCATAAAGCAATCACCTCCCTAACTCTCATTGGTCCAAGAAATAGTTTATTATCAAATTAAGGAGCGCCTGAAAAAAATGAAAGCATATCAGTGCAAACAGACTTTGACAGAATCTGTCCAAAAGAAAGCAAAAAAGGTTATTAATCGTCCCGTGCAGCATTTCCGAGGAGGATAATCTAAAAAATGCTTTGTTTACAAACATCATAGCAAAAATAGTTTTGTTTGGATTTCCGTGAGCCCACGAAAGGATACAAGACTTTGATTAAGCTGCACAGGAAGTTTCTGAAAGTAACCTTTTTTGTGCCGTCTGTCGTTCTGTAGGTGATAAGCCTCCATTGTTCCTAAATATTATTCAATGGAAAATGTATTTCTGGGACCATAGAGAGCCGAAGGAAGGTGACGAGTACGATAATGTATGATGTTTTGGGTGAACAATTACTTTAAGGATAGAAATAGGGTAGGATGTACATTTTTACACCCGTTTCACGTCTTTCTCATAATTATTGGTTGTGGTCAGAAGTGATGTCACAAGGTCCTGGAGTACACCTTTACATCACTGCATCAAGGGGAGAAGTTAAACCAAAGGAGGTCAGCAAAAACAGGACTTTTAAGTGTTGTTATGTTACTCTGTAAAGTAGTAGTATTGCTTTGGTATTTACACTCAGTTACCAGTTAATTAGACCGATTTAAATCAAATGAATGAAGTCTAAAACAACAGTCCTGCAGTAAATCCCCCTTCATTAAGTTTTAGTTGAAGCTGTTTTGAATTAAAGATGTAATACAGGACTGTTGTATTAGACTGCATTATAGGTGCCCTTAATAAACTAGCAGCTGAGCTTAATTTGTGTTATTCATTTTGAAAATAAAATAAAAATATGTTGGGGGAACAGAATACTTATATGTCGAAGCATGATTTAAAGGGTCACATTTTAAAGACATCAGCACAAAATATTGGGAACGTCAATACAAAAACCAATATCGGTTGAGTTGTAGTAAAAAGGGGAACATCCATCCTTTTGCGTTTTGGTCCCATCGGCCCTGACCGCCTCCCTCCATACTTCACCACCACGTGATCTTGAACTCGTAGATGGGCCTCTTGCAGTAGTAATGGTTGATGAGGTGCTTGTCACAGACGCCGATGCACTGCTGCTCGGAGGTGATGCCGCGCTCGTCCAGGTCACTGACAATGCAGTGCAGCAGGTCGTAAACGTCCGCCACCGCCTCCCAGGGTCCGAAGGAAACGTCCACCTCGCAGTGGTGCTCGAAGAGCTTGGCCTCGCTGTCCGAGCGCTCGAAGCGCAGAGAGTTAAAAAGAGGACGCTCGTACGGCGTGATGGGCATCTCCTCCTTGTAGACGCAGATCTTCAGCTTGGCAAAGCGTGCCTTCTTCTGCATGGCCCTCAGTTTGGCAATTTCCACAATACGCTCCAGATTGTCTGGAATGAAAACAGTTAAATAATAATAATAATAATGACATATTAAAAAGACTCATTCGTGTTTTTATGCTGCTCAGCAAACAATGTGTTTTGTTTGCACATAAATCAAACCTCGTCTTAATCACACCATGATATCCTTATCTAGTTGTAATTTTCCTGACTTACATAAAATTGTAGAAATATGTAAAACATGTGTAAACAGAGCAAAGTGTTTATTATGTACTATAGCTGTGAGCCACCCACCTACAAACCAAATCTGTGTTTGCATAATCAGTGTGGAGCTCTCTCTTGTGTTTCATTTTGAATGAATGAATGAATTTATATGAATTATGCATCATTATCATTCCCTTTACACTGTATGTGGACTACTCTCTTCAGACCACTTACCATCAGTTTGTTGTCATGGTATTTTGCATGCTGGTTCTCTCTACATCATCGTCTCTGTATTAAGAACTCAATTGAATCTTTTGAGTTTAAGCTATTTTTTTATGCTACAAATGCTGAAAGCTGATTCAGATTTGACAGTTTTTGGTGGAGTCACCACTCTTTGTCCATTTATTTTAATTATCACTAGGAATTCTGAATTTATGTTCCCCACGTGTGTATATCTAGACTTTAATTGGACTGTATTAGGCCTATGAGACCATAGGAGCAGACACACAGACATGATAGACATTATTTTCAGACTAAGTGTGACGTACATCTTACGAGGATATCATTATCTCCGACATCCATCCTGAGTGAACATCGCTGTAAAAGACGCTCCTCATAACTGCAGAACTTGCTTGAGAATCATCGTGTTTTTAAGTTTTATTCAGTATCAAAGTCATTAGAGACGCAGCGATCGTTTATCAGCCGTGACAGCTGACCGGCCAATTAGTCTCATATATAGGATTTATTTTAATGTAGTTTCACGTCACACACACAGTGGCACAGACAGTAACGTCACAGCCCCCCCCACCCCCCTCACACACACACACACACACACACACACACACACACACGTCGTCGGTGTGGAAGTTATTCAGTGTAACGTAAACCTCGACATTTTTTAACAACTGTAGGTGCAAAATAAGCCGTGGTCCTGTGAGAGGGTCCTGAAACTTAATCTAAGTTATCAATGTTTTGTTATGAACATACAATTGAATTCTGTTTTCCATGAGAAATGTTTCATGTTACAAAATGTATGTTACAAAACATGTTAGAAAATAGTTTGTGTATGCTGTTAGGGCAGACTTTAAAATATCGGTATCGGCCGAGAAAATTGCAATCGGTGAATCTCAAAAAGAAGTCCTGTGATAGTTAGTCTGCAAACAGAAATGGCAAATAGCTAATTCTTCCATACTTTTAAATGGTGCCAAATCTGCCAAAATGTAAACAAAAGAAATGGGGCTCAAGCTAACTCCACTATCCCATACTGTTAAATAATTATCCTCAGCCTTTAACATTAACACCAATCATCTTTCATCCTGTGAGGGAGACAGACTCCAGGTACCTCGGTAGTAGGGCATCAGGTCGAGGAAAGCCTGCCGAACTCTCTCCCCGGTGAGCGGCTGCGTGTCCTCCAGGCTGTCCAGCAGCGGGCCGAGGGCGTAGTACTGAGCCTCTCTGTGCACCGCTCGCACCCGGTCCCTGTGAGGAAGCTCGCCTTCTCGCAAGAAGTTCAGGATGTCCCTTTAAATGGAAACAAATCCCGTTCAGACTATGTTCCTACCCGATGAATCCGACTCTGCTCCGATGTCGTTTATACCAAAACACTACTGTTGAAACGTTTGTAATCTCCTGCCACAAAAGCTTGATTGGGTCCAGACAGATGTCTGAGAAGACTACTTTGTATTGATGAATGAACTTTCATGCTTTTAGGTTGTCGAAAGTCCTCTTTACAACAGATCGCTGTACAATGGTTCAACCAGAGAGATGAATGCTTCATTTCCACTGCACGGTTCGGCTCAACTCAACTCTCTTTTGGTATCAGGGGCTTTCCAGTTTTTCCTTTTTCATGGATCGCTGTTAGTGCCGGGTATCGGAAACTTGGCATCAAAATGTGTGCCGATTTATATAGAACAGGTTCCTGTTTCAGGCTCAAGTGCACAATAATGCAGCCGGTAGCATGCTGTAATTAACAGGCAACGTGTCGCTTTAGCAAAACTCGTCTTTAAACTTATAAAACACAATAAAAGTAGGTTAGTTCAGGGTTAGCACGACTGGAATATCAGATGACCATACTGACAATTTTTGTATCTCTGTTAATGCAGTAACATACTCGGCCAATGAAGCAGATGTTCTGCTTCATTGCAGCAGAACCTGGAGGGCTTGTAAACATTGAGGATAAAATGAATGCAGAAAAATAGAGAACTCCTGGAGGAGAAAAAAAAGCTGCTGCAGTGTTTAACACAACAGCAACTTGGAAGATTTATTTTCCAGCAAAGACAATAGCCACAAAAACACAAGGTTGGCTTTAAAGACCGGTGTTTATGTCCCACATGAAAAGGCTTCTTCTGAGTGTCTGGGTTTTAGTACTTTGTATCGCTACATACCTCCCCTCTCTCATTCTGCTAGCTCCTTGTGTATAAATCTTTCATACAAACCCCCCTCGCTCAGACACATTCATACAGAACTGACCTCACCTCAACTTCCTGCTTACATAAGTCATACGCCTTGACTCAGCTTCTTATCACGTTCATATTTAAAGCGATTTGCTTTTGCCTTTCAGCAACACTAGTGGCCCACTTTAGTCCAGACTTAAATATCTTATAAAATGCTGCACAGACGATGACGCCTACTGACCGTGGTGATCCTGACTTTTCCTCTAGCGCCACCATGAGCTTGACGTTTGATGGTTTTGAGTGAACCGTCGACAACTATTGGATGGATCATTGCCATGAAACTTCGTCCAGACGTTCATGTTCCCTCAGGATGAATTGTAATCACTTTGGACATCTCTTAAAGCTAGGGTGGGCAGTGGTTTTAAAAATAAATGTTGTTCTGGTTACATCCCGACAGCAATCAATAAATCAAATGCTCTGACAAAAGAAGTCCTGTATCTACGCAGCCATTACAGCCAGATGTCAATTTCAGTCAATGTACAATTAAATGTCATATTATACATTATTGTCTGTTCATCTCTGCACTTCATGTTAATTGTTCTGTGTTGCAGGCTTTATGTCTACGATGAGATAAGAGAGACTTGAGTGTCATCGATCTGTATTCAGTAAAGTACACATAGTGGTTCTCCTGGTCTACAAAAACAAGGAACGATGCAACATTCAAACTACACAACAGATGCAAAGTACAATAACAAGATGCAAACATGCGGTGCAATAGGCAAATTAGAAAAGTATAAATACAAATGAGTGTATACAAATGTGTGTAAACAGTAGCAGTTTGTGGGCTGAGGAAATCTACTGTTATTAAAAATAAGGTTTCCTCTCAGTTAAATAGGATTTGTTTAGGCTGGAGTCTCAGTGGTAAAAGTTTAGAACAAAAAGTTTAGTTTAAGTACAAATCTGTGTGAAGACTGTCAGTAGCTGAGGGAGACAATGCACACGGCTCAATACTATTAATTAGCTGCACCTTTGTTTTCGTTTGCCAGTTTCCGCTGGCTATCCAACCCCTTACCAATGCAGAATAACACCACATTTTGTAACTATCCGATGCAGGCATATCAGCAAACAAGCACAGAACTAGATATGTAAATCAGTTTACAGCACTAACAGAAGTCAGAGAGGCTCATGGATACCTGTCAGAAAATAATGAGCTGCCATCTACGGCTTTAAGAAACCCTTTCAGATTGAGAGTGAGCTTTTATTATGCTCAGCTTTCTCTCGGTTGCCATTTAATGACTTCACAATCTCCAAAGTTTTTCTGACACACTCATAAGAAAATATTATGAACAGGTAAATACATGTGTACACTACCGTTGAAAAAGTTTGGAATCAGCAATTATATTGATCTTTTTCTCCTTTTCTTTAATAATGTCTATTTTTACTAGAGATTAAAAAAAAATAACAACAGTATAATTCAGACACCAAATGTATTATTTGGAATAGTTTGGGCCCGAAAAGAAGAAGAATTAAATGTCTCAAACATTGGGTTTTGAATGTTTTTCCCATGATGATTATTGAACCAAAACAGTGCAATCGGGCTCTAAATATTGAGTCCGTCTGCTTTTCTTTGGGCCACCTGCAGTCTGCTTAGTGGTGAGATTGAAGAGGGTTAAACTGGGATTTGTCAGTATGGTCAGCTGATATTCCAGCAGTGCTAACCCTGGACTAACCTACTTGTATTGGGAAATTGAAAGAGTTTTGCTAAAGCAACACGTTGCCTGTTAATATTCCAGCTTCTACTTTTAAAGAGGGCCTTCTACAACTCAACAGCATGAAAGACCTTTCGAACATATAGAGAAGTCCTGTCATCCATCTGACTGTACAGTAATGTCGATTGAATCAATAGCATAATCCACTGTTCATATACACGCAGTGCGACTCACGCAAAATATGTCCCGTCCCGGTCGATGAAGTAGCGTCCCTCGGCATCACGTGGGATGTGGTGACGCCCGCTGAACATGGCGGCCAACATGGTGTCCTCGTATCGCCGCAGCGTGGACAGGCGGGTGGTGAAGTACGTGCCCCCAACGTTCAGAGAGATGACCTCTGGAAACTAGAGAAAATATGGAAATAAATGTGAGACTGTAATGTTTGTTACACACCATAAAAAAACAAGAAGACATAAAAGCGCAACCCAAACAAATTTATTATATTACATATTTCGCTAGAGAAGTTATGGGAAAAATACGCCTATTTTACAACAAACAAATACTTACAAGAAGGATCTTAACTGCTGACTATGTTAGTAAGGACAGAGAATCTTGTGCACAGGTGTATTTAATAAAGTATTCTTTTATTAATGGTTAACGAGGTAAATGTGAAGATTAATCGTGATTTAAGGTGATATCGCAGATCTGTTATACAACCACACCACACATATTTAAACAGTTTGAAAGGTGTGTGGTCCGAGGACAGTTTTGTGTTTTTTTAATTTGTTTTGTGTTAGGATATGAAGACTTTAAATTTGCCTATAAAGTAGACTGGTGTATGTTTAGTGGACTTTAAAGACTTGATGCTTTTAAAACGTGCAGAGCTGTGGTGGTTAAATGTATTAATTCTTAGCCTGTATATAGCCTCCATAAAAGCAACTCAAAGATAAAATGTACAAACATGAAAATAAATATACAGTGTAAGAAAATGATTTGCTTCATTTTTCTTAGTATTTTTTAGGTAATGTCTGTCTATTTCACCTATACAAGTAAGTAAAAGGTGTACTTTTAGAACATGTTCTTGAAATATATGTTATATATTTGGTTCCTCCTTGTATACTGACTGGTACTGAATTATAGGAGTTAATTGATATATGTCTACTAGGACCTACACTAGGTTTAAAGTAGTATCTAGTTGATCATCAGACCAATTTAACTTATATATTATTATACAAATATCTGTGATTACCCTCTCTTTAGCTTTACTGTCAGACCACAGAAGTAAGAGGATTGTTTCGCTGCATCACGTGGTGGCTCGTTACCTCGAGTCATGTGACACACCTGACAGCCAATCACGACAGGGCCCAGCCGGCTCACCCGACCTCTGACCCCTGTATAAATAGCCATATGACAGTAAATACCTGGCTGCGAAATTATGCTTTGTACATAGTTAAAACAGTCATATGGAAAATTAAATAGAGTGTATTTGTACTTTCTCTATTTGTAATATTTGTGTGGTGTTGTGGAAAACAGCTGTTGTTTTATTGACGAAATAAAAGTATAATTTTGAGGTACTTTATTTGAGTATTTTCATTTACTGCTACATTATACTGTTACTTCTACTGCAGTACATCTCAGATACGTCACACTCTACTGCACTTATTACAGGTTTTAGGTTATTAATACAAATATATATATATATATATATATAAATAAACGGTGTAGGCTATTATTATAATTAAGATTGATTGTTTCCCTTGCTACCAGCTAGTATATATATATATATATATATATATATATATATATATATATATATATATATATATTTGTATCAGAGTAATTCCTACTTCTTCCACTGGTGTTTAAGTACCGTGTTTGTGTGCCCGGTTGAACGTGATTTTTACCCTGGTATAACAGTCCGGTAAAGCGGCCTGTCCTACCTCCTGCTCCGGCGTGTTGAGCGAGGAGCGGAGCGGCTTCTTGCTGAGGGCGAAGCTCGGCGCTGGGGAGGCCGGCTTTCGGAAGTCCTCCTCCGCGGCGGAGTCCGAGCTTGACATGGCAGCATCGCCCGGTTTCTCGGTGTCCCCCGCGGCCGAGAATACCACCATCACTCTGGGTAGAGGCAGCGTCCGTCTCTCCTGAATGAACCGCCTCACCCGCGTAGTGGTGGCTGCAGGCAGCGGGCTGAAGGACAGAGCCTGGCGGCCGTTGGAACCGTTGGAAGCGTTGGAAGCGCTCGAGCCATTCTGCTGCATGCGCGCGTTCGAGCCAACTGTCGGGCGGCGGCACCGAAAAAATCAGGGCAGGGATGACAGCAGCACGAGCCACAGCGCTGCGACTCTTTAATAATATTAATAATAAAAACAACAACAACAACTCCAGAGGGTGGAGCGCGAGCAGCTGCAGGAACCAAACAACCCCGCCTTCACAGCGGACATTCCGCTTTCAGTAATTGAAAATTAAAGAACTACAAGGTCCATCGTGTTTTTGGGTTCGCAGTTTAAACTGGACTCTTCTGGGCCTATCCGTGTTGTGGGTGTGCTACGTGCCCGTGCTGTCAACTGTCATCGCTCATACGTGCTGTGACGTATCGGGACGTCATCACGTCAGAGTGCGCTTTTGGGCCGCGTGGGATTAAAATCCACTACGAGATGAAATAAAAAAATAAATGAATGATGATGATATATGATGATGTGTTAGTATAGATTAAACCAGCAGTATAGTTGAAATTAGCTCCACCTTTAACAGATTCAACATTAAATTGATCAACATATGAATGAATCAATATTTATAATCAAGGAATTTAATGTACATTATTCTGAAATGGGCCATTCTGCATAATGGAGACTATTTATTTTAGTACTATAAGTATATTTTGATCATAATAGTTCTGTAATGTAACTTTTCTGAATACTACTTTCACGTGAAAGTTACTCTGTGGAGGGTCATGGTAGCTGATTGGTTAGACGGTTTCGTTGAGCAATGCTCGAGTCCATGACAATGTCTTCAACAAATCATACAGCATTTTATAGAGCCTACAGATTATTGTGTTTCACATTATTTTTCATAAATTAACTAGATTAGCAGCAAACTGTTTTTACAGTACAATTTAAAAAGATTTATATATATTTACATTTATTTCAATACTTTAAGCACATTTTTCCATTATATGTATATTTGTAACAGTATTTTTTAGAAAGAGGTATTGCTATTTCGTCCACCACTGCGAATAACAACATCTGCAGAGCAACATTGGTCCCTTTAAAAACACTAAAGAGCTCGGAATGAATCAGATGAAAAAAACAGTACAAGCAGTTGAACCAGAGTGACATTTTCTTGCCCACTCTTCTGACCACACATAGATTGTATAGATCTTCTCCGACTCGAGTTTGACGGATGTGGCGAGTTGTTGAATGAGGAAGAGCAGTTTGCGCTGCTGCTATTGTCTGAAGAATGAAGGCAGCCGAACCACTGAAAGCTTATCGGAAATCTGTCATTTGAGTGAGTAAAAGCATCATATTCGATGTCTAATATTATCTTAAAATGTGTATGTTTGACCTGAGTACTTATGCCTGTAATTCCTATACTTGAACTAAAGTATAGCCTATACTTTTACTTGGGATGGAGTATTTTCATAGCCTGGTACTGCTGCTTTTACTAAATGATCGGAATACTTCTACTCCTGTAGTAATAGCATATCTTTGACTTGAAGTATTTGTATTTTCACAGAGGTATGTTACTACCAATACTACTTATTAGTTACATACAAAACATATGAAGAGCTCATAAAAATAATACATTATTTTAGATTGAACTAACAGTTTTTATAGTTACACTTATTTCCTCCTCAACCAGCAAACACAAGCTCATTATCATGCTCTTAATTAATGCATTAGCAGTAATAGTCCGATGATATAACACTACAGAATGAAAGGGACCATTCTGTTGCCTTATGACTTGTGCTTCAAGTACGTTTTGATGCCAACACTTGGTGTACTTTTACCTGTAAAATAATGAATGCAGGATTTTTACTTATACTGTAGTATTTTTTTATAGTGTGATAAATACTGCTTCTATTTCTCAATACTTCGTCCAGCATTCAAGGAGTGGAAATACATTAAATTCTGGGCTACTTGTTTGATTTCACTGAAACCAAAAACTCAAGTGTACTTAAGAACAATTTTGAGGTACTTGTACTTTTCTTGAGTAGATCCATTTCTTCTTCACTACATTTCAGAGGGAAATGTTGTACTTTATACTCCATTACAGTCATATGGCACTGTTAGGTACTTTTCTACATAAACACATGATATGTTTGTATGATATGATTTAGTTCTATACTACTAATCTAGAATCTCTATCTGGTATCAAATTTTCTCCACATTGACGAACTACAACATTAAAATGTTCCTACATGTACTTGTTGGTATAGAAGCCCTGAGTCTGATCTAAACTGTTTTCTTTACTGCTTATGACTTAAGGACAGGTGAAAAAAAGAGAATCTAACTTCCTAAAATTGTTCCTTAAAACATGTTGAAAAAAACTAGTTTTGGCAGGTGATTTATTTTCTACATTCCGGCCGCAAGAGGCTGGTGTTCACCACTACCCAATGCTCTATATTGGACGAAATGCATTCATGTTTTCTTCCAGATAAGTTTTAATTGAAGTAGCTTCCTAACACACAGTATATGTTGCTTTTGTTTAGAGTGCGTGGAGAAATTAAAACTCACCCGAAATGAGTATTACAACAACAAACACTGAAAAATGATCTTGACAACTAAAGAATCCCACCCAAACTTTTATTCACAGCCTGTTCTTTAGTCATGTACACAGGAGTGGAAACAAATAGATCAGAATTAGAGAATAGATCAGCCTCTCGGGGCTTCTGTATAATATAATATTCTATAATGATGTAACACTGTGAAAAGAGCCATCCTGCTTAATGAGTCGTTTTACTTTTGATTAGGTATATTTAGCTGCTAATACTTCTTTACTTTTACCTGGGTAACATTTTGAATTCCAGACTTTTACTTGTAATTGAGTATTTTATTATTTTATTATTTCTTAGTTGTTTATGCTTTGGGTTAATAATCTAAATCGGCAAAGTAACTTAAGTTATCAAATAAATGTAGCTGAGTAAGCAGTACACTCTTTCCATCTGAAATATAGTAGAAGTATGATTTACAGAGGAGCAGGAGAGAGCCCCAACCGCCCCAGAGCATCATTGGTACCCATCTACTGAACGTCTGTGACTTCATCCTTCAGTTTACTGTCTAGAGATACATCGTTTTCCCTGGACAGGAAGGGAATGAGAAACTGTACAATGAAAAGTAACTAAAGCTGTCAGACAAATGTAGTGGAGTAAAAAGTACAATATTTACCTCTAACATGGAGCGTGAAGTGCAAAGTTGCATAAAATGGAAACGCAAGCAAAGTACAAGTACATTGAACTTGTACTGACTTTCCACTACTGATGCTTCTTAAATGGCAGTGCACTGCACTGTAGAAGTGTAAGTCTCGTACACAAAGGGGGTAAACCAGGTTTCAGTTTTGTTTTGGACAACCACATCCTGTGGACCACTCGGCCTTGTTAACAGGAAAACATCAGCCACTTCAACCATGACAGAGAATAACTGTTGATAGTTGACCTGTAGACGGCAGCTAAAGTCAGTCCACGTTGAGCTCCCATCATGGGTTTTAAATTTTTTTAAATTTCTTTCTGCTTCTGTGTCTTTTAGGTATGATCGGAAACTTCAGTCTGCTGGCTGCAGCCCTGACTGTCGTGTCAGTGATGTGGTTAAGTCTGCTGTCTGTTCTCTGCCTGCGATGCAAGAAGAAATCCAGTAAGTACATTTATACCTCAGAGGCTGGACCAGTGTGATAGTGTGTGACATGTGCATGCTGCAGGCAGAACTACTCAATCTGAGTCAAGTGTGGGCTGTTTAATCTGGGCTCAAGTTAGTATGTGTCCTCAGTATTATCATCATTATGCCTACGCCTTAAATGGAGCAAGCAAGCAGAGATGCTCGACAGAGTTTTTTACCAGCGGTGGAATGAAACTAAGTATATTTACTCAAGTATTGTGTTTAAAGTGGCAATTGCAAAGATTTTCATGTAAATAAATGTCTGTTAAGTTCCTATATCCATCGCTAAAGGAGGTGCCACAATGGTGAATGAGCCAACGGCCCACTGATGAAAGTGTTCCAATATATTTGCAATATTACAATGGGTGTCAGTGGCGACTTCCCTGGAAAAATCAATATGTTAGTATGTTATTTCGGACACGGCCCAAGACTCCAGACGGCTAAACTCTGAGAAAATTCTATTGTTTTTACTCCAATAGAAATTCTAAATCAACTGGAATTTAAATCGTATGGAGTGCCTTTTTAAATACAGTTTACAGACATACTTGTACTTAACCTGAGTATTTGAATATTTGTTTTGTCCAACAAACAGTTCAAAGCTCAACATTATCACTAATACATTACAATTATTAACATTATTAAATGAAAAGCAAATTTTGTGTTTGTGAAGCAGACACCGCGAAATGTTTTTACATGAAAAAAGTAGATTATCTTTCTGTCAATTGGTTAATTGATTCATCGACTAATCATTTCAGCTGTACTTAACTGTTGGGTAGTTTAATTAATAACAAAACTTATTTTATAAACTTGCATAACTTGTTTTGTGTGCAAATATTATATTTGTAAAGTAACTAAATGTGTCAGATAAACATAGTGACGCAAAATTAGAAAAGTAAAGTACAAGAACCCCATATTTGTACTTAAGTACAGTACTTGAGTAAATGTACTTAAGTCATATTCCTCCACTGGCTTCAACTGTATGTCATCATTTATTCGCTAAGTCTGTTCCAACTTTTCCACCTCAGCAAAGAGGAAACACTGTTTGTCCGCTATTTCATTTCAAGCATTTTTATTGAGGTTTCTTATTTATATGCAACTTGAAACACATAAGAAGAGACGGATGGAAACACACGTAAAGCCGATGCTCTGATAAGCTACAGAGGCCCCGAGGCGCTTCAAATGGAACGCCACAAACATTTTCCACTTTCTAAAATGAGCTCTTACTAACCTGTATAAATCACTCAGTCCTGTTTGTTTACATACTGCACACACGTCTGTCTTCATAGGCAGATTTGATCAAAGTGATGAATAATACTGTGGGTTAGAAGTATCACACGCTACCATTTCATCTGCTTTGTATTCTTTGCAGAGATCATACACGAGGAGCATCAACATCAAATATACCACCCGCAGACGTTGTGAGTGTCGAGTATTTGTTTCACATTCTCAAGTCTTTAAGGGAAATTATTACCAGTCTGTTGTAAACGTTCATCATAATTAAAATGAAGCTGCTTCTTACTGATGATATATATGATTGACACCATATGGACTCAAGAAAAGGTTTTCATCTCCCAGTTATGTAAAATGTATTGAGTGTATAGAACATATAGAATGTTATACAGGTAACACAGGGGATGTTTTCTTAATACATCCATGTTAAACTATATCCCGACAGTCATCGTGGGGGAAGTGTGTTTGCTGTGACGCAATCAAAAACAGGCAAGTGAGGATTCATTTCTGTTCATTATTCACATTCAATTTTACAGTACGTGTGTTTAAGTATAAATTTGAGATACTTCTGCTTTACTTCGTTATTATTAGAGACATATTGTACTTCTTCCTGCACTACATTTGTCTGACAGCTTAAGTTACTTTTCTGACTACTTCCAGAACTGTATTTAACTGAACTTTGACACCATTTTGCCGTTTTATTTTTCAGTCACCAGAGCCAATCAGATCACTTCAACCACAGCGTATGTATACTGACACACATCAGCTAATCTTGCAGCCACTAATGTATCTTTAAAGGAGCAGTTCAGTATTTTATACGGGAATACGTTTATGCTTTCTGTCCAAGCGTGCGATGAGAAGATTGATATGAATCACATGTCTGTACATTCGGTACAGAGCTGGAGAGACGTGGCTAGCCTAGCTTAGCATAAAGACTGGGAACAGGGGGAAATAGCTAGCCTGACTCTGTTCAAAGTAAAAAAAAAGAAAGAAAAGAAAACACTAATAAAATATCACAAATTAACTCGTTTTATCTCTTTTGTTTTGATCTGTACACAAATAAAAAAATGTAAAGACAACACTTTGTGATTTTAGCGTGAGAACAGTTTCTTTTTTTATTGAGGCGCTTCTTCTCTGTGGGGAGATTCAAAATATGACACATAATCCAAAAATAAACTCAAAGGTTTGTCTTGACATAAAACTATAAATATATTTGTTTTTCAGTGAAACACGAGAGGAATTTGAGGACTTTTCAACAGGTAAGATCCTCATGTTCATTCTCATGTCAAAGATCTCAACACTTTAATCTGCAAGAGGTTTAAATTGAATGACTTTGTGCTCCAGCTGTAATGGATGAACAGTCAGATAAATATATCAAAATATCTCAAATGGTAAATACACACACACACACACACACAATAAATACAGGTATCTTTAAGTGTTTGTAATTTTTCCCACGTGTGTCATTACTGTGCTGCATCCAAAACAGAAAGCGAGGAACACACATATGTGTAAGTTTTGAAGCTGTTTTTGTGTATATTTTCTCATTAAAAACATGTTGTATCCAAATATGTTTTTAATATATGTAAAAAAAGAACAAGCGGTTAACACATGCCATATTTGTGTATCGTCTTATAGAGCTCCACTCGCAATCTCAGTGTATGAAAATGAACAGAGCGCAAGAATAACTGGTGAGCATCTGCACTTTACCCTATAAACTACATGAAATAAAATGTGAAATGCATTGACGTACTTTTAAAAGACTTGAAAATATGTTTATGTCTTTGCTTTAACATTCATTATATGCTTTTATAGATGCTGATCAGACTCCAGGTGTCTATGCTAACATCCACACTTCATTATCAAGTAAAGATGGTTAGTTCAATCCTTTAACCAAAACAATGACATAAAAAACAAAATCAAATAATCAAATAATCAGATGCTAAAGTTCCGACTCATTCAAACTGCTGTTTCACCAAACAGACGAGGACGACTACGAGAACTCAGAGTTTCTGGACCAAGTTGTGCAGGAGCAAAAAGACAGTGAGTGTCATAAATAATATTTATTTATTAATAACAGTATATTCTATGGTTTTGTGTTTATCTGTAATTGGGGAACACCTAAATCCCAAATACCCAAGCAGAATAATGTATTATTATTATTATAGACATAGGCTACTCTAGGAGCCAAAATTGTGCTTCCAAAATAAAAAATAAAAAACCTCCCATCCATTTAGGCCATAAGCATCAATACAACCAAAACAATCAAAGAATGAAAAAGCCAAATATGTCTCTAGCGAGGTACAAATACAAATGGTTCTCTGATTGCAGCCTCTGAAATGTGAAGATTTTATGCTTTCCTGTTTTTTTTTAGTTTGGATGCCTGTCTTTATTAGGAGTGTAAAGGTTCACAAAATTCTCGGTTCGGTTTAATAGACAGTGGCGCCACGGTTCGGTTCAATACAGCAAAAAAGCAGAAACGCCATCATAAAGAATGTTCTTAGTTTACTTTGAACAATGCTGGATTCATTTGTGTACAGGAAGCTGCAGCAACTCCTGTTGTCTTTAACATGTGGGCTGCTGTTGTGCTTCTGTGAAAGAAGGTCACACTCTCTCTGATCTTTGGAGGAGGCGAGAGATCCACTGCACTGCCGATGCTTTCTGAAGACGCTAGATTAATGACATCGGCCTATTTGTGTCGTTACAGTCAGCTAGCTTTGTGTAGCCCGTGACGTCCAGCCGTCTGTTCGGACATTTGATTCTGTTTTAAATGGGCTCGTGAATGAGTAGTGTCATGGGGCTTAATAACATTAAGCATGTCAGTATAGCCTGGTTTTCCACTCCAGAGTAGGGTCTCATATCCGCGGCTATACATATACCTTTAGCCCCGTTTGAACACTGCGGGAGTTTGTAGCGCGTGTGCTGCTGTTGGTTTTCCTGCTAAGCCAAGTGTCAGGCAGCACGTTGTCTTATCTTGTTGAGCGCAGTGCCTCCACGAGAGAACATTACATTTCCCACAATTTAAGCTTCTGCATTTTCTAAATGCAATAGTATTTAATTATTGAAACGTATTGTTGGGTTCGTAATGCCTACCGAACCGTGAGCCTCATACCGAACGGTTCAATACGAATACGTGTATTGTTACAACCCTAGTATTTATGCATTATTGGTTGGAGCTGGTTGGTACTAGCTTACATTATAGCAAAATTCATAATTTTGTTTTACAGGAAGAATAAATTATTGAATTTTGATTGAAAATAAAATTGTTTTTTGTAATTAGTTATTGCAGATGAGCCGGATTATGTGAATGAAGACGGCACCTGATGTGGACGCCGCCAGAAAACATCGGCCTGCACTCTGAACTTTGTCAAACTGAAGCTGCACTGAAGTTGTTTTTTCATTTGCTAATGATGTGAATAAAATGTGAATAAAATGCTCATACCTCGATTACGTGTTCAAACTGAGGCTTTAGTTTAGTGGCGATAAACCATTCAAACATACAGAACACAACAAACGCATCGTTGGTATTCTTCAATGTGTTGGTGCTTCTGGTGTTGACGAATATGATGTGAACTTTATTAGGTGACATTTAGGATGTGATTATTCATTTTGAAATCCCATTACTTGTAACTTAAAAATACTGATTAGATTCAAAGCTGCAGGTCTTTTAAGCTGGTTCAAAGTAGATCGTAACAGGGAAGTTTATTATTGCCCATTCAATATGTTGTGTGCAAAAATCTGAATTTTGTCAGATAAATGTAGTGAAGTAAAAAGTACATATGTACTTCTAAGATGTGAAGGAGTAGAAATAGAAAGTAAGTACATTCCTCTAATTGTGCTTCAGAAAATGTCCTTGCATACCCCCACTGTGTTCTGTGAGTTGATGAGTCTCTATAATACCTGTTATGAGACCATTGTATCGTGAGTTACTCTCCGATTACTACAGATCGTTAAAATAAAAGAAGGAAGCAGTGACAGAAGTTTTTTCACACAGAGACAGATTTATTAATCTGAACAGATCAGCGGACATCTCGTCTCCGTCTGAAGCCGCTCAGAAACCAACAACCAGGTTTTAAAGACAGAACTCCTACGTACATCACATGAACCGTGTTATCATATTTACTGTGGGTGTTGCAGGGATGTTTCCAAGTGGGTGGTTATGCAAAAGTGACGCAGCAACACACACGCACAGAGCCAGTCCTTAAGTATCTCGGGACTGAACGGCCGGACTGAACCCAGATTCAGGCGACGGTAACAACGTATCTGATGCGTTTCAGCCGTTTGACAACTTCCACTTTAACAAGCCGTTTGATCTAATGAATGATCCATTTCCTCAGAATGTTACAGACAGCGTTGACAGATCTGAGGCAAAGGAAATTAATCTCTGGTTTTAATTAAAAAACAAAGATTGAATAGAAGATTAAATGGCTGTTAAAGCAGGTGTTTTGTTTTGAAATGTTTCAGCAGTACACAGGAGCAGACACCCACCTCTCCATGTGCACCCACGCACACACACACACACACACACACACACACACACACACACACACACACACGCGGGCTGATGGAAGTTTAGGCGCTGCTCAGTGCGTCCACACCTGGCAGGACTTTACCTGAAAGAGAGACAGCAAACACACAGTCAGTAACACCAAGCTTCAATGACAAACACTGGAACGATTTACTGATCATGTTGGTGTTTATTATATTTGTGAATGATCGTCATGTTTCAGTCACTCACCCTCCAGCAGCTCCAGGCTGGCTCCGCCTCCTGTGCTAACATGGCTGACTTTGTCTTCCGTGTTCCACTTGGCGCAGCAAGTGGCGGTGTCGCCCCCGCCTGGACACAAACACAAATCACACGTTTCAAAGGTTTATTATAACATCTTAAAAATTAGACCTCTGCTTCAGACCTCGGGGATCCTTGAGCTCGCAGACGGAGAACGTCTGAGTGATTTGCAGCCTTTAATTTTGTATAAGAACTACATTTCCCCCAGAACTTTAACGACGCTGCAGAGATGGTGGGCCTGTGTATAGTGCACATCAATATCATAATCCATGTTTTTGTCTTCTTTGAGTTTGTCCAACATAAACCAGCCCACGGGCACATTTCAGCTGGTAGACAACGTGTGTGCGCTGCTGCAGTTTGTGAAGGATTTCATGGAGTATTTGTTATCCGTAGATGGATGTGTGAAGTATTTGGTGTCGGACGACTGAGAACATTGTGCACAAGAGACTCAGAGGTTGATTAGGCAGTCAGGAGACTTCAGTGAACTTTGGTCTTTCTTACCGATGATTGTGATGCAGCCTGTTTTGGTCACCTCGACCACTTTGTCCATCATGTTTTTCGTCCCTTTGGCAAAGTTGTCCCACTCGAACACACCGACCGGGCCGTTCCAGACGATCTGCTTGGCCCTGCCCACGGCCTCCCCGAAGGCCTTATAGCTCTCCGGTCCACAGTCCAAACCCTGCAGAGGAGATTATTACGGCAACAGAAACAAGCTAACGTGAAAACAAGATAAGATGGATCTTCTCACCATCCAGCCAGCGGGGATGCCAGCAGCGACGGTTGCGGTGCCGACGGTGGCTTTCTCGTCAAACTTGTCAGCGGTGATGAAGTCGACGGGCAGCGTGATCTTAACGCCGTTCTTCTCTGCTTTGGCCATCAGGTCCTTGACGATGCCGGCTCCCTCCTCATCGTACAGGGAGGTACCGATCTAAAGAGAGAGGGAGAGAGTTCAATTTATGAAAATGATCTATATGCCAAAACAGAATGTTTGAGATGTTTTCCCCATTTTCCTTTGAATTGTAGAACTGATGCTGATTAAAGAAAGTTAATTTCCCATTAAAACCCTGAAATATATCAGGTGTTCGGATGATCAAAATCTATTGATGGTTGTTAACTTTTGATGTCTTTAAGTTTGTTTCAAAAGCTTTGAAAAGAAGGCATGATGGATTACATACTTAGTATTTTCTTTGGATACCCCAGCACTACACAGTGAAGGTGATCTGTACATGTTGTAGAAAATGAAGATCTGACTGTTCAAAGTTCTTTAAGTTATTACTAAACCACTAAAGGTATGCAGAATCAGCTATTATCAGTTCCAGTTAATGCACAGAGGGCTACCACTGCATGTTGTATGGATGAGAAGCTGTAAGTTGAGTTTGTATCAAATAAAAAGCATTGTTCCGTCCTCCTCACCTCCATGTTGTTGAGGACTTTGAGGAAGGTGAAGGCCATGCCGCCGCCGATGATCATCTCATCGACCTGATCCAGCATGTTGTTGATCAGCTGGATCTTATCTTTCACCTTGGCTCTGTGTGTGTGAGTGTGAGTGAGAGAGAACACATCAGTAGAGATAAGAGACACATATATAGAGAGAGTAGTTAGACTAATACGTACATGCAGTACTAAAAAACGAACTGTGCATCAACAACTCATTGATGAAAACATCTTCGATCACACAGGCACAATTACAACCCATAAACACGTCTGTTGTTTATGAGCAGCCGTTCACTGGCTGCTCATTGCACACTGATGATCAATGTCCTCCGTTTGTGACCTGGGAGAAGGTGATTGGCTGAGCTGCTCCACGTTGAGACAGCTGCACTCTGAACTCCGGTTTAAAATGGACTCTGACACAAGGCCAAAACTCACATGTGGCCACCGGCAGCTCGGTTAAACTGAGCAACTGTAACAGCGGCTTCACCACCAAAACACAGAACACATGTAGAACCACCTGCAGCAGCACAGACACATCGGACCACAGGAAGCCGTAAAACATCCAGAATCATCTTGCTGGTCAACTCTCCTCACGTGATGAGTGAGATCTGATTCCTGCAGCTCTGCAGCTGTAATTTCAGTATATATTTCCAGCCTCCGTCGTCTGACAAAGTATTGATAACACGCTTTGTATTTTACAAATCAAGAGGTTTTTAAAATTGATGAACAAGGTGCTTATATGCGAAAATGATTTAATGTCTTATTTCTATATATTAAAAACTAAAGACAGTGTACTCAGTTAATGTCTGAACACCTTGTAACGATTATCTCTGACGTTCTCATTATTGATTACAGATGCATCAATGATCAGGACACAGACTTATTGTAGTTTCTGTCACTGAACCGGTGTAACGTCGGATAAAAAAAGGGTTTTAGCTAAAAGCAGAAAGTTTGGGCGACTGTGGCTGTAGTTTTATGCGTGTACATATATTTGTATTTTTTAAAACTGACCCCCACTGTCACTAAATAAAGTTCAAATGCACTTCAGTTAGAAATATCTGAAAAATTATTATTAAGTTAGAAATTATTCAAACAAACTGAAACTATTCCTGAAACAAGCGGGGATGTTAACTATTAAACTAAAATACTACACTGTGTATAACTTTCATATCATAAAGTGCTATAAAAATAAAGTTTATTATCATACCATTATCTCTGCCGAGTGTCTTGAAGAAAGCAGTTGTACCGCGACACCACAGATTATATAACGAGCTTATTGTCTCTATTCCTGGACGGCCAGCTGGGTCTTAAAAAAACAAAAGAGGCTGCAGTGATGATCTCTACATCACAGAAGAGAGAGAGAGAACAATGCTGACTGAGGGAAAAACTGGTCATGTTTTATGTTTTTAGCCTGGTCTGGTTGGGAAGAATCCTGCATCACAGTATTATAAACTTCTGTGCAGTTGTTAGTTCTTCTGATAAGTCTTTGAATTCAAAGAACTGCACTCACCCTCCGAGGATGGCCAGGAAGGGCCTCTGAGGTTTCTCCAGCGCCATGGCAAAGTAGTCCAGCTCCTTCTTCATCAGGAAGCCGGCCGCCTTCTGAGGCAGATTCACCCCCACCATGGAGCTGTGAGAAGGGAGGAAGAGGAGCAGGAGATATCACCGTCTCGTGATCACAGACGTTGCTGCTTCCGTCCTCCATTGATCACCCGTGCTGCTCACCTGTGGGCTCTGTGAGCCGTGCCGAAGGCGTCGTTGATGTAAATGTCTCCCAGTTTGGACAGAGACGCCCTGAAGGAGTCAATGTCCGCCTGAGAGGCCTTCGTCTGAGGGACAAAGAGAGAGGGAATGGCTTCAATAGGTTTCTTCTAACAGGTCTCTGCTTGTGCTTCACATGGAATCAGTTACTTTCTACGACATGCTATACTATGACTGAGAGACACACACACACAGTACTTTAACTTTAAATACATTTTGCTTATAAAACTTGCATACTTTTACTTAAAAGGTTTTGAACGCAGGACTTTTTACTTGTCGTGGAGTACTTCCACAGTGTGGTATCACTACTTTTCTTCCTTCACCACTGACAACGTTGTCTGTGAGTGAGTGAGTGAGTGAGTGAGAGAGAGAGAGAGAGAGAGAGAGTTCATTGTGGATCGGGTTCCTGCTGCTCTTTCACAGTTGAAGGGTACGACCGTGTGACCGGAGGGCAGCAGAAAGGTCAGGAGAGCTCTTCAGTGTCGTTCAAATGTCACACGAGAGCCGCACGCTTCATTACCGATCCTACAGTCCCAACTTCAGATTAACAAATGTACTGCTGAGCTTCTACTTTCTCCCAAAACGCTCTGTTAGAAAAGGCCACGCTGGTCTTTGTCGCACATGTAATTCAGAGTGTTATCATGAGGAGTTGGGACACACTTCTGTGATTCTTCTTGCAAGATTATTCCAGCCTCCGTCTGAGAAATGTGTGTTTAATGAACTGAAACTAAAGTCAGATGCAGTACAGTAGAAAACCAACCCACACGGGCCGCATACCAAGCAGGCCTTTCAGGACAGGAAAAGCAACACGTCCAGCCGGGACCTTCAGGGTAAATGTCAGCAGGTCAATGCTGCTGATCCACCGCAGACCGACAGCCATGAGCCGGACCTCCAGCCACACAGAGAGGAGAAGTCCAGCACATCTCAGTGGACCACTAGACATCGTTTTGAGAATGAAAACCCTGAAATGTTTTAATCTAAAATGTTCACTAAACCATATCATTTCCTGTATAATAAGAACTTAATAGTTTCTTCCATCGTGAGCAGTAAATTAAGATTTCAGACACTGAGAAATCGCCTCATTGACAGATGCTGTATTATATTAAATTACACATTTCGTTCCAATTCAAATGCATTTTTAAGTAAACATGCACTGCAGTAGGTTGGAAATGAAAGGTTGTTTCTAACACTGTCAGAGTCTCTGCACCTCTCCCGACCATGACACTATCAGACGGTGACTCAGCCGTTTCAGGCGGACGCTGCAGCTGGAGTGACTCTGCGTTTTTCCTCCAGGTGACCCAGCAGAAAGCACAGACAGCACTTAAGAGCTACAGCTCCATCCATCTTAATTTAAATCATAATCTTTTGATCCGAGACTGAAATAAGTTGTGATATTTACAGGATACGAGCGAGAGAACACCTGATCCCCTCGATGAGAACAGGCAGGGCGACGCCTCACCTTGTTCCCGGAGGCGTCCTTGCCCTTTCCCTCCTCGGCGACGTGGAAGCGGAGGTTCTCCAGCAGGATGACGGATCCCGTGGCCGGGCTGGCGCAGGCAGCTTCCACCTCTGCACCCACACAGTCCTTCAGGAAGGTGACGTCTCTGCAGAGTTGGAGGAAACGTTTGTATTTTACCACAAGCTTCTGTTTAGTTTAGATCTGTAAGTTAGTTTCTGCAAAAGCCGTTAAATGTTACACTCATGCACAGAACAGTTTCTGCAACCAGGAACCAGAGGCTTTAATTGTGAAGAGGCCACAGTAAATGTATTTGTTGCAGAGGTTAACATTCGACTGGTGATTACAAAGCAAGACAATAGTGATTTACTTTAATAACTTATCAGAATGCATTTATACCTTCTGTAAGAGATAAGTCAGTCCATCACTAACCTCCCCAGCAGGGTCTTGAGCTCGGCGGCGACCGGCTCCAGGGAGTATTTCTCAGGCATACGGTTTCCGTCAGGACGTCCCAGATGGCTCATCAACACGACGGATTTGGCCCCGTTGTCCAGACAGTGTTGGATGGTTGGAACCGCTGCCTTGATCCTGAAAATCAACACAACACACTTCTATTCAAACGCTTCTCTTTAAGAAACCTGCTGCTTCCAATATAAATCTTTTTATCCTCTATTTATCTGATGGATTAAAGAACTAACCCTCACATAACTCTAGATTTTATGTTTTGTTTGTGTAAAGATAAACTAAGACCTTTTGGTTTTAGAACACACTCCATGCTTCAGAAATGAGATGGGCCTTTACCTCTGGTTGTTTGTGATCTGCTTGTCCTTCATGGGAACGTTGAAGTCGACCCTGAAAGAGAAGAAAACTATGATGATAGTGATAATGAATAATGAGATGTCCCACGCATTATGGACGTCTTTGTTATTTCCCATATTTCCTTTTTCTACGGCGCTCATGTGTGGTGCCATCATCAGAGTACAACGAGGCCTTTTAGACAAGAAATTTCACTCCAAAACGGCGAGGTTCATGTTCACGTCATATAAGTTAACATACCAAAGATACGCAGGAAACCTTTTTTTTTACCGGATGAAGGGGACAAGGAAGGGGTTTTTGTACTGGAAAAATCTACTTAAAAATTAAATGTATTTAACTTTTAAATCAACACCAAATGAGTGCCAACTTTATTTCACGTTCAAGAGCATTTCTTTTACATATTTCTGTTCATTTCTGAGCGAGTGCATCCACCGTACACATCCATTTTGTCACCATACCCACCCCTTCAAGCTCGTACAGTACAAACAACTTGATTTGTTGCTGCATTGCATTCTGGTACCTGTATGATAACAACAGACAGTCAACACACACACACGCTTTCTTTGTTCTGACCACTGAGCTGGTTGCACACGCAGCCGTGCAGCGATACAAGCTGGCAGCTCATGAGAACATGCTGCAGTCCCTCGTACTCCGGGCAGTTACATAACCACCACCTCCCTCCGTCTGTCTGTCTGTGGACCTGATGCACCGAGACACATGATCAGCCTGCACACGCACGCACACAATGCTATAATAACAGCAATCCATTGTCTAAGCTTGAAACCCAACAGTCAGCAATTCAGCGGCTCAGCAGCTCTCGTGCCATCAAACAACTGCAGTAGTTTTCCACTCTTTCATTGTGAGGGTGGATCTGAATATCACTGCAGGTTTTGTTGAGTTGTTTAAACATGTACACACTCGACTCACACATTTATAGAGATTAGGCTAACTCAGCCAAAAAGAGTATTTCTGGAAGGCAGTTCATGGCCTCTACTGCTGGATTTTGGCTTTCTGAACAGATTTCTGTCAGACACTACCGGGTCTCTACAGCGACGGCACGCCTTCCTTCCTTTTTTAATTCTGGACCAGCTGCTCACACAGGGCCTCCTCGTCTGCAGCCAGAAGTTCATTAAACACACACATGCTGTGGGGTGTGAGATGAAGTAACGTTTTGCCTCTACACAGAGACTAACTCAACCTCTCACCACTGAGCAGTGCTAGCTGGAGGCTTGAACCTTGTCCCGTGCTGCCGTTCATGGCACCACCGAGCTGAGCAAACCGACTTTGGCCTCTGACATTCATCCACAGTGGCCATCGCAGTCTTTATAAATACATTACTTTACAGATTCTGATTGAGAATCATGAGGCATTATTAGAGGTTAAGCTAGTCAGCAGTATATAGAGTAATTAATATCAGCTGGAATGTAACTTTTACTCAAGTATTGCACTTAAGTACAATTAGAAAAAGGTACATTTACTTTACATTTTAAGATACTTTATACTTTGACTCTTCACTACATTTCAGAGGGAAATATTGTACTTTTTACCTCATCACTTTTATTTGATAACTTTAACTGGTTGCATAGCAGATTCACGCAAAATATAAACAACAAATAAATTACTCAGGTAGAGTGAAAGTACCTCAAAACTGTTAATTATATAAATACAGATCACAAAATTTAAATAAAAATATCTAAAAAAAATACCTAGATGACTACAGAATTTCCTCAGATTATCAGTGCAGTGTGTCACAAATACACTGATTGATTATTTGCATTATTGCAGTGATGTTGCTGTACTTTTATTTTGAAGGCCTGACTAGCTGCATGTCGGATGCATCCATTCAGCATCTTCTTACAGGCACGTACTGCAACATGGGGGGGAAAACGCGACAGTAACGACGTAAACCATCCATTTAGTGTCACTATGGGAGCACCAAGCAGTTTGAGACCATATGAATTATATGTTTGTGGAGCAGAACATCTCCAAAATATCAGGTAGCGCTTAGCTAGTTTAGGTAGTGTCTAAATATCCCATTTCCGCTAACCGCGTTGTTTGGGCTAGCTAACCGCTCACCTCATAATGGCCCGCTTGCCTTTGACGTCCACCTTGTCCAGGGTGAGTTTGTTAGACAGAGACATGTTGCTTGTTGTTCTTTCTCTGCTACCTTCTTCTGTCGTTGGTTCTCCTCCGCTTCCTTCTCGGCCGGGGTTAGCTACCGAGTGACAGCAGTGACCTTAGCGCGGCGCGGATGAACAGCAGCAGGGCAGTGACTGGACACGCCCCCTCTGGCTTCTGATTGGTTAACAGCGGGAAGACAAGCGAGGCTTTCGATTGGATCTTGTTGCTGTCTTTTATCTGACGTGAGCTAGCGCCCCCTGATGACGCTATCAGCTCATCCTCATTGATATTAGAGTATAAACACTAAAACACTACTAAAGGTACATTTTATGGAAGCCCATTTCCGCTGCAAAAAAAGTAAAAAAAGGTCACAAAAAAAATTAAAATTCTAATTATTTTATTTTTGCTAACTGATTTTTTTTTTTACTTTTCTTCCACCAGGATAAAAAAAAATGCTCCAACACTTTTGATGCATCCATCTGTAACCATAACACTGACCGGATGTTTCCAGTTGCGATAGAAAGTCGAAATTATGAGTCATAGAAGCAGCTCTTCATAGGTTACCCTACATTTGACATATAAATGGATTGTGAGTACATTGAAGACTTCTTTAGATGTGGCTTTATAACAGATGAAATACTTAAATTGCTTGATGTTTCACATGGATTGTACTGCGCAAACGCACCCTTGAATAGAATTGTAAGCATGAAGCAGCTCTGGAGTATAAAGAATAAAACCAATGTGGCTGAGGTAAACAGCAACTGGAACTTTTTTTTTTTTTGTTGGCAGAAAAAAAGTTTAAAAAAATAAATAATAATAATCATTTTTTGGCTGCGTAAATGGGCTTCCATAACATTTACTCAAGTACTGTACTTCCGTAAAATTTTGAGCAGTGGCGGTAGAAGTACTTGCATCTTTTAAATACTCCAGTGGAAAGTAACTCTAAATTATATTTAAGTACAATACTTAGGTAAATAAATATGTGGAATGTACATTTACTTAAGTACTGTATTAAAATACAATTCTGATGTATATGTACTTTGTTTTTGTGTTCTCCGCTACATTTCAGAGGGAAATCAAATGTACTTTTTACTTCACATTTGACTTTAATAGTTCATTTTTACACAAAAAAATGCTTATATATATATATATATATATATATATATATATATATATATGAGGCAATACACTAATAATCTAGCCAGCAGTATACAGAGTATGTAAAATTGGCTTCATGCTGACAAACACTCTTACATGTACTATTTAGTAGTAAAACAATATCTTCTACAAAATATAACACTGTGAGAGGAGCCATTCTGCATAATGAGTACTTTTACTTTTTACAACGTAGGTACATTTTGCTAATACTTTTGAAAAAAATAGGTAAAGTTCTGAATGCAGGGCTTTTATTTATATACCATGACTTCAAACATTTCAACTGAACCAGAAACCTCAAAGAGCTTAGGGTTACAGCTGTGATAGATACGTTAGCTACTGTGTGCAGATAATTCACGAAGCTAAAAAAAGAAAAGACACCATGTTGAGTAGAATCACTCTTAATTTATTTGGACAAAGGAACTTGTTGGAATAAACACAGGCATTCATTGTTATTCATCTGTACAACCAGAAGGTTTATAAGGTGGGACGCAGGTCTGTCATGGCGGATCTTCACTCCTCGGGCTCTCTCCATGGTTTGGGCATGACCTTCCCAACAGGTGACAAATTCCAGGTGATGCCAGTCTGAGTCAGCACCTGCCCAAAGACAGAAAACTAGTTATTCAAGGGCAATGGAACACTTTTTTGGACTCTTTCAGACCTTGTTATTGCAAAGAAATTCAACTCCAAATCCAAGTTCACACCCAAGTTAAGCCACAGACTAAGAAACAGTATCTGTATCAAAGTCTACAGCTGAAATGTATATTTGTCGGTGAAGTGTGTAGCATTAATTTGCCCTGACTTGGGACATGTTTAACCTGCACTTGTGATGCTTTATCCACGACTTTATGAGCAAGCTGCATTTTCAGCTCATGCATATGAATGAATGTAACGTGGCCCAACAGGACAGCACAACTTACGTATGCCCACACGGCCGTGCAGAAGACCATTCCACCGACCATCACGCCGTTGCCGTACTTGACGTGAAAGTCCGGTGGAGCGGTGGATCCGTGCCTCACCTGCCTTGCGGCCTGACCTGGAAGGCAACAAAACACAGTGTGGCGTTTATACTGCTAACTTTCACATTTTGCAGAGAGTAATTAACTAAGGCTTCAATGAATATATATATATATATATATATATATATATATATAATTGAATATAAATACACATGTAAAACAGACACAATTCAGGGAGGTATGACAGAAACGAATAAGAGTCATCTGCATGTCTTTCAGTCCACAGCTCCTCCTGCACATCACATCAATCAAGGGCAACAATATGATTTTACTTTGTAAAATACAGTTTTCAATACACCACAAATGTTTTTTTTTAAATCGATAAGATGCTGTCATTATCACTACTAAAGAGACAAGATAAGATAAAGATACACTTATGATAAGATACTGTAAATTGATGTATCATTATCATGTTTATACTTTATACTGTAACACGTGTTTATTTTAAATTTTGCTTTGTTTTGAATGTATTTCGGTTCATGCACAAATGGAAAAGTAAATAGTTAGCCAAAAGATGAGGCTGTACTTATTTGCCCTTCCTAAAATCAGACTAATTCATGGACCTCATAATATGACGTCATATAATGACGTTACTAAAGCACATGCATATTTCCATAACTAACGTTAACGTTCCTCAATAAGAAAAGAAACATTACAAGTAGGATATCTTGTTATTATGCTAACTTATGGCCTTTATAACAAAGGCTACTTCGTGTAACGTTAGTAGTTTAACTCAAACTACTCAATACTCAATATTAATATGCATAGTGTTTTAATCTCGGGTGATAATTCAGGGTAGTCATTTAGAGAAGAAATACATGTTTTTAACGAAGACATATTAGGACTTTAGCGAGAGTTGCTAACGTTAGCTTGGCTAGCAACGTTAGCACGCTGACCTCGGTCGACCACCAAAGACAGGCCGGGCGAACTGTTAGTGACCTGATATTAAACAGCCAACTGTCATGAATGAATACAGACGACATATATTCATAATAAACTAGTTTCTTTACCGGTGATGTTGACGGCAGTTTTGGCAAACCGGTACATGTTGTCTATCCTGGTGCTTTCAAATACCCTTGAAGAACGGAAGTGTGATTTGTGATATGGCCGCCGCACGTAGACACAACCGGAAATGACGACAGTCAGTGTGAGCATCCGTCGACCTAGCTACATTTTAGTGTGGAAACGGAAGTAAAATACATATATTTTTTAGATATTAGTCAGACAGAACAAACGAAATGATACATGAAGTAATTTGTAGTTTTTATATGTCACAGATACAATGGTCCTGAGTGGATTTAGGTATTAAATATATACCTAGTTGACAGACAAGATGTACCATGTCAGGATGGCCGAGTGGTCTAAGGCGCCAGACTCAAGGACTGAAATCCTTCCGCAGAATTGGGACTTCTGGTCTCCGAATGGAGGCGTGGGTTCGAATCCCACTTCTGACACTCCCTTTTTTAAATACAAAAATATAACGATAACACCTATAAGCTAATGTAAAGCAAATGCCAATATGTGCATAGTAAGGCTTAACTCTTAACTTTTGCGATTCATTTTTATGGTACTTCTTATCGCTATTATCATGTTTTTGGGCACAAGCGCGATTTTGGAAGGCACTGTTTCTCCCTTTACATACAAGAAAGGAGATACCGTTTTCCCCTTTGAGTGACAGACGTCCCAGCATCTAAGCTGCAGCAGCATAAAACATATTGTAGCTGGAAGCTGCAGTTGGTGTTAATTCTCCGGGACATTAATGCTGCAGCTGAGACAGTCCCTGTGTTTTCATCAGCTCTCCACTAGGAGGAGGCAGAGGTCCCATGAAATAGTGTTACAAGAGAAACCAATAAGGTCAGTGTCAGAGCACCAAGTCCTAGAAAGATCCTTTTCTACTTTTTATCTGTTTATCTAGCCGTGTTTCAGTGTGTTAATGAACCAAAGGAGCTAAACTAACCTGTTGGTGCTGAAGCGGTTGATGCAGAAGTTTGCACAAGAGTCATATTAAGGTAAGGTGGGAATCAAACCGCCACATTTTGGAAGGGCCTCAGGTCATGAAAATGTTCCTGATGTAGCTCAGACAGATCTGATAATTCTCTATCTTTATACACAATCAAGATCCATGTTTATCATGGTCCATGTATGCATGTACATTTAGTAAGTTTAGTAACTTTACTCATAACATTATATACCCTTTGTTAAGACTGTTCAGGTCAGGATGTCATGTTGCTGTTTACTGATCTCATTCCCTCTAGATAATAACATGCTGCTGTTGTTGTCTTCTTGAGTAGGAGACCTTATAGCCTCTGAACTGTTCAGGTCACGCTGTCCTCCTCTTCATCAACAAGCAGCCGAAGATATACGTGGAAGTTTGGTCCAGAGAGTGGGTTTTAAAAAGCCAGATCCAAGAGAGGCTATCACCGAGTTACAAACTTAATCACCCATCTACCTGATATGAGCTGCTGTCGTCATTCCGCACAACAAAAACAGCGAGTATTTCTTAATGCACCTTTAATGCACCGCTGAGCTTTCATTGATCAGTGAAATCCACTTTATTGCAGACTGATATGAGCCACAAAGAGCAGCAGCTCTGGAGCCAGCGATGTATTGATTTCTGGATTTGTAACAGTGCATCACTTTTGATTGATACATCCCCAGCTGCATGTCGTAGTGTACAATGATCCTGCATTGTGTGACACAATGAGCATTAGATCAGATCCTGATGAGTTTGTTTGGCCATCAGTGGTTGAGTGTGTGCGTGAATGTGGTAAATGTTGGTATGTCGTGTAAAGCACTTTGAGTGGTCGGGAAATTATAGCTGCATCAATACAAGTTCATTTACTATTTACCATAACTGTGGAACCTTCTTCAAAGTAAGATCAGATAGAACACTATTTTAAATGATTATGATTGAGAGTGATTCAGTGTCTCTGAAACTCAAATCATATTAATAGTAGCATACTGGGATTCTGTCAAATTCCTTGTATGCATACATGGCCAATAAAGCGGATTCTGATTAAGATGACAGAAATCCTTTAGCAAAACACAATGAATCAGAGTGAGAGGTCTGTCTGTTATCTTTTTATTTTATTTTTTATTATTAAACAGCAATTTTATAACAGAGGGAGAAGTCTGTTTTTCTTCCTCTTCTCTGACAACAGCTTCGGGGCGTGGACACGGAGGGAGGAGGAGAAAGAGGTGAGGAGGGAGGAGGAGAAAGAGGTGAGGAGGGAGGAGGAGAAAGAGGTGAGGAGGGTTCTTACCGTACAGAGCTGTGCCAAAGCACTACCGGAGGGTTTGATTTGTACCTCCTTGGGAGGAGGTGGTGGACGGTGTGTTTAAAGGAGAATAAACTGAGATTGAAGCCGGAGTGGGAGGGTGGGGAGATGGGGGAACAGGAGCTCCGTCTGCTGCCGCTGCTGCTGCTGCTGTAACCCCAGAAGACAGCATCAACGTGGGCGGATTCAAAAGGTCCGGACCCTAAGCGAGCATCAACATGGAGCTGGAGAATATCGTGGCCAACACGGTGCTACTGAAAGCACGGGAAGGTAAGGATGGAGATGGGAGTTTGACACCTTACCGGTCCAGACATGGGTTTTATAAACTGTTATTGCACTTCCTCTAAGCCGGCGATCCTGTATTTTGATGATGCAGTTCAACACGAACAGGATATTACGCGCAGTTCTCTCGAGTGGATACAACGACGCACCGAACTCCATATTAAATGCAGCAATTTAAAGTTTTCTGGCGCATCCGTGAACGTAGAATACGAGCTTTGTCCTATGTGAAGACTGTGGCTAACTCTTCAGCAAACAATATCCATTTCGGGATGGAAATGGTTTAGTTAAATTACTTCATTGCGATACCATCTCTTCCTTTATGGGTGACGTCGCGCGTCATAAACTGCCAATAGCACTGTTGTAATACGCCAACCACCTTCTCCGCTTGGTTAAAGTAGACAGCAACAGGTAGTTTAATATTGATTTTAATTCGGCATACAGTAATAAACAGTGTCTCATTTCAGAGTGGCTCCTGGGGACTTGTAAAACGCCTTGTTAAATCGCCTGTTTCTTGAATAGAGTTTGGCGTGGCTCTCATTGAGGTCCGGGAGGGGTCGAAACTGTGAAAACGAGACTGCAGCGACACATCGGGTTTCCCTTGCTGATGTTGCAGCATCGTCCTGTCGTTTGCGAAACAGGATGTTGAGGCGCAAGCAGATGTGCTGCGCAGGGGTTTGTACTTTGGGCACATTATTGCATTTGATGATTTTTAGTGTTTTAGCTCTCTGGTTGAAATGACATTTATTTGATGGGCAGTCTGGATTAAGGCATTTTTGTTTGGAAACCTGTAGGTTGTAAGTCACTGCAGGTTTGTGGGTCAGTTACATGTCTGAAATGCACATGTACAATAACAAATATTACATCATTCAAACCCTGATACAGTTTGTTGTACGGCTCCTGTTCATGATAACCATCTTGAGACAGTATACACTTCAAACAGACATCTTCTTGCGAACAATGGACCCATCATCAGAGTTCCTTGTTCATGTTATTCCAAAGGTTGTGGCGACTTGTTGCCAACATAATCCTCACGCCGTCTGCAGAGGGACATGAGAAGATTGAGTGTCGTGATCCGTCACTGCGAGCTTATCTGCTCAATTTCAGTTTATCTTTTGTGCCTGTAGAGGATGGGTGCCTGTGTTGGCACCCATCTGCCCAGCTGAAGTGCCCCCGAGCAAAGCACCACCTCTTTCTTCTCAGGAGCCGAGACGTTATTTTATCACCGGGGAACAAAAAGTTTTATATGATCATATTTGTTTTGCCTTATAGGCAAATTTGCAGACTGACTAGGCCTTGTTTAATAAAGGTATAAAAAGACACACTGGTATTATGCAAAGATATATAACTTGCACGGAAGTTAAACAACATGCCAGGGCAATGCAGAGTTATGCAGCCAGATGTGTAAACACACCCACCAGAAGTCTTCAGACGATGAGGTGATTCCATTCAATTTAAGTACTATACTGTATTTTTATACTTATGCAGTGTACTGTATTTTTAAGCACCTCACAAACTTTACAGCTTTCAAAAGTTACAAAAATAACAGATTACTGTATGTCATCAAGTTTGGCTTGTCTTTAAGATGTTTAAATTTGAAAGTCTGCTGGTGTTTGGTTTGAAAGAAGTGGGCGTTTAAGAGGTGTAATGGAAGACATTGTTACATTGCATTATTGAAATAGGATCCAGTGGTAGAAGAATCATTTTACTTCAGTAAATGTAGCAATACTACAGCGTAAAACTACTCTGTTACAAGTAAAAGTCCTGCATTCAAAGTCTTAGAGAGTACAAAAGTATTAGCATCCAACTTTCCTTAAAGTAACATAAGTCAAAGTTTTCATTATGCAGCGTAGCCCATTTATAGGATATAATTTATTGCTGGGTTATAATTAGTAAGTGATACATTAATGTGTTCATCACTTTATTGTTGGTAAAAGAGAGGCTAACTTTAATTAAGTGATGGACTGCTGGGCAGCCTAACCTGTGATAATGTAGCATCTTTATTAGTTGATTTACATTTTGTAATACAATCTAAATCTGCAAAGTAAAGTGGAAAATGGAAACACTCCAGTAAATGTAACCTTTATTTATCCAGGATCAGCCCATTGAGATTTTGAGACTCATTTACAAGGGGGTCCTGGCCAAGATGGCAGCGTAAAGGTTTCACACAAAAACACAAATAACAGACAACACAGCAAAAAGTTAGGTACAACATAAAAACATAGAAACATTTACATAAAAGAACAAATTGCATCAATCAATTGTCATTCAGTGTCAGGACAAATACATTCAGTGCTCAAATGATCCTGTTTTTTGAACCTTGAAATTGACTTGATGGAGAATTCATTAAATTGGAGCACCCCTGTATAGTTATATATGTATTACGGTTTTCGGAAAGACTTGATCCTGATCTGATTCTAGTAGAAGTTTTAGTCTGTGTTTTACTCTAAAGTTCTTGTCTGTTTGCTGGTGTTTATATTCAACATAATATCTCAACTCCTGTTTTGACCGTTCTTTTTTAATTTGTCTCCTGCGAGTCCGACAACCGAATGGAAATGCAATACTAAATCGCTGGAGCACTCCTTCAACTACAATTTGCTTGTACTTCACATTACTGCTGGACATTTTCCAAACAAAGCTAATTTCAGTGATGCTTGGAAATGTGCCATCTTCTGAATATACTTCATCACAAGACAAAGACCTCTCTGTCTCTTCTTTGACGGATTTCTCTCTCTGAAATTGATCATTTTAAGGTGCAAATCGTTAAAAAAGAAACACTTACGTTTTGGATCTAAGGGCCTGACTCCCAAAAACGTAGCTACATATACCTCTCACAGTTATTTGTGGAAAGAAGAAAAGGAAGTCTGCAAAAAGAAAAAATGGGCCTATACAATTGGAACAAAGGCGTTTTTTGGATGTTGTTAAAGTTTTAGGGTGGAGTTTTCCTTTAAAGCGTGCAACATTAGGCAACTTCCCATTCATGGCAGGAAGAGAGGAAACAGAACAGCACTCAGTGTGACACCAGTGTTGCTCACTAATGTGAAGGAAAGCACAGCGACTGAAGAGGCAACAGGTGCCATTTGTAGAATCCATCTTTCTATTCTGTACAGGAGTCTTTATTTCAGACTTACTACACGTCATTTGAAGTGCTATTAGTGTATTATGTACACCACCATTTACAACACATTTCTACTTATTTTCTTTCTTCATTTGGGAACCTCTGAAATCAGGCACATCATATGACCCCCACCTCTGAAACCAAACAGACACCCTTGAATGTTTTGTAGAAAAACACCAGCGTTAAGTTCACACAGTAAGTCAGATACATTTAACGTCATGGCAGGCAGAAAAAAAAAGTACAATACTGCTCAGTATAGACCTATAAATACCAACCGGTAAATCTATTAGCTTGTAATTTTCTCTTGCCGTATGTCTTTTTCCTGTTTTGTTTCCATCATGTGGGACACAACGAGGCATTTTTCCTGTTTTGTTTCCATCATGTGGGACACAACGAGGCAGCTGTCAAATGAACGTCGATCTTTTCTTCTTGACTAATTCTGTTTGTCGGAGCAAATGTATAACTGCTGACTTTGTTGTGATCGATGCAGATTACAGTGATTCTTGTTTCTAATCGGGTGTATGACTGTCTCCTAAACTGTTCTGTAAGTTCATTTATTTTTTGGGTGGAAAGTTTACAAGACCTCAGGACAAGCAGTGGCGTAAACTTGCTGATTAAAGACAAAAAAAATAATAAAGCAAGAAATCCTGCACCTTATTTATAGGGCTGGGTATCGTTTGAGGTTTGTTTGATACTACTGCTGATACAACATCCGACTCAGTGAGTGTATCACATTGAATGAGACTCTGCTATGAATGAATCCTTTCATTTGTTAGAGGAAGACACGCAGCTGTACGACGAACTGGCCGAAATACAAACTAAAGTGACAAAACTATCATTTCAATCAGGAATCTGACCAAGTAAACAAGATTATAAATGTGACCCGACACTCGGTACCAAAAACAACTGATGTTTGATACCTTGCTTTAACTGTAGCAAACTTCTGTCACTCTATAATTTTCATACTGGAAAGCTGAATTGTATTCTTGGACTTCTCTGTTGGTTTCATTGGAAGACATCACCATTGTCATCTTCTCTAGTCTTGACATTTTAAATTGTAATTGTTCATGACCTAACAGTTAATTGTTAAGAACGTCAATGGATCCATACGTAGTTAACATCATAAGTTGCTGCCTTTGTTTCACTCTTTAACGATCGACAATCAGCTGATGTTGTCACGGGGCATGGTGAGGACTCAAACGCAGACAGTCAGGTGTAGTGAAAAAAGGTTTTAATGATAACCAAAAACAAACAGGGAATCCAGGGACAAGACAAAAGACGAGGGGGAAAATCCGGCAGGAAAAGGCAGAACAGGCAGACTGGAAAACCGGGAACAGGACGAGCAAAACTGGCAGGTAGAACAAACAATGATCGGAAAACAAACAATGATCTGGCAGTGGGTGTGTGTGCAGCAGGGGTTTAAATAGTGAAGGAGGCAGAGTGAGCAGGTGAGAGTAATGAGCTGAGTGTGACTGGCAGGTGCACTGAATGAACTGATTAGGTGAGTGAGGAGCTACAGAAAGAAACAAAGACACAGAACACACAGGGCAAAGCCTGATCGTGACCGATGTGTCTTCTTATGCTTCAGGAAAGACAAATACTATTCATAGAACATTTAATTTTCTCCTTACTGAGGACGGAGAAGGGGGACATGTGATGGATCTCAAAGACTGGGTTCAAACAGCAGATGGGACATTTACATGGTGCAGGCTTTACACCACTTATCCAGCGGGACCATATTTAAAGCTATCTTCAATGCTAAGTGATTAAAGCCTGCCTCAGAAGTCGCCAGATGTAAATAGATTAAACCAAAAGTCAAGTTCTACTGTATATAGTCCCATTAGAGTTGAGAGAAGGCGGACATCTCTATGGCCGATATCTCCAAAACTAGACAACTCACACCAAAACAATCTAGATTGATAAAGAGCACTAGAGGTAAGAGGAAAATATGTTTTATTGATGTTGGGGGGGAACTGTCCCTTTAAGGTCTGCCCAACAACTTTCTAGATATGTTTCCATCTTTTTTTTTTTAAAAACTGTTCTTGAAAGTCGCCAAATCCATAGAGAAAGTTGTCAACACTTTGGTGTCACCACTTCCCTTGTGAATCAAAAATCTATCAAAATGTGCTTTTGATTTCGTAACTCATGAACGTGCACTCAGAGCACAGGTTGAAGGCCAAAGCGCGGACTGCTACGTCCTGCAAAACTGCAAAAAAAATGAATCGTATAAGTCAATTTTTAATCAAAAGTCCAAAACATTTGATTTCCTCCTCTATGACTCAAAGCTAATCGTGCCCATTCCAGTCTAATTATGTATGTTCATCATTTTGTGGAGAATCTGTGTTTCGGTGCCTTCCTGTCTCACTGGCTGTTTGTCTTGATTTACATTTTCCACTAATGCACACAACGGACATCATTATCAATCAGCTCGGTGCCAATTCGGTGGCTGATGTTATCATCTGTTTCCCCGGTGTACAAACACAACAATCTCGTTTGCATTGGAGCTATGACACTTCATTATTTTAGTAGCCGCTGCCTCGCAGTATTTGAATAGCAAATCCTGAAGCGTGGTTTTGAGTTTCTCTTCGTCGGAACAAACAGGGAGGCTGCTGCTGTATTCACAGCGTCCCTCTGTTGTCAGGATATACCATGACTATGTGTTTGAGCCCAAAAATGTCATCGCATAGCTAAACTTTAATTGTTAAAAACTGATGTCGCCCTTGGACGAGGTCTGAAGGACCCCCAGCAAGAGGTTGACGGAGAGCGAGGGCTTTTTATAACCCCACTTTTGTCTTCATTTTTTAATAAAAAATGAATTAAAAATATCTGACCTTTTTGTGTCCCTTGCTTCTACTAAAACCGAATAACGCACGCTAGACAGACAGTGACATGTAGCAGGATGAATGCAACTATTGTCATTATCAATTACTCTGTCAATTATGATTTTCATTAATGGATCTATTGCTTAGTCTATAAAATGCCAGAATATGGTGAAAGATGTCACACAAGTTAAAGGCAGTGTTTTCAAATGTCTTGTTTTGTCAGACAAACCAAAAGATGTTCAGTTCACAATGAAGTCAAAAAAGAGAAAAAGCATCCAATCCTCAAATTAGAGAAACTCAAACCAGAGAATGTTTTGCATTTTTGCTCAACGCCAGTGATTACTGGGTTGTCAAAAATGTTGATTTATTCTTTTATTTTTTCTGTTTTGCGGCACATAATGCTTCAATGAGAAGAAAATCAGTTAGCAGGATCCTGAGATTTTAATCCAGAACATTGAGAACATCTCCGTGGAGCGTGTCACAGGCAGCACCGGCTTTTGAAAGCAGCCGGAGAGCAACAACGCAGAGAGGACAGGAACTTCCTCTATTTTTCTCTTTCTGCTTTGTTCTGATTGCATGAGTGATGTTCGCTCTTTTGTGTTTACTCTGCTGCAGTTTCTAAAGAAGCTGTGCGTAGCTGCGCCCATCCAAACACGCAGACATGTTCTAGCATACTTGTGTGAGGACATTTTGTTGACCCTTTCTTTGAATTTCCAAAGACGTCACCGTAAACCTCATATCAAGTCGTTACCCCAAAGCGAATGATTAACACTGTGGGGACCTGATTATCCCCAGATTGGATATAAGTCCTCACAATGTGACTGTGTGAACGGGTTGCAGTCCCCATAATGCAATCGTACGTATAGTACTTTACCAACCAGATGGCAAGATGCACTTAATAAAGGAACTAACACTAAAATGCAAGAAAGCGCCCCGGGTCACGTAGCCTTGCACACACTGGACAAGTGGTTTGTGATTATCCAGGGAGGTTATTGCAGCAAAATGGCTTCTTTTATGAAGAGCTGACAAGTGTGGATGAAGACCCCAAGGAACAGTGCCGGGCTTTGAAGCCAATTTTCATAGTGGCCAAACAGTGGAAGGACGATTTCCGGGTTTCTCACTGGATGTCTTTGGGCCCAAGAAGACTTTTTGGGCCGTAACACATAGACCTAAATTAGGAAAGACACATCGGTAATTCTGCGGATATTTGTTTTTTAAAGGTGAATTAATCTCCCAGTACAAACACTTAAATATCCCTCGTGTGCGAGACGAGAGCCGAGCAGCTGGGAGGCGGGTTAAAGGGAACACCAGCGCGCTCGCTCTATGGGGCCCATTAGGAATGCAGAAGATCCAGGTAATTTTACACCCGCTAGTTAAGCTTTTTGGGCCTCAGGTGCCACTGAGCAACTTTCATAAGAATGAACAGGACCCCAACTTCAACGCTGTATCCAGTTCTCTTTATACATCCATGGTGTGATGCTAGGAAATAAAACAAGTGGCGTATATATTGATGCAGAAGCCAACACGGGGACATTTTACACATCTTTTCACAGTGCATCCTTCGTGGATTTGAGTTTTAAACCAAACCTGTTTGTTTTACAGGAGGCGGCGGGAACAGAAAAGGAAAAAGCAAGAAATGGAAGCAGCTGCTGCAGTTTCCCCACATAAGTTTGTGCGAAGAGCTGCGACAAACCACAGGTAAGATAACGTCTGTTCACATTGTCATGAGGTAGTGCTCTTATCTTGTTTGACATGAAAGTCTCTGTGGTCTCTTGTGTATCGAGTGAGTCTGACGTGTTTGAAACAGATCAAACCTGTTGTATCCAGGGCTACTTGGTTGTTGCTCTGTCTAAACAGGCCAAGCAGAAACATCCAGACCTATATATTGTCAAGGTGAAGAGACCCTCTGAAATCCTGTGACAGTCCCTTTGGAAACGGCATGTTGGCCAGAGCGCTAAAATATTGAAACTTTTGGTGCCACTGTTTTCTGTTTGTATAAATTCAGATTTTCTGTACATTTTTGACACATGTTTTTTCAATCCTAGATAGTGACTGTGTGTCATCACTATTCGCTACATAAAAAAGAAGAGAGCAGTATCTAATTTACGAATGAAATCTGAGCTAGCGAAGATAGACTTTCCCTTCTTCTTCTTTGTATCGGGGGAAATCGCGTCAAAGCCTCCTGGCTGGGATATAAATGTATAAGTTACTACTCCTATAATTTACCTTAAAGGCTCTATGTAAAGCCCTTTGTCATAGCTCGTGTTATGCATCGGTTGTCATTATTTCACCCAGTTTAGCAGACAATGCTGCGCTTGTACTGGTGTCTCTGCATACGCAGCATGCATCTGTAATTATAAGAGCAAATCAGCACTAAAGATCATGATTTCAGCTGTGGCTCAGTGGCCCTGAGGCTCAAAACACTTCAGAAAACAAATCAAGTCCACAACACACAGTGTACTTAAATCAGATTAGATTACACATTGGATACACAGATATTCTGAAACACGATCTGATCATTCTGTAATATTTCAGTATTTATCAATGTATTACGTCGCACTGAGTTTATGTGATCGATGTTGATTTTTCATTTCCTCTCTGTAGCAGCGGGGGCCTAATTATACTTTACAAAAATAGACATCCATTCATCCACATGCTAGATATCCATTCTCTCAGCAGCAAACCTCAGGTTACTTATAAAAAAGGGGAAATGGATGGTAGACTCTGACACACTCGACTGGCTCTAGCTTCATAAGCAGCGTGCAGACATTAAAGTGGTATCGACCCTCTCATTTAACTCAAGAAAACAAATAAACGTATTTACCAAGATGTCAAGCTATCCCTTTAAACAGATTACATGTGGAAAATAAGGAAGGCCTTCCTTACAGCAGCTCGGAAAGCAACATCACCACCTGTCAAAACTTCCGTAGTTGAAAAGAAGAAAATCTTAATGACCAAATTGAACATTCACGTAAAAGCAGAATGAAGCAGAAAACCTGCTTACAGGTAGTAAAAAACATGTGCAGCCCCTTCAGGATCTAACTAAGTTTTTTTTATTATGATAATCTCTTTTGTGGGTCATTTTTAGGAATATGACATGCCAACAAAGGTCCCATGACCGGAAACAAACTGGGGACATTGCGGTTAAATGGCACAACTCAGGAATCCCCAAACCAAAAATTTTAGTTAATATATATATAAGTTTTAAAGATGCAATGTGTAAGATCTGGCCACATGCTCCAAGCAGTTAGTGGGCAGCTACTGCTGGGTTCATACAATCTAATCTTACAGTCCTCAGTAAGAGTAGTTTTCTCATTTCTGCCACTTTGGATTTAATCCAATGAACGAACGATCAAAACATACACGGACCCCCGTAAGCTGTACTTCTTGTCCCGAGGGCAGACTGGACGCTAAGTAAACCCTTCACATTAATGTTAGTTAGTTGAATGTATCTTACACATTGCACCTTTTAAATATATCCGTCAATGTATTAGTACATTTTATAGCCAGTTGGTGCTCCTGTTGCTTTCAGTTGTAGGATTTATTGGGCTTCTTTTGTCATCAACTGATCAAGACGGATGAGTGTTGTCTTTTGTAATCGTGAGGCTTCCTGTCCACTGTTGTAACTTCTGTTTTTTTTTGTCTTTTCGCTTTTTCCTTTAATTTCTATTTTGCCCTGAAGATATTGTCAGAATCCTCAGAATCATGAGAGTACACTGAGCCGATCAGATAAAAACTAAATTTCAAGCTTACATTCTTCCAAAACGTTCATAGTAAGCAGATCACTGATACGGTTCATAAAAGTCAAGCATATGAGAACTCTGAATGCGTGCAGCCTGCAGAAGAAAAAAAACAACATAATGTTGCTCAAGTGGTACTACAGAGGAAACTGTGGCCTGCGCAGAGAGAGGAAGCAGACGGGTGTTTTTGCTCATTCAACCAGCAGTATGCGTACTTTCATTTTAACAGAGTTATTGATACCAGAACAGACAGAAGAACTCAGATATACAGGCAACAAGAGGATGGGAGTGAAAGTGCAGGGACCAGACGAGAAAGACAGGAAAAAAGTTTTTTGTGATTTAAATCATTGTATTTTCTTGAATTTTGAAAATAAGATTGTAAAATCAAGGACTTTGAGGGGGCAGGGGATGATATACACAGACCACTGTTTATACCATCTACGCCTACTCTGCACTGTAAAATGAAATATGTTTTATATATGTTATCAAGCATTTAGTTTTAAGTCATTAAATACTGTAAACATGTTTTTGGGGTTGAGCAGCACAAAAGGAATTGTCCCACCCTCATGCCGTGTGCACAACTTTACACTTTATTTTTGGTGGACTGTTTCTGCACGTGTAAATGGAGCTCCAACATGGAGGAAAGCCGGGAACAGTTCATGTTCGACATGTAGCTTAGTTTTCATGATGAATGAATAGTATTTATGTTATATTGTGATAATGATACATTTAGGAGGGGATGGGCTGTAAGAAGCAAGTTATGCTACATTAAATTGAGCTGAAACAATTAGTTAATTAATCTGCAACTATTTTGATAATCAATCAATTGTTTAAGCCATTTTTTAAGCAAAACTGCCAAGAATATTTTACTTGGGGAAACGGTGATCCTAACCGTTGAATTTACATTATTGCACAAACGAAATATTGATATTGCACGAGTGAATTATCATTTTCTACTGAAGCAGTGTTGATTGTTAAGTGTGACGGCAGCAGGAAGGAAGGACCTCCGGTTTCTCCCCTTCACACCACGAGTGAAGCAGCCTCTCACAGAAGAAGCTGTTTATAAAGCCTGCATGCAACTGGATAACAAATTTCATGGAGTCATGTTTTAGTTCTGCTTTTTGTAGTCTCTTTGTCGTAGTTTCTCCATGGCAGACCTACGTCAGTGACATCCGCCATCCCATCATAATGACATAGCTTAGTGAAAGTGTAGTCGGATTCTCTAAGCACCACGGTTGTCTTTTCCTAACTCCTCACGAATTCTCCTTCACATCTTTCCTTGGCCCCATTTTTTCATAGAGGTCAAGGACAAGTGGTTAGGAATAGACGTTAGGATGATTGGGAACAGGTGAAGCTGATCAGGGTGGGGAAAGTTAAAGCACACTAGCAGGAAACACACACAAGGGCAGGAAGTGAAGTTATCTGAAACGAGAGGGAGAGGGGAATGACAAAATAAAACAGGAAACCCAAAAATGACGTGACTTGTGAAAACAAGGAAAACATAACTCAGGGAAGTTGAGGAGGTGTTACATGCACGAGTCAAAAGACCACAGAAAACAATGTCCGTTCTACTCCTATTCTATTGTACAAACTGTGATTAATATCACCACGGCCAGGAAGTGAAAAAGAAGCTTCAGAGCGAGACAGAGGACAGAAAGCATGAGAAATGTAAACTGTTTTAGGAAGCCAGTGAGGGATCATGTTCAGCAAATACTGCTGCTGGTTAAGGTGGCTGAGATGGTGCACCGCAATACATGTGATATAAGTGAGTGTCAGGATGTCTTTTTCGAGAGACAACACTATAGCAAAAATTCCCTTCTGTGTCCCGGAGCGCTGAGAACAGTACTGATGATAACCTTGTGGACAACGGTACACAACAACTCTCTTGTTGTTAACACCTCGTCCACATGCTTTAGTGTACTTCTGGTTTGTGTTGGTTTCCCAATAAAATTACATTTTGAGAAATAATCACATAAATACCAAAACAGGTCAGAGAAATCACTATTCAATATTTCTATATCTTTCAGCCCTGTGTGTGTGTGTGTGTGTGTGTGTGTGTGTGTGTGTGTGTGTGTGTGTGTGTGTGTTCTGATGAAAAGCAATCAAGGGGTTTGATCTCCCTTCGAGGTCAACTATAGAGACATGTGATGTCGGTGTGATGTGAAATATCACCGTTAGCGTCCATTGACGGTGTGGTTTTGTATGGAGGCACTGTCACTGCACACTGCCCGCTAGTATACATCCATACATGGCATCCAGGCGGTGCAGAGTAAACACACAGGCCACATTGTTGGCCACATCAATTTATGAAGAAGAAGAAGCATTGAGGCCCAGCTTATGGCAACCTGTGATAAAACATATAATGCCTTGAGGTGCAGTGTGTGGTGACAGCCAGGCGGCCGGAGATCACAAGTAGGAGCCACAAGCATGAATCTATGTACAGTAGGTGTTTGTTGGGGTTTTCCGGGTCCCATTAAGTAAGTGCACTTTTACTCTGCAGGAACTTATCTAGCAACAAAAGAAGAAAGAAATTCTTCTTCTTTCATTTTAAACCTGGCCATATTTATTTTTCATATCCTGGTGCCTAAAAGCTGATGTGGACTGTACTTAATAATGATTTTGAGGTATTTATACTTGGATGGTTTAAGATGGAATTTGAATTAGACATTCATGCTCCCCAGAGGATGTATGACATAAATCCTTCAGTTGTACAATTGTTTAGGTTATGCCCAAACATGTGCAAAGCTAATAAGATTCCCATAACCTCATCTGTACTCTGTGTTTTGTGCTAGTAAATAAATGTTAGAAAAGGGCAATTTCTGCATAATGAGTATAGCTAAAATGTTTGTGCTGGCTCATCATGCACATTGTTGAATCTGACATAAAAAAGCTATTTTTTTTACTCACATTTTGCAGCATTGCGAGAACATAAAATGATCGCAAACATGTAAACATGTGAGGGGCTTTATGAAGTTGTCTCACAGGCCGGATGTGGCCCCTGACCCTGGGACCCCTAGGTTACGGTTTATGAGGTCTGAGCTTCCAGACTGCTGCCACATGTGTTCGGCATCATTCAGGCTGTGAGAAAGGACCAGAATCATTTTGCACTCTCCTCATTCCCACTATACATCAGTCTCTCTAGGTACATATGTATAGAAGTAGTTGTATATATTGTTTTATGTTATTTCATTTTATCTTATTCTAATTTAAATATTTGTAGATATGTTGTTTGTGTGGCGCGTGAAGGGGCTACAACTTACATGAACACTGTGCTACCTTGTGTTGTAAAATGACAAATAAGTTTACCTCATAACTTTATTAGGACTTGTAATGTTATTAGCATTTAAACAAAGTTACATAGCCAACTTACAAAATAGTCTAAAAAAAGAGAGAAATCTTTTGAGGACAATAGCAAGCAAGATGAACAAACTTAATTTGATTAAACTGTTTAAATGCAGATACGTCTACTCTTCAGACAGGTGTCTATCTGTGGAGTCTTCATTCTCCGTGTCCGCCTCTGCACGTCTCGTTTCCAACATGTATTCAAATATCACTCAGTCATGCAACAGCAAAAACTGCACTATAACTCTGTGTTGTTACGTCAGCGTGTGCTGAAATTAAGTTTTATTCCGTTGTCAGTGAACGTCACTGTAAAAAGAGACCTTTACGCTTTGATTCTTGTTTAACTACTGGGAGTCTTTGGTCAAGCGGAGCAATGGCTGTTCCTGCTGATGCTAAAACACCCTGTATATTAAATGAAGTTTGGTTGAAGCAGTGCATGCTCACTTGATCAGCAGCAGACGCTTTGTTCTTCGGGGGGAAACCTTCACAACAGAGCTGCTTCTTTCCTGAAAGGTGCGATGCAAAGTAGCTTTGATTTGAATGAACTCCGTCCGACATGTGTCTCACAGACTGTGTGACACACGGAGGCAGGAAGTTCACAAAAAAACTAATGTTGTGAAAAGCTAATTAGAGGAGATGAAACACTGAGTGATTGTTAAGAAAAGGAAAGTAAAATGTGAGGATTAGAAAGTGTGAGAGTGAGAAATGGAAAAAAAGACAATGATAAGAGATACAAAGAGACGAGCTCAGTAATGATTCAGTCCTGACAATCTTTGTGACAGCTTTCTGAAACCAGAAGAAAGAGATGAGAGGGAGGGAGTCTCCAGAAAGACATTCAGGAAACCTTCAACTTCCTTGTTTGTCAGAAACTTCTCTTCGTCTCTTCTCTTCTCACTTCTTTTGGTTTTCTATTCTCTTCTTCTATCTCCGCCTCTCTTGAATATTATTACACACCATGCATGCAAAATGCAACATTTCTGTCTTGCCTGAGTCACATTTGTTTGATCATGAAGCATCATGAGTCGCTTTGCATCCACATGAGTCATAGATGCAAATTAAAATGTTCTGGGTGTTGTTTTTTTTGTCCTGAAGCTCAGCTGGGAAGATGAACACAAACAGCCCAAAATATGTATCTAAAACCTCCCTTAGCATGTAAAGTTGGCGATATATAATAGTTGTCATTATCATCATTATCATCCATCAAGTAGGCTGTCCTATGTACTGTGACAAATATTTTACGGCTGCAACTAAGGATTATTTTTCATTCATCTACTTGAAATAATTAATCTATTTAATCTTTTTTTAGATTAATCAATTTATTGTCTACAAATTGTAAGCAAACAGTGAACTCTGTCAAATACAAGTTCCTAAGTTTTGCAGTTTTTGCTGAAAAAAATTAATTATCAAAATATTTATAAACAATTTTCTGTGAGTGAATTGACTAAACTTTTAAGCTTTAAACATTTCCATTGCTTGTTCTGACAGTCGCTGCTTCTAACTGCTGTCCAGCTAAAGCGTGTTGCCTAATCATGACAACCGTTATAAGATGATTATGTGGACACTAATTGTTTATTTCCTCTGTTTTTAATATGTTTGAAAACATATAAAAATGTAGTTAATGTCACCCTTTTTTTATGTGGTGTACTGTGATCAAAAATGTTATTATTTTTTGTTTCCGTCTTTACTGCAATTTTTCTCAATAATTGTCAAGTTTTCCACTGCTCCTGTAATAAAAACTTTCCTGTGAATGAGACTGCTGATCTATGCAAATATTATCATGGAGTTTGCGTTAACACCCGCATGCTGTGTGTGCCGATATTTGACCATTAAATGTGTCAGCGTCATTCATTGTTGTATTGTGTTACACTCCACTCCGTCAGTCAAATCACTGACACATTACATTGTTTACAACTCTATGAATTATAGGTGTAGTACTAAAATGATGGCTGTTCATATCCCTGGTTGCATGAGCATTTGTTCAACCTACTAATTGGGCGGTTAAATGTTCGTGTTGAAGTGGATGTTACATCACACAGGAAACAGGGCAAGGAAAAGATTAAGAAAATTTAACGAGATTCTTAAGTCGTAGTTGATGGAAAGACGCACACATTCATGTCTTAGATTGACGAAATTAGTTTGAGACTTTTTGATTGAATCATAACTTTATTGTTTCATCTCATTAAACAACATTGTGTCTCCTTGTCTCTATAGAAAAGGACTACAGCAGCCTCTGTGAGCGGCAGCCGATCGGACGGTTACTGTTCAGACAGTTCTGTGAGACTCGACCCGAACTGAGGCGCTGCGTCAAGTTCCTGGATGCTGTGGTAAGAAGTGTGTGTGTGTGTGTGTGTGTGTGATGAGCTTTTTAGATGTTCGTCTTGTTCCTGGAAGTCTGTGCGCTTGTGTTGAAGAGATTGAAAGTTTTGTCTCAAATGCCCTTTTCCATGACTACTAGTGTGGGAAGACAAAAGGATGGAATTGTGTGTGTGTGTGTGTGTGTGTGTGGGAATGAGGGAGGGTGGTGGGGTCTCAAGGACTTGTGTGTCTTTCTTCCTCGAAAGGCTGCTCGATTCTTGTTAATGAAGAGAGGGAGGTATGTGTGTGTTTTCATCGTTATCTTCTAATAAAAACCAGAGTAACAAGGACACTTTTTCTGCTACTAAAGGTTTTTAAATGTAATTTTCAAATAATTTCAATTAATGTCTAAAGAATTGAAATCTTAAAGTTACTACAAGGAACTTTAAACTGGTTATGAAACGGTCTCAATGTATATTAATGAATGCCTCTGTATGACCTGCATAAGTAAACAAGACCATCAGCAAGAACATCGGCTATTTCTTAAAAAATGATTCTTAATGCTTGTCATCGGTGTCACCGGGTCGGATTACGGCGAAATCAGACAAAATCATATAGACGAGACACTCCTACAGCTCAGACTCCAGCGGGGCCTCCGGCAGCGCCCATCCTGCCGCGGACAAACCCAGATCCGGCTTCACTGCTGACCTTTCACCTGCAGCTGGAGCTCCGGCGGGAGGTGGAGAGCTCAGTGGCCGGCAAGAGCGTCTCCTTCTCCAGCCATGAGCAGAGCTTTGCCCAGCTGCTCTGCCGGTCCCCGCTGGGAGCGAACACCGTCACTGCGCTGCTGGAAGTCCAATCCGTATTGCTGGGCCCACACAGGAGGGAAGGGAGGCACCAGAGAACCAGAAGCAGGACTGCACGGGGCAGGCTTTCTGACCCTCTGATACTCAGAAATGCTACCGCTTTTGTCCACAGGGTCTTCCAAAATCAACACAAAATATATGTTCCTTGTAGTAGCTTTAAAGACAGATATCTGTAAATCTGCCCAATAAAAAAAACAATATTATCTGCATGGTAATGTAGATGGAGATATTGTTTTTGTTCTGTGATTTGAGTGAACTGTCCCTTTAAACAAGTGTAACATGGTGAGTTAGTTCTCATGTGGGACCTTTGCTGCAGGAAGTGCCTCCAACACTTGACGTTAAGAGTGAGGAGGAGGGGGAGGAGGAGGAGGAAGTTGAGTTTAATATCTGTTTTATGAAAAATGTGAACTTTTGACTTCTGGAGAGGAAACTGCGTCACAGTGTCGACCCTCTCGTCTACCTTCCATGTTGTAAACGTGACACACACACACACATTTTCTGTTGACCTTATCTGTCACGGTGAACGGCTCGCTGCTCGCTCTGCTCACTAAAGGAATGTTTCAGTTGCACTCTTGTTTTATTTCAACCGGAGTGTGTGCGTATGTATGTGTGTGTGTGTGTGTACTGTGTGTATGTGTGTGTGTGTACTGTGTACTATGTGTGTGTGTGTGTGTGGTCCCATTGATGCTGTTTTGCCTTGTTTGAGTGTGCAGTTGACAAATGATAAACCGTGGTTTCCTCCTTCACTCTTATGGGCACTCACTAGTGGAGGAATGTAACAACAGTATTATGTACATTTACTCAAGTACGGTACAATTTTGAACTATCTGTACGCTACTTGAGTATTTCCATGCAATGTTACTTTATAATTCCACTCCATGGCATTTATTTGCCAACATAACATTAGGCTTTATCCTCTGGAGACCATGATCGTAATATTTGTCAAGTTACCCTCCGTTTCTCAACAGATATTTTTGGAAAAAGACGTGTTAGAAATGGAAAACACTTAAAAAGGTCCGGAGATATTGTTGGTCGAAGAAGAGGGTAGTCCTCATTCTTCAAGCCTTTGTTCATGTAAGAATAAAACATGAAACACAGTTTCTGCAGTCAAGGTGTTGATATTCTAAGTTTTAGGGAAATTCCTTTGTGGAAAGACAATATGTTACATGAGCTTGACTTGACTTGCTTTTGGTACCAGGTACATTTCTCAAACACAGTGTGTTCTCTCGCTGGTTCCTTTCATCAACAACCCAACAGAGGAACATTTGCACTTTGTCAATTGACCACACGCTGTGGTTTGCGGGCTGCCATTTTTTAAAATAATCTGGGTAAAATGAATACAAAAATTACCCCAAGTGCAAGGTGACAGTGGAGGGGGGTCTGAACGACCGCAATGGGTAAATGCAAGTTTTTTTTTTTCCAAGTTCTGGCTTTACAATCCGAAATATAAAGACTGTTTGGCTAAGCATTCCAAATGGGAAAAGAAAGCTAGATGCAAACTTTGTGAAAGCACTGAAGTCAGTTCACAGCATTCTCTGCATCAAGATTCAAATACAATCTAAATAGTATGGAATTTTGCAAATGGAAAATGTGTAGGAACTTTTGATGGTCGATCGGGTATTTAGAAACGGTGGGTTTGTACAGGATTTCCTGAGTCGAGCAAGTGACGATTCCGCTCCAACTTTTAGTATCGGCTCAGCTCGCTTAGAACCTCGACCAAGCTGATACCAAAAAAAGTTGTGGATAGTACCTGGTACAAGTACAGGCATGATAAACACAATGAAAAAAAAACTTGTCAACCTAGCAACATTAATGCTACAAACAACCCATAATGCAACACTCTCTGTAGGTTCCGATGTTATATTGGTGCTCTCTCATTCTAAAATAATCAGCTGTTGTCAAATACAATACCTCCTCTTCTTTTTCAAACATAATATCCAGAAAACGAAACATTGTCTTATACTCAGACTGACGATGCCATCGCTAGAGAGCGAGGCTCCAGTCTGACTGACCAGCTCAGCCAAACTGCTTTACAGCTTTCAGTCGTCCAGCGGATACAACTCGCGCACGAAGCAATTATGTTCTCTTGTACCCCCACGACCGCTTCCCGTCTCTTCTCAGAGAACTCTGCGAGAGAACGAGATGGAAAAGGGAAAATGAGATTTGAAACGTCTCTGCTGTCACTTAGCATTACTTTACAGGCTCTCGCTGTGAGATGGGGGAGGAAGCACTTTGGAGTTTTCCAGTCAGGCTCAGTTTACTGCAAGTGATTCAGAGGGATGGTTGATGTGAGGCGGAGAGGATACGATCGGCTCATGTACTGCAGGGTGTGGAACAGGCCTCCCAAATCCCTTCAATTAAGTATTGAATTGGGTTTGGCAGTAATCAAGGCCTTCAGAGGTCTTCAGTGGAAACACAGAGAGTTGGTAGAGCAGCTGAACAATCTTTCAATATTATTGTTTATTGACTTTTATGTCTGATGAGGGTGATCAGATTATGATCACTGTACAAAATGTCAAATAGTCTGAATGACTAGTCTGAGTTTGTTTCGATTGTTTTGCACAGAAGAACTTTTACTGATGTAACGCATTATCTGTTATGAACACGCTTCCTTGTTTTCTTTTTGTTTGCATACACTTGTACAAATAAATACAGGACAAAAATGTATATTCATATAGTGAAGCTGACGTTGCCACATCTGCCACATCTGGGTAACTGAGGGACGATTGCGACAGAGCTCCTGTAGCGACTGTCGGTCACCTCTGGTTCTCGCTCTCATTTAGTCTTGATGTGTTTCCCTGCAGGCGGAGTACGAGGTGACTCCGGATGAGAAGAGGAAGGAGTGCGGTCAGGAACTCGTCGACAAATACTTCAACCCAAAGGTAGCAGCCGCTTTCATGGTCCTCTGTCACTCTCTATGTTTCCCTCCAGGTAGCCCTTCACTACCAACTGGGTATACTGTGAGCATTACTGATGTGATTTGGTAAAGACTCAACAATCTTTAAGATTGATTACCCGGGCAGACACTAACTGTCTCACTCCCAGGCCGTCAGATACCCACGCTTGGGCAGCTCCTATCGGCGTCGTTGGTGTCCCGTGTGAAACCCAAAGATGACTTTTTCTATTTTTACTGACGACGTTATGTCATGTGACGCTACGCCACTTATTCACATGACGTTGTATACGTTATGTTATATTACAAGCGTACTTATTTGAAGTTTTTTCTAACCCTCACCAAGTGGTTTTGTTCCTTAAACATTACTGCCCCTGTTGCACATTTACCACGTACCAACGGTACACTTGTCCAGGAAATTATTTTGCCCATTTTAACACCTTAAGCGAAGGGTGACAATGAACAGTAATTTTGAGTCTTGTTGAATAAGAGTGGTAAAATTGCTTCTTCATGTCTGCAAGTTTCCGCTTGTTTTTCCTGATAATTCTGTCTCTCTGTGTGCTTCAGTTTTCTCACCTGCATCTGTTTGTCTCGCTGTGCATACAAGTCGAAACACGCTGAAGTCTTTCAGTGTGACAAGGATAATAATCTATCTGCACCGTCTCAAACCCAGTTTATCCGGCTTTCCTCTGTGACTTTACTGCCAGAGTTGAGTCACCGTGTTTACATGGACCTAATGCGTTTCTTTTTGCGGTGCAGTCGGAGGACCGTGTGCCTGAGGTGGAGGAGGCCATGATGGCTCAGTGTGGCGAGAGGCTGCAGCAGGAGGCCTGTAAAGAGCTCTTCAAGGACTGTACCAAGTAAGATCACGGGGGTCTCATCTGGGCTTGTTTATTTTGGTCAATTATTTTGTTTATCCCCCTTTAACATAAGGAATCGAGCTGTCACGTCCATGGTCTTATTTCCGTCAGTTTGGTTTGACATTAAAAGGAATTTATACCCCATGATTAAACACATAGTACATATGTTGGGTGATTTATAATATTCGTCTTGGGTTTAATACCCCAACTATGATCACAGATAAAGAGTTAGCTGCAAATGAACAGATATTGTGCATTGGACTAACCTGATAAAATGCTCGACTGTGGTATGAATATACTATGTTGCATATTTTGGAAAATACATGATACAGTACAATTTGGGGGAAAACCAAAGCAAGTTTTAATGAATTAAACCTTTTCAAAACATGCCAGATTGAATCTATTTTGCATTAAATAAAACATCCCCTCACACAAAGGGTGAAGTTGATCAGTGTTAGCCCATCCCAAAACAACCTCACCCTCACCTCGCTCTCTCTCTGTGAGGTTTCTGTTCTCTAGGCATTGAAAAAGAAATCCTGCGGTGCAGCTACAATCATGCAAAAGCACATCAAAACAAGTACTGTTGGCCCTGCAGACAGCTGACAGCCTGAACACTGTCCTGAATGTCGGCTCTGTCTCCTGCTTCGGGTTTCTGGCAAAGTCTCAAGTCTTTCAAGTCACAAGGCTCAAGTCACTGTGGTGTTAAAGTCGACTGAGACGCTGCCGTTGTCTTGTTGTTTGACGACGAGTTAAAAGAGTCTGATTTAAGTCCATTTTGGCATGACTCAAGTCTCCATGTGTGTTGGGATGTGATTGGTCCAGAGGAGGACTGCATTAGGTTGAGAGGAGGCAACGTGTTTAAAGAAGAAAGAAATGTTCTTCCTCCATAGATTTTAATGAGGATGCTTTGAGAGCTGACTTGGAGTAGACAAGTATCCCAGCATGCATTTTACCAACATGTCCCCCTTAACAAGCTGAACACAAAGAGTTGGATACCCTGGGTTTTGCCTTTCAGGATAGATACATGCTGTCTTATCTTATTGGTGAAGGCTGTTGGGGTTGTGTGCGAGGACTGCTGGGCCTGCAGACACGACTCAGAGCGGAAAAAACAAGTCGCACAAAACACACAAATACAGAATTCAAAGCTCATGACTGAGCAGCTTCCGGTCTGTAACTTCAGGTCTTGCTTTTGTAACTCCAGTGTTTCCCAAATGAGGAAGTTGGGTTCATAACGGTTGAGATTACTGAGCATGTTGGCTGTTTATCAAGGTTGGAAAATGTAGCTGTGATGCAGAGAAAAAGAAGAAGAAAATGAAATGATTCATGATGCAGTCACGACTCAGAAGAACACGGAATAAGAAATCATAATACCTTAAACAATATAAAGACTAAATAGAGATACATGGAAAGGAAAACCTTACAATACAAACGTATTTTGTGATGAGGACGAGTTAATCGTTCATTTCATAAACACTCACACATTGTGTAACATCCTCTAACGGCTCTGTTCATGCTTGTTGCGTAGGCGTGAGGCGGCGCAGAGGCCAGTTGGTTTTTCAAGCCACATCAAGAACAAGACATGAGTAATTAGCTACGGTGCTGTACACAATGTGAACACTACACACTCTGCACTCTTTACTCGTCTGGTAGGAAGGTAAAAGGAGAAGTCTGGTGATATTCTACACTTACCGTATTTTCAACACCTTACTATGAAATCTGTCACAACTCTTAGAGTTGGAATCCAAGAGTCCCAATAAGAATGAACCCGTTTAAGCACTACCTCTTTGCCCTTTGGACTAACTTTGTGAAATCAAAAATATGACTCAAAGCAGGGCCACGATTTGTTTCAAAATAAGTTTTGACTTAATAATGATGCCAAAGAAAAAGTATTTTTATTTTATATAAAGAAATATAACTATTCTTCTCTGGGTTGTTCACATTGTGGCAAGATTCTGCCAGTAACATATTTCTAGTATAAGCAGTTATCTTAAAGGACCAGAGTGTAGGATAAAGGGGGATTTATAGGCAGAAATAGAATATAACATTCATAAAAAAAGATTTCATTATTGTGTATAGTCCTCTGAAACTAGGAATTGTTGTTTTTCGGGCACCATATTTCTCTGGGAGGGGCATTCAGTTTTTTTTTGTCAGTGTTTCAGACAGTGACCTAGAGCGTGACTCTTTCATTTGACTAAAACCATAATCCTTCCTGTGTTAGCTCATTGCAGTAGCTCCTAAAGGCAACATATTGCCTGAGTTAAGCTCCTTTCTCAGAAGGTTGTTAAATCTGAAATTAATCCAAATGTTTGCTTTTGAAAGAAGAAAATAACACATTTGTCCCCAAATGAATTCATAAGCAAAAAGAAATGCATCCTTGCTTGATTTCAACCAATTCAGTCTCACTTGGCCTGGAATGACCTGTAGCTTATGGTGACTAATGTTAGCTACTGTTAGCACACTTCCAAATAACTTTGCTAACCCTACTTGTGCTGCTGTTGCACTACGTTTCATCGTGTCATAGATCCAAAAATGTAAACATGGCAAAGACCTGCTATTTGCAACACTATTGACAGTATAAAGCAACTCTTCTCAGGCTGCAACATTTTTATTATTTATTAATCGAGAGTTGTGTTTTCTACCCAGATTGATCCACGATTACCTGAGCGTGGCGCCCTTCGCGGACTACCTCGACAGCATGTACTACAACAGGTTCCTCCAGTGGAAGTGGCTGGAGAGGTAAAGTTTGTTGACAGAGTGAAATCAACCTCCCTTTCTCATCTCTGTTTCTTTCTCGAACTGTCCTTCTTCGTCTTTGTCCGTCTTTCTACTGCCGTTTCTCCCTATTATGTACATGAGGACACATAATGCATACTTTCATTACACACGTACCACTTAGGAGCTCACTCGGGCTCATTTAGAGGCTACATTGGCCTTAAGCTCCACCACAGTACCAGTAACAACATGCTTAGCGAGTTGCCTCATTCCTTCCTCTCTTGGGTTACTGGGGTAAGAACAAATGCAATATCAGAGTGATATCACCCGTACATATTTCAAGACGGGAGTTTGAAATTGCTCAACTGCAAAGTTTCACAGTTCAGTTTTGGCAGTGAATAGACTTGGAGCAGGCTGTTGTTGTAAAGGCTAGATGCACCTGATTGTACCGTTACCGATAATACTTGAGAAGGTTTTGTTTATTGTAATTATGGGAAGAGTGGTGCGGGAGGTACAGCAGGTAATTCTGGTGTCTATACAGGTCTAATAATCACAATATAGATAATTTATTAAGATAGAAACTTACTTACTTTTTCCTCTAATATATGTTAATTGATTTAGTTTTACCTTGAAACCCTCATTAAGATAGAAATTTGAGCTGTAGTAGCAGAAGGTTCCAGGCTGAGGGAGCAGCATACAGTATATAAAAGCTCCTTTACCTGGTTTAGTGCAGACTTTGCTAACTTTCAATAACAATGAGTGTTGGCAACTAAAAGCAATGCTGTTCACACATATATGGTGAATAAATTTACAGAGAGGGTATTTGTAACTTATTTAACATCGAGGAACAGAGAAGAGCCATTCAGCCTGGTGGTTACTATTAAAGATCATATATAAGACCATGTCCCCTGCAAACCTTCCGCTCACTGCACTCTATGCGTGAGTTAACGTAAACACGACTACTGCACATCAGCTAGTCTCCTTCTCAAAGATGAGATAAAGCAAAACAGTGTAAAAGGGTACCTGGATGTAACTGTAGCTCTGAAAAGTATGTGGCGTAGCCCAGCTCAAATAACCAAATGAAAACAATGTAAACACAGTTAATGTGGGGAAATAATATAATGAAATGTACAACACATGAGTCTAGTTTTGCGGGGGTGATATCAATGAATCCCAGTCACCCCATGCATCACGCATAAATATGGTTTAAAGACACACTCGCATTACATTTCCATTTAACGGGATAACGTAATGAATAGATATTGATCACAGTGATCACAGACTATGAACAGCGTACGTGAGCGACGCTACAGTTGCTGCAGCAGCCGAAAAGTTGATCCATTTACATCACTGGCACATGGGAAATACTGAGCTCTCCATTCTCTGGTATTGTCTGACGTAATTCACACATAAGTGTTAATTTGTTGCTGGAACAATGAATCTGTCATCACAATGATGGTTATTATGAGTTTCATCAGGTTTGTTTGCAGACAGAGAAAGTGTGTCTGGGTCCGTGTCCCATCACTGAGTACTGATGGTTCCCAGACTCTACTTTGAAAACTTCAGTGACGCTGTAAACACGCCGGCTATCCCACAGTGGACTGAGTGTTTAGGTTCAATGGTTAAACCTGGTGTTCTTTAAGGATCAGGTGAAACAGCCCACATCGGAGGCCAATCCATCCCCAGCCATCCTCGTTGTAGTGACGTATGAATACAAAAGATTAGGCCTGAACCCACAAGGTGACGAGAGCAGAGAGGAAGACATGGAGAAGATCAAGACAATGATGGAGACAAAACAAAAACAAAGAGAAGGGGGAGACAGAATGAGGACTGTTTATTCCAGCCCCACAAGCTGCTTATTGGATAATTAAAAAAACTGTATGTCCTTCATGTAGGCTTTCCAGGAACTGTGTAAGGTTGACAGCCTTGAATCCTTCTGTTCTTCCAGTGGGGCTTTGAGAAGTTTTCAAACACCACAGGGTCATTGAATTCCCTCCACCGAGGAGAATTTCTAATCCTTCAACCGCAGTGAAAACAAAAAGAAAACACCACCATAGTTGGAGTGAAAATGTTTTCCTGAAGCAGTGGTGTTCAGTCAAGAGATGTTGCAAGACATGTCAGGAAGAGGAGGAAACAACTGCAGAGTAGAGCCGTGAGCTGCTTATGTTATCGCAATTAAAACAAATAAAACAACAAATTAATAAGGGAAATATTCTCTTTCCTATCACTGTTCAACCCCATTAAAAGGAATAATTTGTAACTCGGAGAATATACAGCCAGGCGGTTAGCTTAGCTTAGCATGACAGGGCAGTTGGTCCAAAGGTAAAAAAAAAAGATCTAATCAAAGTGCAAAAAACACTAAACATTGATGACTTTGCAGGCAATACAACTTTTGCAATGCTCTTTACTGCATACATATAATTCATGTGTTTGTGTTGTGCTAGCTAGCCGTTATCACCAGCTGTTCATGATGTAGCTAAAATTCAAGTTCACAAATTATTCTTATGGCGTTTTTACCAAACAGCTTCAGGTGCATTACCACCACCCTCTGAACTGGAGTAGGAAAACCCAAGACAAATTGTCACAAGAGACGCATATATATGTGGCTAGTTTAAAAGAAAGTGTATTAACTCCCATCTGGATTTTACCTGGGTACAAGACATTGTCTTACTGCCTTTGGTGAGAGCACAACATCATGAAACATGACACCTAAAAAGGAGAACTCTGTCCTGTCCTGACCCTGGGCTCGGGCCAACTGGTGGTTTTGCAGAGAAGCAGCGGGTTCTTTTGACACACTGAGCTTCACGGCAAACAACTGTGTTCTCCAAAATGCCAGGTCATTATTTTGAATACAGTTATGAGTAAAACGTAGCTGCACTTTGGCTAATAATAGATATTGTAACGTAGAGAGACGGAGGATACAATACAAAGCCTAACTGACAAATGTAACTCAAAAACAAACCCTTTTATTTAAATTTAGAGTGCGTAGAGAATGAAGAGCCATCTACAATAACCAGACAGGACTAACACTTCAGCGCGTCACTGAAAGCGTCTGCCAGACAGGAACAAAACACATTAAGGCTGGCCGCTCAGCACTAGTATAGTCTCTACACTAAAGCATCGACTGACCAACAGAAGGGATTTATATACCCACAGACTAATGGGCTGATTGAAGAGGGCTGAGTAATGGCTCATGAGGGGCAGCTGCACTGCACATGCAGGAGTGCCGCCAGAGTTCGGGACCTCTGGAGGCCAGTGTTGAAAGGCTCATTCACAGATGAGCCAGGACTTAAACAAGACTTTTTTTCATCGTGTTAGCTTCCTGTCCAACGTCATTGTTTTGTTGATTTAGTCTCAATCAGTTCAACTGTGTGCGTCCGACAGGCACAAACAAGGCTCTCTCATGTGATCTCAATCACTTATTGTGAATGTTTTGAATCAGTGTGGGTCTGAACTTGGCAATTTCACTTTCTACTATGCTGTTGGTAGCTGTTTGCTCTGTAATGCCATCAGTGTGCTGCAAAAAGAAGTTGAATCTGACGCACACACACAAAACAAAAGCTTGTATACTCTCTGTGATTCCAGGGTGCTTAGTTTAGATTTCTCTAAAAACGTCAGCTCATTATCAAACCAGTATCAAATACTTTTGTGTTACCGACCAAAAGTCTGCAAAAAGTACTGGTCAGCAGTTAACTTATTAGAATATGAGCCCAAAGATTACATTTTCTTTCTTCATCCGATCCAACAGTTTAGTTTTTTTGCATTGAGGCCTTAAAAGCTGCTATCGTAGCTTTAGCCCTGACATTTAATCTCCACTGCTCACGTTAAACATCACAGCATGAGTTTAGTCTGATGTCAGAGGATCAATATGGGCCTAAATTCAAGAATACACAAAACCAATAACAAGTATTGGTAAAAAACAAACAAACATGAGAGGCACCGTCACCGGGTTAATTAAGCAGCAAATGACTCATCCCGGTTTTAATGAGTCTATTAAATTGACCTGCTTGAATGGTCAGACTGTCCACAGGGAGATAAGGGCTGATACCAAGAGGGAACAGTTAATTGGTGCTTTCGATCATTATAGCGGCTCTGTTTGTGCTCGTCATAAATCCATCCACTGATGACTGACTCAAAAACAGGTTTTAAGATCACTGCACTCTTCTAACTAACCTGTGTGTATATATGTGTTTTTTTTCATCATTCTCCAGGACAGCCAGATAGTGTTACGAATGTCATGTTATTTTACCTTTATATGTGTTGCAGTCTGAGTTATAAACGCATTTCTCTTTGTGTCCAACAGGCAACTGGTGACGAAAAACACATTTCGACAGTACAGAGTTTTAGGGAAAGGAGGCTTTGGAGAGGTGAGTACATTCAGTTAGTTTGTTTCTTTTAAACTCCATTTTAAATTACTCAACATAGTCAAACACAACTCACAAACTCAGAAGAAACAATCTTATTGGCAAGTTGAAATAAATAATTAAATAAATGGAAGAACGGGGGTTGGCAGGGCGTTTTCCTTTGCTGATTAGGATCAACTGTCACACGCCTGCAATTTACGAGAACAATGGGATTCGTTATAGGAACAAAGGTACGAACAATTCTGCGGTTGAGGAATTTTCTCAAGAACAAATTTAACGAGAAAAAGAAGATATTGGTGAATGATGCCCACTGCTCTTAAAAGCGACATCCTTCACGGATAATTAAAATTATCATCTGGACAAAATAACCAGTTGCCCTTTTTTCCTTTTTATCCAAATTGTTTCAGGGGATTCATGTTTTAGGAAATCTTTGATATAATAACTTATTTTACTCTCTCAATGTTCAGTATTCTGTAGTTCAGATGCTATTTTTTACACACGTTCTCCTACTAGTCTTTGGCAGGCCAGTTGAATACACGATTCATAGGAAGTGTAGAAGCAGCACACATGAACATTTCATCCTCAGTTAATGATGCATGCTCCCTCCGGTCCAGTCAGTAACAAGTTGCATGATTAGATTCATTATGGCCATTTAGAGTCACAATCCTGACCTTTAAGGATGGAGGACAGTCTGATATTGTTTCCATGTTCAGCTGGGTTTATAGCACCTCACACTGGACAGAGAAATCAGAGGCTGACAGAGAAGCTAGAGAGAAGTGTTTATTAATAAAGGATGAAGTTGATAAAACAAAAGGTTAAGGTATATTTTATTAAATCGGGAGACCTGGTACACAGCTTCTCTCTATTTGTTTTAACTCGCTATTTGTGAGTTACCAGAACCACATAAGGAAGGTTGTGTTGATGACAGTAAATGTGCATGAAATATAGATTCATAAGAAGCAAAAAAAACTATTATTAATCAATACAATATCTGCTCTTTGTAACAAACAGTGGACATCAAACTCGAACACTTTAACTTGGCTTCAAGCATTAACATTTTGGGGAAATGTGGTAGTTTGTAAAAATAGTTTCAGTGACAAAAACATGAATTCATTTCAGATCGACATCAATTCAATCTGTGTTGAGTGTTGTTTTGAGTTCCTTCTTTCGTTTATAGCCTCACGTATCACCTTCATATGTACAGCTACGTGCTTACACCCGAATGCAGCAGTAGAATTTCATTTTCACCACATCCTCCACAAAAGGAGTTTTCCTACGAACACAGCCCTCCGTGTGTACGCTTCTTTTTATGTCCTAAGCTGCCATCCTGTGTTACCTTATGATTACTTTATTTACAATCACGGTCTTGTGTGGTGTTCTGGTGCTCATGTGTGAAGTCACATGATGGACGGCAATGAAGTCTTCTCTGTTTTATTAAGAGTGAACTGTATCTTTATTTGTTGCAACATGTATAAATGGGAATACAATTATCTTGTCTTCTGTCTTGCCCCCCGTCCATCTCCTCTTCCTTTACCCTGCAGGTGTGTGCGTGTCAGGTACGGGCCACAGGGAAAATGTACGCCTGTAAAAAACTGGAGAAGAAGAGGATAAAGAAGAGGAAAGGAGAGTCCATGGCGCTCAATGAGAAACAGATCCTGGAGAAAGTCAACAGCAGATTTGTTGTAAGCATCTCATCTTATCTGCAAGAATATCTCCAGACTTATTCTTTAACATTAACGTCTCACAGTAACCATCGGTAGACATTTCTCTCTTCTAAAATAATACATTTATAGAGCGAAACTGTGCACGTTTGCTCTCTGTGTGCGTCGATCGCACGAGATCTCTGCAACATTAACAACTGCAGTAATTAAAAGACAACATGAGGAGGTTTGTTTTGTCTCTGGTTTGGTTTGATTCTCTGCCAGACGACCTCCGTTCAGCTTATTTGATTTGGACTCCAGTCAGTTGGCTGCTCCGGTCTCCCAGGGCTGAGGAGTCCCTCGGGGTTCAACACGGCTTCAATGTGAAAACACGCAAACAACTTAATTAAAGAAGTTTGGCAGCAGGTTGTGTTTGCAGTTGTGGGGGACGTGCAGTCAACAGCGTTGTCAGCTTCCTGAATATCTCACATTAAAGGAAAAATGTACCCCAAATCTATAAATAAAGTTTAAATTAAACTCAAATTAGACTTGGGACTGCACTATATTTAGCTGAAAACTTGAGCTGCAATTGAGGACTATATTTATGATAAATTATTCTGTAGATTTGTTTTACAATGAATACATTTATCGTTCTATAAAATCTATAAAAACAACAAACAATAAAAAACATTCATCACTATTTCTCACAACACAATACAGACGTCTGTAAATGTCTTATTTTGTCCGACTGACAAAGATATTCAGTTTACTGTGAAGCTGGAACTAGGCAATGTTTATTTTTGCTGGATTTATCCAAACAATTAGTTGTGCATGCAGCATCATTAACACGCGACACTCCTCTGTCTCCAGGTGAGCTTAGCGTACGCCTACGAGACGAAGGACGCTCTGTGCCTCGTGTTGACCCTCATGAACGGAGGAGACCTGAAGTTTCACATCTATCACATGGGCGAGGCGGGTTTCGACGAGAAGAGAGCCATCTTCTACTCTGCGGAGATCTGCTGTGGGCTGGAGGACCTGCACCGAGAACGCATCGTCTACAGGTCAGCATCTTCCAACCTCAGAGACGTTTGACTCATTGTCCTTCCTCTCTCCCCCCCGGTCTCATTGTCTCTCGTCTTTGTTCTCAATCTGCTCTCCCGTTCTCCGTCCCACAGAGACCTAAAGCCAGAGAACATCCTGCTGGACGACCACGGTGAGTAGCAGCGTTCAAGGAAAATAAATAAATGGGTCAAAATTCAACCAATTATAACTTCTGTTACCTCTCTGTGGGTTGTTGGCTCATTTTAATAAAAGGACAGGTGCATGCTGGTTTATTTTTGTTAGTTATTGTTGTTTTTCCTGCTTATTAACACAACAGCAAAGGTACTTTAAAACATAAAAAGTACCCTCCTTCTGGAAGTCATAACTCAGTCAAATGTGAATACACAGACATGATACAGTTTTTAGATTTAGTGTGACTTGCACTTTTTATTTATTTCTGACCTCCATTGTGGTTAGATATTTTGTCTGGTCCTCATTTCCTTCCTATTCTGATGATATTGTACATTTCATGCATTATCTTTTTGAAAAGCATTGTGTTCACAATATAAATAATCCAAAAACACTTCTGTGTTTTATGCAGAACGGCAAACTGTATTGTTAATCCTGTAAAGCTTTAAGAGTTGGTGTTTGTATGACAGCAGTTTTTGAGATCATTTTCTGCTAAGAATCACCAGAGGGCGCTCTGACTCCAGCAGAACGTCTCCGAAGATTTGAATCTAAGTAATTTAGACCTAATTATATATATATATATATAGATATAGATATAGATATATAGATATAGATATAGATATAGATATAGATATATATAGATATATAGATATATAAATTAAAAATCTCCCAAAAAGATGCAAGACTTCAATGACTGATGTGATAACAAACAGTAATATAGCCATTTGAGTTTGGTTGGAATAAAATCCAGTTTTATTGCATTTTATTGCATTATTTATTGTATGCTCAGGCTCAAAAAACAATATCTATTCCATGCCTTTTCACACATCTTATAGACGTTTGTATGTATGTGTTTGTGTGTATGTCCCCAGGCCACATCAGGATATCAGACCTTGGTTTAGCAGTTCATGTACCAGAGGGACAGACCATCAAGGGACGGGTGGGAACGGTGGGATACATGGGTAAGTAACCTCTGACCTTTAACAAGCTCCACTAATGGAGACATTTGCAATGTAGTCCGTGTTTTTGAACCAAGTTCAGCTCAAACAAATGCTCACTCTGCTGTGTCTCTTCTCTCCTCCAAGCTCCGGAGGTGGTGAAAAACGAGCGCTACACCTTCAGCCCCGACTGGTGGGCGTTGGGCTGCTTGCTGTACGAGATGATCGAGGGCCAGTCTCCCTTCCAGCAGAGGAAGAAGAAGATCAAGAGGGAGGAAGTGGAGCGGCTGGTGAGGGACGTGGAGGAGGAATATTCCAGCAAGTTCTCCGAGGACGCCAAGTCCCTCTGTACAATGGTGGGTGGATGTTCGAGCGTCTCTTATTCGCTCCGTTCTGCAGCTCCCATCTGCTCAAGCTCCATATTTTACTATATTCTAGTGGTTTACCTCGCTGTTTCAAAAGACTTCCTGAGAAGAAGTGCTTGTTTACAAAACTGTAACACATATCTCTGCCTAGTCTGTCCATGTCTCTGTCTGTCTGCTTCAGAATCAGTGGTTTTCAGCCAAATCATGTATAATAACATAGCAGAGCTCCCTCCTCAAGTTACATTTTGGTGAATTTTGTCATTCGCAGTCTCATTCATTTACAGCAGCGCCTGCTGTAATTTAAATGCAGTTCCATTTTTGGTCTGAACACCAACATTATCCTCTGACCCTCTGTGTTTTTTGCTGCTTTTCTGTCTTTTCTTGTTGTTTGTAACAGTTTTTTTTTTTTAAATCCTCTAGCTTCTGGCCAAAGATCCCACAGAGAGGATGGGCTGCGAGGGAGGTGGAGCCTCTGAGGTCAAAGCCCATACCATCTTCCGCTCCATCAACTTCAAACGCCTGGAGGCCGGCATGCTGCCGGCGCCCTTCATTCCTGATGTAAGTCCACAGTATATCATACCAGACATCAAGTTCTCTGAACATCAGGAGGGTTTGTGCTCCAAAAACTGGAATGTTACTGAGCGTTGACTCCACAATTTTTGGAATATAGTACAGAAAATATATATTATGATATAAATTTAGGTAGGTATAGTTGTAACTAGTTATATGAATGGTAATATATGTGTGACTAATAACATAAATAACAGCGTAGGTGTAAATAACATTCATGAAACCATGTCTACATTTTCTCATTTAGTATAGAGAGCTGGAAATACAATCCACAATTTACATCAGAGGAAGTGTAATTAATGAATCTAATTAATAAGAAGATCACTGAGGCATAATTAACCTGCACAGTGTCTGTAACAGGAAGGATTCCCTACAGAGAGCACGCTGTTGATTTGCAGCAGGTTTCATGTAACGTAAGAACTGAGGGAGTTCAAATCTCAATCTCTAACAAAGACTTGGGGAAGTCATCAGTTGTGCTTCTTATGGTTCTTCTCTTCTTCAGTCCTCGCTGATTGGTAGCCCAGCAGCTGAGATGAAAATGTGTAAAAGTTAGTGGTTTGTGTGTTTGCAGCCGCAGGCGATCTACTGTAAGGACGTGCTGGACATCGAGCAGTTCTCCACAGTGAAAGGAGTGGAGCTGGAGCCAAAAGACGAGTCTTTCTACAGCAAAGTGTCCACAGGCTGCGTCTCCATTCCCTGGCAGGATGAGGTGAGAGACGTGCCTTCATAAAACAACACATATGTCAAATCCTGCTCTGTAATCTGTTTTTCGGCACTGGTTAATTTATTTGGTTTAGTTTCACTTAATTTTTATCTTTCCATAAACATTTTAATGACACCTAAAATGGGACAAAAGAGTAGAGAGACAAATATGTCTATAAATGTGTATACACAGTATATGTCTCTCTGTGCTTGTGATACAAAGAATGAAGTTTGGTCTTCTCTCCTGCAGATGATCGAGACGGAGTGTTTCACAGAGCTGAATGTTTTCCACCAGGACGGGACTGTCCCGCCTGACCTGGACTGGAGAGGACAGCCGTCTCCTCCGCCCAAACAGGGACTCATGCAGCGGCTGTTCGGCAGACAGGTCAGTTAGTAGACTCCCTCACCTCATCTAATCTCTTCACTTTTTAAATTCCAAAAACACTTAAAAGTCCCCCTCCATGACATCACAACTTATTTGGAGACAATCAGTGTCCGGTATGCAACTTCTGTGATGTAGAAAGTTGAATCCCGGTCAATTTATATTTCATATATCATATTTGGCCTAAAACATGTCAGTTTAATTACATCTTAAGGTGACCGTCTGCTCTCTGCTTCCCTCTGCAGGACTGCTGTGGTAACTGCAGTGACAGTGACGAGGAGCCCACAAGGCTGTGACACACACACACTCACACACACACACACACACACACGATCTCATTTGTTTACAACTTTTGCACATTTGTATTTTTAACATAGTACTCTCTCTAAATGTCAGAATGTATATTTTCAGCATAGCCATAACGTTTAATGTTATTTAAAAAGTTGTGAAATATTGGCTGTCGCCGCGTTCCAAACGAGGAGACGGGAACTTTGTATAAAAACAACAACAAAAAATTTGTCCAGGGAAGGCTTTGCTTTCTCATTCATTCATCCACTCAACACATGTCCATGTAACTGATCTGCTGCTGAACGCTGAGCAGCTCCACTGGAACAATTGCCTGCTGTAAAAGTGCCTTGCTGGAGGGCACTGTGACAGTGATTACTAAGGGAGGACTGAGCATTCCTCGAACCTCTTTACTTTTTTCCCCACTTTGTCCAGGGAATCAAACCAGTGACTTTCAGCTCGTGAACTGTGACCACTTTTCTTCTTCCGCCCTTCATTCTGCCGACACTGCTCTTCTGACCTCTTATTTTTCTTCTATTTAATTCTTTTAAAAGTGTGATTTTTTTTTTTTTTTAATTTTTGCTTGGACATTATGGGTTCGAAACGTTGATGCTAGAGTCGTGAAGTTGTCTACATCTGAAGATATTTTTATTTTTCAATTATGGATTTCTTGAGACAATCGACTCGTTGTGTCGGTGCGGCTCCAGTTACTCTCGTCAGTTCTGTAAAGATCCTCTTATTTTTGATGAAACACCATTTCACCACATTTTCTTTGAAGCTTTACCAGTTTTGATCCAAAATAAACGACTCACACATTATGTTAACACTGCAGAGCTTGAACCAGAATAAAATTCAGCAAACATTATGGTCACAATTAGTTTTACAGGGGCCTTTTTTTCGACAAAAGAAATGTATCTGGTACTAATTATTGAGAAAATAGAGTTCTATTCTAAGACAGTTTCTTGAGTGTAGTTAGTTTTGTTCAGTTGATAAACAGTTGTTGAATTTCAGATGACTTTTATTAAAAGAACTGCTCCATTTAAACCCTCGGAGACGTCAATTAATAGTTTCCTTATTGTTAGAGACTTTATTTGTCCTTCATATCAAACTGTAGGCTTGTCTGTAAAATGTTACGTCTTTGCATGGTCTGACAACCTGCACAACCTATTTAACTCAATGTTTAAGTTACAAATGAAGTTAACAAGACTAAGAATATTAGAGTATTCAGTAGCAACTTGCATTTATTTACGCTTACTTATTAAACCCAATTTGATAAAGTCTGTAAGTGAATCACACAGGTTTGTTTTTGTAAACTTGTCTCTCAGGGTTTCTATAGAATTTATTACTTTTTCAGCATTTCATCACCTCTTCCTCTCTTTTTGCTTTGCTTCATGAGCGGATGGTGGTCGGATGATTTCCGGGCCGTGCAGGTTTACGTGCGTTCGCCCTGCAAGGTGGACAACTTCATGTGAGGTCGTAAAACAATGCCAGAGAAAAAGTCAAAGGTTTGATACGTCCTGATGTGTCGCAGGCTACATCCTGAGCTGATCACGTGATCAAAGTCACACTGAACAACAAGACGAGAGTAACTGAAGCCGGTCTGTTCGTCACTGCAGTGAGATGCCTCAGCTGGTACTGTTGTTGCAGTCGATGGCCTCTGATTTTAAGCTATAAAAATGAAATACCTCTGAATGTAGAAACGGCTGTTATGTTATTTCTGATATTTGAGAAGATGGACGACATAAACCAGACATCTTGTTTTTTTGTTTTTTTTCTTGCTTTCGAATATGAACCACAACCATGAATTCCTGAATGTCAACTTCTCTCTGCTCTCCAAATTAAACCAAATAGTCGAGTTTCAGCTACATGTACCAGTGAGGTCGAGTTTTGTATCATAAATGATGGCAAGCAACATTTTAAAGGGTGAGTTCAACCACTTTACAAGAAAACTACATATTTGCAGATTTATTTTATTTGCTCAGTTTTTGAAATATAGACGAGTGTGACGATTGTCTGTCTATTCACCCTGGAGCTGGCTTATGTGTAAACTTGAGGTAAAGAAGTATCCCAGCATGCATTTTGTATCAACCAAAATGACCAAATGAAACCAAAACTGTCTACATGACCAGATGCCGGTACAGTTAAATGAGAAAAGTATGTTTTGTTGTAACGTAAATGAGCTTATCCTTTAATAAAGCCTGGCTACAACTGATGATTATTTTCATTAACAGAATTATTATTTCTCAATCAACTAATTGTTGTGTCATCCTCAAATGTCTTGTTTTGTTTGACCAACGGTTCAAAACCCTAAATGTGTGACAAAGAAAAAGAAAAGCAGGAAATTCTTAAGTTTTAAGGATGAAAAAAGCAAAAGTTTGCTTTAAAAAAAGATGTTAACACGATTAATTGATTAATGAACAAGTCGTTGCAGCTCTTTAGATAATATAACTTACCTTTTTAGGTTTGTTTTTAAAGATAATCAGCTGTTTTTTTTATTAATTCTGATGTCAAAAATGGTCTTTAGATGCAGAAATGGATTCATTGTTCAAGTCTCTTTGTATAAATTAGTCTTTAAACCTGTCAAAATTTGCCTCCTGATATCTGCTTTTTTGTTTCGGACATAGAGCTCTGATTCATTGTTTTTTATTGAAACCAAACCAGTTATGCAGAGAAGATCAAAGATGAAAGTCCTCCCCATCCAACATGCCTTTTCTGAAGCCCGTAGTTTCCTCTTTTTATACATTCTGTATGTCTCTCCATGCGCTCGTGCAAACTTGCTGCTGCGTCAGCGTCAGTCCACTTCCTGTCTGTGGTACCTCGTGTGTTTGTCTGAGAACCTGCCACCCTGGACGCAAAGTCTCTTTGTGAGATCGAGGACGATGCGCCTGAAAGAGTCCCTGCACTGAAAGACTGCTGCTGGCCCCGACTCTCCAAACTCTGGAGTCTCTGATGAGATTCAACAAAAGACAGAGGTCAAAGAGGAACTTTGAGAGAGTCGGAAGAGCTCGCTAACATGCCTCCATGGACGTTTGAATCAGGGCTCAACTGCTGTGCTGTGTGTCTCTCTGCTGTCAGATAGTCTCTGTCCTTTGTCTTGAGGATGCACTGTAATCTGCCTTAAAGGATAATTCCACTTCATTACAACTTGGGTCTCATTCTTGTTTGTTGGGTCTCATCCTTCTTATCTGTATATTAACATTAAATTCACCGAGTTCATTCTGGTCTAAAATGAAGAAACACAGTGAGGACATATTTGGACATTTAGGATATTTTGTCTGGTCCTCATTTGGTCAAAGGGCTGCTTATGGCTGGTCATGATAAGATAACCTCGTTGTAGCCTGATAATCAGACTGAATTTGGACACTGTGTCCATGTTAGTTGATCCATGATCCATGAGTCCACGGCTAATCTCACATTCTGCCGCAGAAAACTGCATCATAATATTTTTGGGTGACCAGTTATGGCTGCATACTCAAGGACCTCTCGTGGTTGCGGTGAATCACACTTTCTCAAAACACCTTTTATTGCCTGTTTTATGATGCCATTGACTGCCTGCTGACTCCGCACTGTGATGGAAGATTTCTATGATTAATCGGGAGAAGGGTGGAAGTTTTCAATCTGGATCAATAAACAGTCTCGAAAGAATCAAAGTTGTTGGTCTTTATTGCAATAAAGAGAGAGCAGTCCCAAAGACACTTATCTCAGTGTACTGTGAGAAGGCTTCCAAAAGGTGCAACATTCAATCATTTATGCATACAAAAGGTTCACGCCTTTACAAATTCAGATAATGTGTCAAAAGGGGAGTAAAAGTATTTCAGACAGGATGTCTGTTTCTGAAATTCAGTTTCTGGAGTCAAGGTCTCTCTGTGTCTTTCTCCTAAGACAAAGACACAGTGTCTCTTAACTTCTCATCCTTCATGGGAAGAGATAACAAGACACCTGGATACAAAACTAATTAAAAAACATCGCCTGACTACGAGTAGTACATTCTTTAAAAGTAAGCATGATACAATAATATATTTTCCCATCACAGCACCCACTGCTCTTCCACTTTGAGCTCCAGCACGGCTCTTTAGAAAGTGACGTCACAGAGACGTTGTTCATGTTTCATACATCCATACAGCTGAGTGCATCGCTGACCCCCAGCCTGCTGCTACACCTGGCGGAGATGTGCACTCCACTGAGTGCACCTTTCTAATCTTGTATGTATTCAGGCTCAAACTAAATGCCACTTTGATGATACTCGAGCACGCAGCTGAGACCAGACTGAAAAAAAGAGTTGATTGACAGTAACATCAGATGTGATATAACTTGTATCCTCAGCTGTTGCATATTTTTTTCAGACAGCCTTCAATTTTAGTTCAGTGGTACAATTCTCACATGTTTATATAGCTCAAGTTGGAAGAGGATATGTCAAAACACTGCTTTGTTCGCCTCCAATATGTCCTGTTTACTATGCTTCTTAGGAAGATGAGATATAACCTGACGCACCAGGTGAGAAGCCCTCATTGGAAATTGTTTGAAAAAGGGCGGGCACTTTCAAAAATTACTTGGCAGGTGATTGGATGAACCATCTGTCAATCATACTCTTACCGAAGCAAGTCGTGAGAAGAGAAAAAAAAACATATTTTTCATTGAGAAAAGGCGTCAGTGTCGTTGTTTGAAGAAATACTCTCCAGTTGCGATATAGCTGATGCTGTTGCAGCATCTACACAAACTCCTTTAGGAGCTGCCATTGTTGTTTAGAACCAACAGTCGCCTCACACACCTAAACCACGCCCGAAGCTCCTCACAAAATGCTGATTGGTCTGGTCACTGGCATCCGGCTGTCATGCAAGGTAAGATTAGATATGCCCTTGGTTGGGTCTGAATTGAAAATTTCATTGGCAAATATACAATAAACATATAAGATATTTGCAAAGTGGAAGGATTCATTTTGGTAATGTCACCTTGGGAAATGCACCGCTTCATGCGGGTGGCGTCCACACTTGGAACTTTCATGCTGAGTATTGGGAAAGTTAATGAATCTGTGCATTGTCCGAGGTGCTGTTAGGAGCAACAAAAAGTTGTATTTATTATTGACAAAACTGTCGAGTGTGATGGACCCAAATCATGACTGACACAAAACTACATCTTCCCTGTTGCAGAAACATGTGAGGTGATGAGGACCTTTCATCACACATCCAGGTTGGATGGATCAACAGAGCGTTGGACAGTTGATATTTCCTCTTTCCCAAACTATAATCTTTCCCTAACTCGGTTGTCTACAGGGTTGTTTTGTGCCTTAACCCAACCATGCCTCAAACATAGAAGTGTAAAATCCGAAAGTTTGAAAGTGTGGGGAGGCACAGACAAAGTGTTTTTCTGGAGTTCATGGACAAACAATGCATGTTGTCTTTCAATTTAGATGTCTAGTTGGGTTTCTCACGCCTCTGAAGCTCCCCTAAGTATCAGCAGAGAGAGGAGGCGTCTCCTAAGAAAAGGAAGTTGATAAAATTATTTTACTTCCTAAAATGAGCACACACAAAAAGCATCACTCTGAGAATCTCTGGTTAGGTTGGCCTGATTTTCTACTCTGTGACGCTTGATAAATTCAGACCCAGGTGTCAGAAATCAGGCAGCATTAATCAGCAGCCACCTAACCTCGTGATTCATACTTGTTATCTAGCCTCTGTGACGTCCATGCTGCTCTACAAAACACGCTGATCTCTGCCAAACAGGACGACCAATTCAAAGACAAACATCTTGTTCTTTTTGGGAATAATGACTGTGAATCATTTTAGGTGTGCAGCCGTAGATTTCTATTTGGGACAAGAAGTCTTGCTTGGTTTTCATTTCACCATTTAATTAAGGGCAGACTCACACCAGGTGAATAGAATTAACTGTAATAAACTGATTGTATGGAGAACAAGCCCTCTGCACTTAATGTGTGTCGATGTGCCAGAGTGGGAATGAAAACATTCTAAAAGAAAGGGAGCAAAGGAGTCAATTTTATTTCAGTGCTTTATTTGAGCTCGTCTGTGCTTTTGTGTCGGTCCAATATTCTGTTGCTTTCGTAGGCTTTCTAGTATTTAATCTCTAATAATTCTTTGCTCTTCTCCTTTCTGTAATTAGGCTATTTTTTTATTCTCTACCTCTCCGATCCACCCATTGAACAGAGCACTTTCCTCTACTTCACACCTTTTTTTTTTCATCCTTTCCAAACAAAAAAATGTCATGATTCATTTCACTGTGACCGCCTGTGCCAAAATTATTAAAAGGCTTTTAACACTAGTGACTCCATCATTTTGTGAATTCAAAAAACAATATCCATTTATTTTATATGTCCCTGGTCCTTTTGGCTCATCACAAAACAAAAGACACAACATTGTTAAATTCATACATTTTTTGAACAATTGTTACTTTATTTCACCTGTCGCTGGCAGATCTCATATCTAAGCTAATAAAGTGTTCACAATTATTTTTAATGGAAAGAAGCTAAAGCCTGCACGAATTCTCAAATTAGATGTTACTAGATTAAATTAAGTGATAATTGACAAATCCCTGATGTCATTCTGAAACTATTTACATGTGTACATTTTAAACAATGAAAATTTGCAAGAAGAAAGCCACCCCTCATCATGATGTGCTCAGTCGCGTAGTCGGTCGACACCTTTTTCGTATACCATGTAGTACATGAATGTAGTTGTATAGTGTATAAAGTGTTTCCTTTATTTTCTGAAATATATATATACACATCATAAAACTCGTACAATCTACTTTTGCAATTCTGTACTTTGTTGTGTACATGCCAATAAAGCAAATTTGAATGACAAGAACAAATAAAAGAGAGTCAATGTCTACAGTTTTGAACGGACATCCCAGCACAAAGAACTCCACTGTGTGTACTGTGTGTGTGTGTGTGTGTGTGTGTGTGGCGCTGTGTCACTTCTGGATCAGACGTCATGCAGTCACACTTTTCTTTCTCTCACACAGTGCTCGCCCACACACACACACATTTGTCACCATTCTGTGTCAAATTAAACACAAACACACTCTCGCAGACGCTGACTTGGAGCTGTGACGTCCCCCTGATCCCACTCAGACCATCGTTTTTGTTTGATCCTCTTTTCAGCTCATTGACCTCTCTCTCCGTCACACCAGCTCTTCCTCTATGCCATATCCCACGCTCAGCTCCAACTCTGGCTGATCGTTGTATCATTGTTCTGTTATTTGGTTCTTGTTTCACTGAGTCACTCACATCTGATTGGATGAGTCGACCAGTTCACATTTTGGCTCATCACTTTGGGGTCAATTTCAGCTTTGTATGACTTTAACAGTTCTCCTCTCTATAAAGGCCCCTTTTTATTTAACACAACTCTAGTGTTGGTGTGGTCCACCGCTTTGGCCCGGACTGAAATCTCTCAATATCTATTTTATTGATTGCAGTGATATTTTGTACACACGTTCATTATCCAGATATGATGTACAAAGTTTTCAACCACAGACAGATTGGCACCAAATTCACGTTTCCGAGATGATGTATTCTAATGACTTTGGTGATCCCCTGAGATTTCCCCCCAGCAAAACTTGTCATGTTGGCTGAGAGAGCAACAAATGGGACCCACATGCAGGCAAACACACATGACACCAGCAGATAAGATGAAAGGAAATGTACCAGAAAAAGTCAGGGGATCACCAAAGTCAGTAGGATTCATCTGTCTTCGGATATTAATGTCTGAAGAAAATTGATGTCAATCCATCCAATCCTCGTTGAGATATTTCAGTACGGACCAAAGTGATGGACCGACTGACCGACATGCTGCTAGCGTGGCTTTTGAAGCTCCTCTGGTTGGTCGGAAAGTGAGTCAGGCAGTTTGTAATTTGATTCTCGCCATCTCAGATCATCACACATAACCCACAACTTGCTCTCGCTCACACTCACACTCAGCGTGGGTGGACTCCAACAGTGGCAACCGCATCAGCTGTAAACCACATTTAGAGGAGTTTCCACCCACTGGGATCCACAAACGGCTCAGTACCGGCTCCATTTTTAGATCCTCAGTCAATCTAAAAATAAACTGTTACTACATCGTTCATCATCTCAGTTGGAGGGGGAACTACCATTCTGTGTTTGTTGGGGGATTGAACATTTGTGTTGTTTGGATGCCAAAACTCTGACTTTTCATGATCAACAGAAGTTTTTAGTCTAATAGATAAACAACTCTGTTACATGCCATACAAACACAGGCGAAATAGTCATCACGAATGTGCCTTTGGGGATTTCAGTCCGAAAAGGGATTTTACCAGATACGGAGCCCAGAGGTGTAGTTGTATTTCCTTCTCTCAATGACACCTACCGAACTCCATACGTTGAAAATAATGAGAGGCCTGCGTTTTTTGATGCACTGCTGTTTTCTGAACAGGGCCTTCATTTGGTTGCCTCTTTTATCATTAGATTTAAAAGACAATAAAAAGGAAATAAATAGTAAAACAACCCTAGTGCTCAATTTTCGATGCCAAAATGTGACAAATTTTTGTTCAGTCACTTCTCCAAACATCCATTAAAGCCAAAATACTAAATATAGAATTGTGATGAGACGAGTATGTTTGTGTGTTTTTAAGTGATGTATTTGTTCAATACATATGCTCCCCTGGTGCCAGCACTAATGACCCACCGCCCCCCCCCCCCCCCCAGCAGTTGCAGCAAAGCCTCATGGGAAGCGAGAAAAGCCTGTTGGTCGTGACTACCCATGAGAAACGGGCTGCATTAATGTAATCATCTCCAGGGGATTCTTAAAAAACAGACTTTTCATCACTCTTCAATACACCGTAAGGACACTGTTGCTAATTGACAGTCAGTTGAGATTTAATGAACTCATTTTATTGGTAATAAAAGGGATATTACAATGACTAAACCTTCATAGTAAAGGTGAGACAAAAAAAAACATGAAACTTGAACTTGCTCTGCTATACATGTACAGCCCTATATCTAGGGCTTTTATTGTGAAACTAAGAACAGAAGTCGTGGGTCTGGTACTGTGCCTTTCGTCAAGGTTGAAAGGAGTAATAATAGCTAATTTCGTCAAATACAACAGCCCTGCAACAAATCCTGCCTTCATGGAGGTTATAATAATCAGATGTTGTTTAAGAGAGGTGTGATATCTTTATCAAGCACTCTTTCATGTTTGGGTATTGTTTGTCGACATGTGAAACCTGTAAGTGATTCAAAAGCAAATCCTTCTCAAGACTTCAGTAAAGGGCTTTTTTAAACTTTGATATGCCCACTTATTCTTTCACCAAAAGCTGTGACGACGGAGAAGAATCAAGCTTTTGTTTGAGAGTTGAGAAGAGAACTTGACGGAGACTCGTGACCTTAAAATGCTTCTTTCCTCCACCATACCGAGCAGTCAGGTTTCCCTGCTGAGGGCAGGAAACAGGAAACAGACTTGAAAAAACAAGCAATCAGCACTTTGGCATCTCATCAGCATCCCAAATGAGCCACGATCAGATTTCCACAACGTCGACTTTTAAGAAACAGGAGTAAGTACGACAAAGACTTCTTATTTCCTCAGTTAAGAGGCCAAACACAGACGGACGCAATAGATCCTATTTTCTTATTGATGCGTCATCTCTTCAGAAAAGCGACACCTTTATTGCACTCGCTGAAAAGTGAAGCCAATGAGGACGTGCCTTAAACTTGCATTCCGTCTAATGGCCAGCAGGGGGCGACTCCTCTGGTTGCAAAAAGAAGTTGGATTGTATAGAAGTCTATGAGAAAATGACTCTCAGTAAACATTGTAAACATGAGTTTATGGTCTCAATTGCTAGTTTCAAGTCTTCTTCAATACAGCGTGATGTTCATTTTGTTAATTATGATCCATTTTGAGTAAAGTAGACCATAAAGCAGGGTATGCTTAAGGGCGGGGCTACCTAATTGTAACATTTTGGTCGCCTAAAAATGTCTTGTTCTGCGTTTTGGTTGTACTTAGCTCCACCCTATCGTGTCACTTCTGGTTGCAAAAAAAAAAAGAAGATGGCGACGGCCAAAATGCAGAACTCAAGGCTTCAGAACCGTAGTCCATGAACCAATGGGTGACGTCCTGGTGACACTTCTTGTACACAGTGTATGGTGAATACAGAGCCTCTAGTGTTCACAGGGCATTGCAATGACCCTGCTGAAGAATTTCAAACATATATGAAACACAACAGTAAGTTCCAGTGGAAAGGCTTTTAATTAAACTGCTCTCTGCACAAGGACAGCAGAGTTCACGGCTCTCTTTATGTAATAGCTTTTGTTATTTCCTTTTGCTCCCACAGAGAGTTGTTGTCATAGCAATGCTATGGTCCCGGGCTCATAGCTGTATTGTTTTATTGCCGTCATGTTGCATGAGGATGCCCCTTTGAACCGTATGACGTCTCGTTCTTCTCATCACTGCTGGGTGACAAAGTTCTGAGCTCCGCAGAGCTGGAGACCACAAAAGAAAAACATCTTGGCTCCTTTGCCAAATCATATTTCAAAATAAACGAGCAAATGTATCAGTCACAGACTCCTTAGTGTGCAACACTCCCTCTCAATTTCGGATCACTTTTTTAACATCACATATCACAGCTCTATTCATTCAGCAATAATGTGTTTGTTTAGCCACTCGGTGGTGTTGAAGGTTGCTGGAAATTATCGAGGCTCACATTGCGGATGCTGTTTATATGCTAAATGGGTAAATGGACTTGTACTTGTACTTGTATTGCGCCTTTCTAGTCTTCCGGTCACTCAAAGCACTTTAGCACTACGTGTCATTCACTACACCCACTGATGGCAGGGGCTACCATGCAAGGTGGCACACTTTCACTCTGCTTCCAGAGGCCGGCTGCTCACCGGGATTTGAATTCAACCTAATGAAGGAGCGACGCTGTTTGGCAGTCAAATCAGCTGCAGGTAGAGAGAGCTCAGACCCTGAACTCTGACGGTTGGTAAGGAAACCACAATCTCTCTCTCATGTAACACACATGACGGATGCAGAGTCACGTTACCTTCAAACACGCCTGGAACACGAAAATTTGGGCGCTCCATGTGTTCAGAATGAATGCAGGAAATAGAGTGTCCTATATGAAGAGAGTAAAATAAAGGTGTGGAGATAGTGGCCAGAGGGGTATCGATCCTGTCACTTAGTATTGATACTCAAAACAAGACTTATCAGTATTTTAGGTAACAATTTGCCCACCTATCGAATACATTTATCCTTAAAACAGAGGTGTTTGTTCTGGCCTTAGAACCAACGCATACAGATTTAAGATACTTACATTATTAATTCACTCCGGTCTTGGCTTCACCAATTAATAGAACCTGATCAGCTGCGATATTGATGCTTTGTGATCAGACTACCTGCTCTGGTGCATTAAATCAAGAGCTTCCTAAACTGCTGTGCCACCACAGGTATCAAAACATTTAGAGAGTTTATTGTTATTTTGTGAAACCAACTCATTATTTTGAGATTAGAAGTCATTATTTGAGATACTTCTCGACTCACAGGATCTTCTTTTTCACCACAGTGGCAGAGATGGTCTTCCGTAGCTCTCAGAGCCCTGCTGCTCCTCATTCCCTAATCCCTACATCTACTCAGGAATTAATTTACACCTGCTGCTGGTGAATTGCAATAACTGTGATTATAGCCACGAGATAGAGACGCAGCAAGACTCAGAGCCCTGAGGACTGAAAACCAATAGAGCATTGATCCCCTGATCTACAAGAGACACATGGAGGATTTGGGTGTTCGTCCTTTCCTGAGTGTTCCTTTGATCTCAGGCATCAATTCACTCTCCTGAAGTGCTCTGAACAGTCCTGCTGCTTTTAATTTCTTTCACCGGGTAAAATCCAGTCCCTGATCAACAGATGGCAGGAATGAAACCCAGCAGGACTCCGTGTCCCAGTGCTTAATATGTTTTAAAGATATCCTGTTCAACAAGAGTACACTTTGGGCTGTTGGGGTTGCTACATTAAATCACCTGACACTTTTTTAGTGACAAACAACTATTGAACGAGTTGCCATGTCGGACGTGGAACTGGCCTTAGATTGCATTTTTAAGTGGAACAATTGGTGATGCAACAAGTACTTTTTTACAGATATCTCACGTTTTTCTTCAAAAGGCAGACTTTCAACTTTGTTTTGTAGATGAACGCTTTGCCAACTACGAGCAGATGACGACAACAGTACTCAGCAAAGAGCCAATCAAATGGCAGCGGGGCAGCAGACAATCAGCCCCACATCAAATATGTTTCATCCACTCTCATTGCCAAACACTTGGGGCATGTGCACCTTGTTTCCCCCGCATAGCGGCCTCTCAAGCAAAGCACAATTGCAAATGACCTCAAGTTGTAGAATAATGATAAATAACAGCAGCAATTGAGGATTTTTTCAGTCATGCATTAATCCAGAACTATATTAATTTCTAAATGACTCATAGTACCACTACAACCACTCTTTATTCTGCTGCCAGCTTTGCCCCAAATGGCCCATCATCTCTAAGTAGGAACAACCTCACACAGCGGCATGGCGGTGGAACGGGTTTGAACACAGACAGGTATGGAGAAGCCATAACAGCACAATACAGCAGTGTATCATCTACATCATTTGCATACACATGCAAATAGTCTTATATTTGACACATTCAACTCTCCATCTTTACGCCCTCCACAGCGTCTCCCTCCCTTTGCCAAGTCGTGCGTCCTTAGAAACCCCCGCCGATGATTTGTATTCCCATCATCCAGACAGGCAGACAGGCTGAGTGTCACGAAACGCTCCTTCTGCTGTTCCAGTCATGAGAGAGAGAGAGAGAGAGAGAGAGAGAGAGAGAGAGAGAGAGAGAGGGAGGAGCCAGGCTGTCAAGGTGAACCGATGAACCTCTCTCTTTATTACCCGAGACGTCCAAAACACGACGCGCTTCTCCCGGCAGGGAGGAGAGAGCGAGCGAAGGTGCTCACATCATTTAACGGGCGATGATCTGACTGGAGCCGGTGGACAGTAATCATACACAGACAGGGAACGGACTAGGCAAGTGTTTGTTTGGGTTTTTTTACAAAATTTTGGCCGCCAAACTTAAATGGCACGGAACGAGCTGAGTGCGACATCTCGTCAGAGACGCCAAAATAATTAAAGGTGAGTTGTGTTTTTTCAAAAGCAAAATATGATTCAAACAGGGACCTGTGGTGTGTGTGTGTGTGTGTGTGTGTGTGTGTGTGTGTGTGTGTGTGTG